TATATATATATATATATATATATATATATATATATATATATAAAACTTGCTTGTTTTCCATTGTGTGTAACTGACTGAATTATCGTCCTGAGTGTTTTAAATGAAACAGCCACATCAAGTAAATGGCAGGCATAAAGGAAGTAATTCAAATTTCCAAAAGCTGATGCGGCAAAATAAACCGCCAAATACAGGAAAGACTATTAAAAATGAAAATGTTTTAAAGAGCCTCAATGAGTTGAATTAAATCAATTCATTGTCATGAAACAAGATATATGGTGATATTAGAACAAGAATATAAATTGATATATTTAAGACAATTTAAGTTATGATTAACAGTCAGTAAGGAAAACAAATAGGCATATTATGCGTAGTTTTTCATTAACTAAGTTTACATTTCAAAGGATTTCTTCTGACTATATATTTGAGTCACTTTACTATTGAATATTGATACCTGGTCCGTGCTTGAACAATTGAACTAGAGTGCATATAATCACGTGATTTAGTGTATCTTCAAATAATAGCATAAATATGTATAAATATTAGCATCAAAATCACAGTTGAGGAGTATGTGAACTATAATGAAATACGGTTAACATGTTCTCCTTTTCTTATAGTGACTTTTCAAATGATCTCAGGTATTACTAAAACAAACGTTGTTTAAAGTCCTTAATTAAAAATCAATTTTTTAGCAATTTTACAATCCACACAAATAAATAAACAATCGCAGTGATCACATGGATATTACACACTTTGTGATAATTTATTCATTAGATTTACTTAAAAACCTACGTAACATGGTAACTAACAAAAATAACGAACTAATCTAAGTGATTACCAAGAAAATAATAAAATAGTGTTCAATAATCACGACAATTATGTAATCAACAGGAAGGGTTGGAATCATCATATTGTTGATGATCTTGACCGAACTTTGATTAATATTTATTGGCATATATTCATCATACACGAACTGCTCCGATATAGCCACTTTTCACAAGCTTTTTTCGACGATGGTATGATTGTTATACCCAATGCAAAAGTTAGTGGCTATCTAGATTCAGTAGCTCCGCATATGATTGATTAGGCTTTTGAGGTGTAAGATATTTGATTCGAGTTCCGATATAGTCATCCGGCTAACGAGTCCTAAATGGGATGAAACGGTAGTCCTAGACTCCATTGCTGACCACGAATCCATCTTTTCTACAAATCATAGAAACATCACTACATAATGAAATAAACATGAATTTATTTTCACCCGTCCCATGAATGATATGTTGAAAGTGTGTATTTATTTAAACATAACTGTAAATATATACACATGAAAACTTACAATATCTGTAAAAACGACTCCCCATTTCCAAACCAAATATTGTATATCAATATCCCCGAAACTAAGATACGGTGGAAAAAAAGACCAAGAAATACATATTTATCGGCATGGGGGCTTGTGGCGATTATTCAGTGCTACTGAGATTACAAACGGACCAAAGTTAGACAACTATTGAAAACCAAGAAGTACTCGACAGCTTTTTCATCTTAATTTCATATTCATGTCGAGTATATCTGACTCCAAGTATAGTACGATAATCTTTTACCATGGGTATCTCTCTAGTCAGGTAGCGATAAACCGACAATAAAGAGTACGCAATAGCGAAATGCTAACAAGTGGTGTTATTAGGAATTGTTGTTTCTATCCACAGACAAAATACGAATTTGAATGAAGTTCACAAGCAAACTAACAATTGAAATGAATAGATCAGAATGTTGTCAGTTGTTCATGGTGTATACAAACAATAAAAATGCGAAATAAAAAACTTCAAAGATTCATTTAGCATTATACTACGGAAAGCTACTACACTAGTATAGAACTCTTGATTAGTCTGTAACTTGTCAACCAATACAACACAGGTTACGTCCAACTGTGAATAATAATTAATCTTCAACTTGTCAATGAAACCAAGTGCATAACTTCAATCAATAATATCATAACTCATAATAGGATGAGGCTATTTTTGCTAATATATCTTAACAGAAAACAAACTTACAATTTCGACAGACTAGTTCCACCAGTTTCTGTATCAGAACTGGTTTTATCCATACCCAGCAGTTTTGTAATTTCATCATAATCATATTGAATCGAATATTTATTACGAACTTTCTTTTTAACAAATTTATCCCAATACATTTGAGGAAATGATGGTGTTGATAAAACCAATTTATCCCAATGTGCACGTAAATTATCTTCAGCCGGTTGGGAAGAGATCCACATACCTTCAAATTCAAGCATTCTGCAAATTTCTTTTTCACGTTTAAATATTACTAGTGGAACCTTTAGAAAAAATAATGAAAAAGTGGAAAAGAACTGTTTTTATATTAATTATCTGTAGTGATGTATGGAAGCATTTCTTACAACTAGTACAGTAAATATATGAAGTATTTTTGAGTAACGGTTTAGTGCATAGACTAGAGTGTAGATAGATTGAACAGATCTAAACAAAAATAGAACTCTCATTCAAAACTGTATACTCTATGTATTATTTACCTGCTGGATGTATCGTTTGTTTATTTTATACAAGGGCTGAGGTTTTAAAAATCTTATTTTCGGAATACCTTCTTTTGTATTTGTTTCCATTGTTCAAAAAACTACTTAAATAACTCAGAAGCATAGCTATTCAGGTGCTTCGTTGTTTCACACAATAAACTCAATATCAAGTACTTTCTTATCGTCCTATGGAAAAAACGACTTCCTCAAAATATGTTCATCAGCAATAATTGAAAGGCATAAATGACTTCACAATTTAAGTGTCCTTACCAGGACATGAGATCAATGGTTATAGTGGTCGTGCATAGTTGTTGAAATTTTCAATGTCAATCTAAGTGATACAAATGTGCTGAGATAAATTAATCGTTTTCCTACAAGCTTACTTTGAACTGAAAAAATTTGCAATGAGTCATAATAGCTTTATTCTATACATACATTCGTGATTCAAAGAAAGTGGCATCAACTAGATCAGAAAAAATTAGAAAATATTTCTCTGTCTTATCAAAATTTTGTAAATAATTTCTAGGATATATGATCTTTAAACTCAAGTGATTTTGAGATATCTGGGTTGGATACACATATAACACGTAAAACCTAGAAAATTGTTAATTATAATTCAAAAGTTGTGCTTATGTTAACAATAGGAATGAATTAAGATATTTCTTCAACTTGTAATTTATTCTCGTCATATTTATGTTAGTAGTCAAAAGGGCTTCTTAGAGAGTGGTTTAATTTGTAGTCTGTTTTTGTCACAGATTAACACTAACTCGTATACTACTAAGAAACAGAAAGCTTCGAATAAGTAATTTTGCCTAGTATAGGATTCATTGGCAGGACACAACAATAACCTCAATAGAAAGAAAGAACCAGGACTTTTAATTATACCAGTGTAGTTTACAATTAGAGTATTGAAAAAGCATTTCTGTGGAGATTGGTTCAACATTGCAATTGTGGTAGTCGACATAGATTGATGTGAGTTGTAGTAATTGTCAACAACGCAGTTTTATTATCGTTGTTTGGTGTAAAAGATCATCAAATTATCCAGTCGGCAAGTGATAATACATTTTTGTTCTATAAAATAATACGTCCAATATACTGAATACTACAAAAACTAACTCTCAGGCTGAATTCTAGACTCAAATAATCTTTCATTTTTCAACTCTGAACAAAAACAGTAGATAGGAATAGGAAAGAAGTGCTACTTTCATAAACAACATTTTTACAAAGAATGAAAAGTGCTCACAAGTTTATGAGTAACCCTAGTAGTTCGAACCATGTTGGAAAGATACAAAAACTGGTAATATAGTTGTCGCTTAATTAATTAGTCTCATTAGCAGCATAATCAGTCAGTGTCTACTGTCTTCTAAGTTTACAAAAACGTTGATTAGTTAAAGTACTTTTTAGCGTTTTCTCAGCTTCCAGAGAATTGTTCAATCAATTACAGATGTCTGAAATCATAAGCTTAATGTATTAGATATAAATTAATATTTGATAAATTACCTTTAAATAATAATATGCCACAAGTGTACTAAACGATAGTATAGAATGAACGGCAGCAAGTAAAGCTATCAGTGGACCAATATATGAAGATGTATCACCTGATGTAACCCATTCAACTAACTCTTCATCAGTATCAGTCCCATCATTCCCACCTAATTCATTACCACTAGCGTCTTCATCGCCTAAAGCATTTGGACTGATTTGATTTACCTGAAAAAAATAAACAGAAATAATAAAAATTGTATAAATTTGAAAGAAAACAAGCAAATCTTTATACTTTTGGTGGTTGGAAGTAAAGTTTATCCTCAGTCCTGACAAAGTAGACTGTTCTTGTACGAATCTAATTCGTATCACACAATGTCACAGTCAGAAATGTTACCACTAAGCATCTGTGGTCAGCGACAGATCTATAATAAATAAGATTTACCAAGCTCAAGGTAGTATAGTATTCGTAACTTTTTATTGACTATTTAGTGTAAATATTGTACTGCGTTTAGGCAGCCTTACAGTTTAGTCCCAGTAGTAACATTCAAAGATAGTCGAATTACTACACTTAAGTTTGTAGTTCGGAATATTTTGGAAAAGATATCAAGATTACTCATAATTTTTCGTCATCAATCATTTTTATAGAAGGAAAAAATGTTATTCGTGAGAAAAAGTTGTCACAGAGAACATTACCTTGGAGAATAATAGAAGGAAATTTATAACGAACGCCAATATCAATGCACTAATTTTGAAACGATAAAAATTACTGGCAAATAGTGAAATGACATAATTCCTTGTGTTGAATTTAGTTTTACATTCGTCTTCTTGTTTCTGATTCACTGTTGGTGATGTTGGAGATGAAGTATTCATAACACTTGTAGGTATACGAGTTCCAGATGGAGCAGAAGATGTTGATGTTTTCTTCAAATTTGAACTAGTTAAACAATTTGGTGAAGTAATATTATTGTTATTTTTCCAATTGCCTGAAGGCTTAGCTGATTCAAAAGAAGAATAATTCATTCAAAATTAATTAATTTTAAATACAATCATGTTCATTAGTTAAACTAATTCTAAAAGTACGATTAATAATTGAACTGCTTATCATGTCCAGTAGGTAAACGAATGGAGGCTATAAAATCCTCACTTTACAAAATCTAAGGCACATTAACCCCAAACATTATTAGTTAACGTTTTTATGGCACATGTTGAAAATCTATTTAAAGAACTAGTTGAAGATATGACACTTTATAAGGGATCTTTGGATGATATCTTAGTCATTTGTGATAAAAAGGAGGATATGAATTGTTTGTCGAATAAACTTGACACTTTTCATAACCACATCAGTCATTCACTTGAAGGGGAGAAGAACAATAAGCTTCCTTTCTTAGACATATTTATAAGTAGAAGAGAAGACGGTTCAACCAAATGATCGAATTTTAGAAAGACACCTTGAACATGCTAGCATCTTAGTTATTATAGTTATTTTTTAGTTCAACACAAACGGAGTTTGATAAAGGGCTTGTTTAATGAGGTTGATCGTACCTGTAACAACACTACTATTGATGACAAAGTGAGGGTGCTGAAGAAAACATTAATGGGGAATCCTTATCTCATAAAATTCATAACTAAATGAGGTTTCAGTATAGTACATTTATGAGACAAAAAAGGCCTTTCTACATCACTCTACCATTCAAAGGTAAGTTAAATAGCCTTGTTTTAAAACAAAGGCTGAAATCAATTTTTAGTAAGACGTACTATGCTGCAAAGGTTATTATTATTCAGAAATCGAGGACCATGGTTCACCAAGATACCAAAAAACATGCACACAATTTAGTAACGTCACTGTGCTTATTAATTTACATGTGTGTGGCGACACATACATAAGGAGAAGTAGTCATGATTTGAAAGTTAGTGTATCTAAACGTGTACCAAAATGGTTGCAAAGACAGATACACTAAACACACGGTGGTAATAATTTTTTTTATTATCCAGCGTGGTGAATTTCACATTGTTTTTAGCATCATTTTCTTTATTATATTTATTTCCTTTTAACTTCCATTTGTCTAGCTGACCTTTTAATTTTTCAGATGTAAATGTTAAAAGCGTACGGGTGATCAGATTGTTCGAAATGTATTTCGCTAATATATCACATAGTTCTGATAATCTGCTTCTTCATAGTACACTATCCAGATGATTTAGTATCTTTAATTACCTGTTGCTTTTATGAATTTTCGGTGAGTGACGACGAATTTGTCTTGTCAGTACTTCAATCGATAATCTTACCAACTCAATTCAGAATTCAGTGAGACTATGAATTATAGGCATTTGAGCGACTCTAAAGTGTCCTAGAGAATGACCACTTACTAGAGCTGAATGAGGTTTATAAATCTATGTGAAGAATAAAGAACATGATTTACGGTTGGGAATTAGATGTACGGTTTTCATCACAAACTAACATCAGCTAAAATGCCAAAACATTGTTTAGCCAAATGGATGAATGAATTTCGCGCCAAAATCCGAGACCTGTTATCCTAAGTCTGATTGGTTCGTCTAAAAATTATGGTCTCGCCTACAATGATTCGAAATTCTGTGCATACATTGTTAATTAACACTAGCAACTTAAGAAACCCACTTATCATTGGATAAATTATATAGCTAGAATACGGAGGAAGCCACTCCCTGAAGTACTGTAAATATGTTACACTACGAATTGAAACAAACGATATCACCATACTTTGCAGTGAAATGTTATAAAACCTCGATGTGTTGCACGATGCTGGTCTGTATTTGGCTGGTAAGAGTAAGATATGGTTGACCTATATACGAAGGCAAATAAGCACTCATCTTTGTTAAATGTTGGGATATTTTTGATATTGCGAGTTCCTTCTATTATGGATTTTTACTCGAGTTTTCAGAGCATGGACTGCATGTAACTGTGTTAAATAAAGTATTTTTTTAACCTATATTCTGGTTTTATACATTTAGTAGGGAATTGCGTTTATCTGTTTATCACTTGATCCAGTCTATATCTAGTGCATCTAGTCTAGTGATTGTATCAGATAATATTATTGTATTGACGTGGTATATCGTGGGAACAGAAAAATCTTTTACTTGCTGTTATATAAAACTAAAAAACCTGTTGAACAATAACCTACGAGACATTTCATTTCCAGATTTTTCACTTTCATGTGATAAATGTGTAGATGTTGCGAAATTCGTTATTGCATACTCTTCTTTTATGGTAGCTAAATGTACTGGATCTGCGCGTTCAATTAATAATTGCTGGTCTTCTGATAATAACCACCATGGTTGTTCCTAAAGAAAATACAATTAAGAAAAAAATTTTATGACCATATATAATATGAGGGACAAATTTTATATCATCGAAAACATTTTGACTTTTTTAAGACTGGTAGTTGGAACAAAAAGAAACATGTAAATTTTTGCGTTCGTAAGTCGGGATCGCCAATTGTATTGCGTGATCCCAATACGGTTTGCCAATTATGGTGCATGTTCGTAGGTCGGGCTAACCAGTTATGTAGTGGCGTTGAAGTTATCGATTTCGCTGCGCGTTCGTATGTTGGGATCGCCAGTTATGTAGTACCGTGTTTCGATAATAGTTCATTTCGATAACCGTTATTATACCAATCTTAACGGTGTATAAAATCAGAAGGCAAAAGGAAGCGGCAACTACATTTTTATTGATAATCGATGCAGACCAGAAAGCTGTGGGCACATGAGCAAGTGTAAGCAAGCGAAGCAAAGATGATGCGTATTGGAGATGGCTGGGAAGCCAACTCATTTTAAGCAAGCGTTAACTAACATTTATAGGCAGGCAAAAATGAGTGACAGACATATGATGAATAAGATACGAAGTGTACACATATGCGCTCATATAAAAAGTACTCAAGGTTAATAAGCAAATGATTAACAAGATCAAAAGATGACTCAATGTACAGGTGAATTGGCTTGGCCAGTAACTAGAATAAAGTATATGGGCCTAACATATGAACTGGTACTACATAGCCCCCTTGTAGAAAATAGCACATTTATAAAAAAATGTCTGTTTTCGAAAAATAACACTGAAGCGGTATGAGGATAACGTCGAAATGTGGGAAAAAATGGTACAATACCTGATGAATTACAGTGTCATGTGAGGGGTGAGCGTATTAAGCGAAAGTGTCATACTTATGTAAAAAGGAACATGAATATTGTCAAAGTGCGGACAAAAATAGGGATGCTAGCATGTGATTATGAGTACATTAGTAAGCGTTCGAAAAAATTTAACATGAATTTATGTAGTGACTGTCCGAATGATAAAATAACATGTTCGTATGAGCGATTTGAAATATAGTGAAAATAGAGTATAACAGTAATTGCTCTGTGGTGCTGATTGAATATGAGGATAAATAACAGTGAAATATGTTCTGATAAGCTGCAGTCGAGTAAATAGAGTCGATTGGCGATGAGTGGATTCGAATTTACACGATTGGAGTTTACGTGGGATAAAAAATAATCCAGCCGTAGGATGATGACTGCATCAGCGGTTGATATTCATTGCTGTACTGCTACTGATAATGATAATAAAATGCGAAGTCAGCGTATGTTACCGTTTGCGTCGAGTTATCGTTAAATATGTATTAGAAGAATGACCAAAGGAACAGGATAGTGACTGCTGAGACGAGATATGCGGAGTCGTATTCCTTTTTGGTCATGAAGCCTATCGTGGTTTGTGTAGTTAGAGGGATATGCGCTCAACCTCGTTTGTTACGAAACCGTATTAAGGCATAACAAAAATACCAATACATATGATTATTGATGGCGGCGAGTGAGGCTGACTTGGATGTGACGAACAAGAGTGTATCCTTGAGAGATTAGCTCTAAACTCTATGTTCTGGCGTACAGTGCATTGACAATAGAATATTAATCGTAGTAATCGAATTGTGATTATCGGTAATGGATGATGCAGCATTCAGATATACATATGAATGAATAGATAATATGAACATAATCATTACTAATCGGCTGGTAATGCGGCGTCGAATACTTAATTTGTGTATAGACATTAAAGTAGGGATCATAGTGAAACAAAAATTGCGGAAGTTCGGTTTAGGTTGTCGCTGAAAATGTAGGAAACGACGGTTGCTGCGTACCAATGAAATGAATGAACATTAGTAGTCTATCGAGAACATAAGTTACTACTATCGGGAGTGTGACTCCAAACTTATGTCTATGATAGAGTGTAATATTAGACCGAAAATGACATGAAAAAATTGGAACGAACTCACTTGAATCAGGAAAATTGTACGTCATTGGATAATAAAAATAATCCAGAGAGTTTCGAATATGATAACGTGTAATGTCCAATAATTATAATTTGTTCGATTAGTGATTCGACTGCGTGAATGTCATAGTTTAGTGTTAATACAAACAAAAATAATAATTCCACGTTAGTTGATGATATGAAATTATTGTAATAATGAGCATATAGAGCTTATTCGAATCATAACGGAATATGTCGTCGGCCGTTCTATTTTTGATATGCGTTCGCTCGTTGCGGTCGCCAATTATGTTGTGAGTTCGTACGCAGAGGTTGTCGATTCTGGTCCGGGTTCGTTCGGCGAGACATCCAATTCGGTTGCGTCGTAAATCTGATTCTGTCTATACTCGTATATAATAAATGACTTTATTCCGCGTTGGTGAATAACGGAATTAAATAAGTCAAATACGAGAATGGATTTAGAATACATATATTTCCTACACTCATTGATCTGGCCAGGGAATCAGAACGATGAAGTAAATAGATGAGAGCAGAACATAAATGACATGCAGTGGAGATGGCTGGGAAGCCAACTCATTTTAAGCAAGCGTTAACTAACATTTATAGGCAGGCAAAAATGAGTGACAGACATATGATGAATAAGATACGAAGTGTACACATATGCGCTCATATAAAAAGTACTCAAGGTTAATAAGCAAATGATTAACAAGATCAAAAGATGACTCAATGTACAGGTGAATTGGCTTGGCCAGTAACTAGAATAAAGTATATGGGCCTAACATATGAACTGGTACTACAAAATAACATTATCAACTTTGTTTGGATAATGAGCGAATTGAAATCAGTAGTTTAGATTTGTTGAAAATGGTTGTTGTACATTGAATGTTTGTGAATTAAACCGTACGATATAGAGAAGTACTAATACTATTTGATGATCAACTTATTATTTAGTTTGGTAGCGGGTATAGAGCGGGGAACTTAGGATAAATTAACATCGGCGGGAGAATTATTGAAAAACAGGGATTTATCAAATTTGGAGTTTGTACATTTTTATCAATTCGAGTAAGCAGTAAGGGAAAGATACAGTTCGAATAAAAGACGGAGTAAAATAGAAAAATTTCTTTTCTGAACTGTATTTTGACAAAATAACTCAGTGGATTCCATTTGTTGTCTTTAGATATACAGTTGTTGTTTAACAGTTAACTCTTCAACTCTGTTTTCCAAAACAGCCTAAAGTCGATCATACAGCGTTTTAATTAACAAAGTCAACAAATTAATTGTTTTCAACTATTCAGAAATATAGGAGTAGTAGAATAAATTATCATGAAGTATAGAAGATGCTTACCGTATCAATTTCACTAGAATGATGTTGTATAGCTGTTGTAGTTGTTGCTACTTTTGAATATGAAATTCGATCAACTGACCATGGAACCATTGTGCGTACAGCTGAATTGCAATGTGTTAAAGATCTTTTTTGACTAATATCAGACGCAAGTGCAACTATAATATACCATAAAAGATGAAGTAAATGTGATCCGAATCGTCCCACGCAAATTATTAATCCAACAATTATGCCGAGTATAGTCAACAGGATATCTGGTAGAGTCATTTGACGTAATGTGTTCCACGTAGCACATAATTGGGATGGTCGTACACAATGAAGGATAATTGATAGTATATGTCCAATGAAAGCTAGGTGAGTTATTTCCAAAAAGCGATTAAATGCAGCAACCTTAAGTTGAATAAAGTAAGATTTTTAAAAACGGATTTTTGTGAGCAATCTTTGGACTAATATAACGAAAAATAAAACAATCCAACATTTTATCATACTATTAAATAGCATATTTGTTTCATTGAAAATTGTTGGTTGAATAATTATGACACATCGTGCTGATGAGGCTTTAAGTGATATGAATGTATTAGTCAGTAATGAAGGGACTATAAATCGTTTTGTGATAACATCAATTTTAATAAGTAAGATGTGTATGATTTAGTTCTATCTAGATAAGTTTGTTAAATAAGTATGTGTTTAGCTTGACTCAATATAATACAGTATTTATGTTTTCCTGAAATGGGTAGATGAATCTTCCATTAATTTTTTAATAAAATATAACTACTCATCAACATTAGTCAGTAAATATATTTTCTCACTTACTCCACATAATATGATAACTAAAATTTTAATGCAAAACAAAACAACTCACTAATCTGACTGAAGTAATTGAAGAATATTTAGGGGTGAATCTTGAAACTAAATGGAAAAATAGTTGAAAGTCTATGCACATTGCCGGATTACAGAATAAGTTAGTGATGTAGTACAATCAGTAATTGTGGTAATAGTTGTATCAAAAATGTAAAAAACAACCTACCCTATTTAACGCTATGTCAGCTTCATCTCCATTAATTGACTGAGCATGTTGCATTTCAAATATGGTATCTTCACAGAAATTAACGAAACATTCTAACTTCTCTTTATCTCCACTTTCACCAACCACAGAATGTAAAAAAGACCTCTTAGATTCTTTAATCTGTGGTGCTTCCCACTGGTCAATATGCTGTTGACGTATTTCGAAGTAGACACGTTCAATTCGACCGTTTGAACCGGTAATTTCTATTCTACCTAAATGTGGTTCGAATACGTCTAGTACTCCACGAGCTTTGTCAATTAGTCTTTCCAATCTACAGTAAAATGAAACGGTAAATAATAACGAAATGACCAATGTAAGATTAACTATATATTGACTTTTAAGATAAAGAGATTGAAATTGCTACATAATCTACCATGTATGTTACAAAACCATTTACTTATATTTTCTTTCATGATTTATTTGATAAATACTGATACGCTGTCACTAAAATATAGGTCAAAAGAAAAACCTGTGCCATCGGCCAAGATTGGACTTCATTTTCTGTGGAAACAGACAAGCCATTAGCTGAAAATATAGCTTTTTTAAAAAGATAGAAAAAGACTTACCCTTATGAATAAGTCTACATCTATTCTTGATTCTGTTTTAGTTAATAAGACTGTTCTCAATCTCAGTTTCCTCACTCAGGTAGTTGGTTTGGGCTCAGTTATAGGAAGGTTGTACATAATTATAAGACTGAGCACGTACAACACAACAAGTATTGTATCGAACTAATGACTAACACAGTTGAAAGCTACTGACGGTCATTCAAACTGGATATCTAATAGTGTAGATTTTAAAAGTTAAATTATCTTTGCACTAAAGGTAAATATCTACTGAAAGAACTTTTAAGATAATTTTCTGGAAGTTTTTCAGATATAAATCCATGTCTCAACATTTTATTTATCAAAAGTAGGTATCTATTAAACTAGTAGAAACCATAAATCGTTCTTGTAGGCGATCATTCTGGACCAGAACAAGTTAACATACAGTCAAAAACCGTACTAATGGACAATGTGGAATCAAGTTCCATACCTCACAGTCATACATGTCAGCGTAAAGAAAAGACTACGAACAATGTGCTGGTACATTACCATCATTCCTGGTATCCGCAAAGAACTTGAAGTATTCTTGGTGAATTTTGTTTTAGTAGAACAGGAGATAAAACGAGCTTCATAGTAGTTATTGTGGAGTTAAAAAAATCAGATAAGAATGGAATTGGGTCATTTTATATGAGAAACCCGATTATATCTAATTAAAGTCACCAGCAAAAATAATTTACAGGTAATTTTGTGTTGTGGAATCATTACAGATGATCTTGAAATTAACGTGAAGGATAACGGGATATGATCTCCATGGAAACAATCCCATAATTTTTATGATTTTTCACAGATTGTGATCAACTACTTTTGGTGATATCAAATTATGTAAACCTGATGGTTTAATTGTGAAGTTTTATCGTTGTTCTGGGTAGCACTGCCAAATCATATTTCACTTAAACCTGAATACCATAAAGCATTACTCAAACTACAGATATTACCCATAATACAGATCAATGCTGCTATCAGTACTGAGGAATCAGCTCAGAAAATCTAAACTGTTAGTAAATATCTTTCCATTTAATCAGTCTGGTTAACCAAAAATAAACCAGAAAATATGGAAACTTCCTAATGGAAAATTATTATTCCTTTCATAAAATGCAATTATTTTTTGTCAAATAGTGTTTAATGGTTAAAGCATTAGCGATAATGTTGGAGTACGGGGATGTAAAGAGGATGCTTTAATATAGACCTGTTCTTAAATATTTTTGTATAATTAGTGCAATCCACAACTAAACGAAATTCAGTCTTGAATATCAACAACGAGATAATACAAACTCTTAGGATAAAATATCATGTTCATTGAACAAGATAATAACTAAAAGAACTCATTGGTTTAGTGGACCACACACTGGAGCTTCAAACAATACGTACTAGAATGGTGTATCTTTGTAAACACAAACACTAGGATACAGGTAGATATCTCAGATAGCCTAATTCCAGATACTTCAAATCATATCTACCGGATGAATAGTCTCAGTCAAAGTAGAACGTCATATTACATGAAGTAGCATTTGTCAAACAATCACTCTCAATAATACAGTTAAGCTATAAATGAAAAGAAAGATCATTTTCAATCACTATGATATGTCGATATTCATAAGAATAAAACAGTGTTATTACGTAATGATGAGAGCCTACCTTGGATCAGATGGTACATGTTCGGATAAATTAGTCAATAATAAAGCTAAGTTGAAGCCAATATCTTCAGCTGGATTGTAGAAACGTTCTGTGAATTCTTTAAAATCAACTTTACCATCTGCATTATTATCAACACATGCAATGATATAGTTAATCTCCTCACTAGAGTGCAAAAAAAGAACAACAAAGCCAATTAGTGTGTTGAATCGTCGGTGAAGTGAAGCATTCTGTTGACAGGCTTATGGATCAATTATTTTTTGAGACTGTAAGGACTCAATTATGTAGAAAGTCTTTATAAGTGAGAATAAATATGGTTGGAAATGAGACCTAATTATAACTGGATTTAAACCAGCCAGTAATCAAGATAATCGCTATTAGTTAAAATCGATTAGTGATTCATATTGTCTTTATACTACAATGAATATTATTAAACGCTAGCCAGAATCACCTTGTCTAGTTTTCAGTACTGATTAAATTCTGTTCATGATGTTGCAATATAGTTACTAGTTTAGGTGTTTTGACAGTGTGTAATATATATAGTGATGTTAGGTGGTTGAAGGCAATCGGCAACAAGTCCTGGATTTATATTTCGTACTAAATAGCATAAGTCAGCGCTGCAGCTCTAAAAATTAGAATGAAGTGACATTACTTTCTACTCAGTGATTAATCGTTGTACATATTGCTGTTATAGAAGATTCCATTTGCAGCCTGAGCAGTTAAATGACAAAGCCCTTGACAGTATAACTGAATAACTCATGTCCCAATCTCATATGTGATTCATTTCGGGTCAATTATCAATAACTGTTAAACTGGTTGTATTGTTTACCATAATTCAACTTTTAGGTCTAGCTGTTCGTTATTTATTGTTGGTCCTCCTGAACACCCTTTGAATCTTACTGAATGATCAATCACTTTCTCAGGACTAAATAGCACGGTTGGAGAATGTTAATTTTATAACTTGATTTCATCTGTATTTAAATCAACCCATTTGGATAGCTTTGAAACACGCTCATCTAATTTTATGTATTTTTATTGAAGCAAATATAAATTGTCTGAATTTAAGTGAAAAGGTTTCTTCTAGGTCTCAATGCTAATGGGCCATAGCCGATCAATGTTAGACCACCATTGAAAATCTGGAAGCACTGGGTTATTAGTTAAGATGTTTCTTTAATGAAATAAAATGAAACTATTTAATGTATGTCACACTCCATAAAACATGATTTATGCTAATGAAAATTAAATAAATAAATCTTAATTCACCATATCAATAACTTAGATGCCAAAATATTTTTCTCAGTCATCATGATAGATAAATGATTGCCAATGAATGTACTTCATCTCCGATTATTCTGGCGATAAGCACAGAAAAATAACACAGGATCATAAGCCACTGTTATACGGAGCATCATATGTACCAAAAATATGTGTTAAATCAAGATAAATAAGATGCGTTGGAATAAAACATTTTATTTTATAGATGGTTTGAATTTGGCCGACCTAATGAAGAAAACCAGTCTAATAATATTTCATATAATTTCTTCTATCTTAATTAATTATGAAACTTAGGTTTGATATTTAATACAATAGTAAGTGTATGTGTTAAAACATCAACAATATATATTGCTTCATTATCCATGTATTTGAAAATTGAAATACTTACGGTGAATAGGTTTTTTGCTGTTCTAAAGCTAGTCGAAATTCTCTATGTGAAATCCAACCATCACCATTCACATCGAAAGCCTGTATATGAAAAAAATGTAGAACAGATAATTGAATCATTACATTGGAAAACTATCTCTTATTAGAGTTGAACAATGTGCTATGCTTAGATGTAATGAATTTTAATTACCCTGGTCATAACAAACACAATTAGTTTGGATACACTTTTCACAGTGGATAGATATGAATTGATGAGTTATTAAAAAAACTAAAGAGCTCACACATTCTAGTTTGAGGCTTGTTAGCACTGTTCAAATTTTTACAACATGAAAGGTGTGTGCCTATGATTTACCCTTTACAATTGGTGACGGTGCTAGCTGTTAATTCAAAAAGGCAACTGTCAAAATAGTACACTTGCGTATAATAATACCGTTTTCTACTCTTCTATAAACAAAAAGTGTAGAAAATGTTTAGATGACATAGCTGAAACAATAACTCTGTTCATTAGACATCATTGCTAGAAAGGATTTAAATAATCTCGTCATTGATAATCTTGACAGAATTTTAATCAATCTTTATCGTTATATGTGCACTCTGTGTGGATTGCCTCAATATAGCGATTTCCTGCGAGCTCCTAGTGTGTGGATTACTCATATCTACATAGGTAGTATATAACGACGATCAAGCATAGAATTTATTTCAGTTGAAGATCGATAAAAAAAGAACCGGAACGAAACGCAATTGGTGTGAAAGTGCAAGAACAATGAAATCTGAGACAATGGACTGATATTTGCAAAAGGAACGGTGAAGTTTAAGACGATAGATTGTTATTTTGCAAATTAACTATTTACTATACGGTTCTCAGATTTTAGTGAGATATTCTGTAATTTTGTGCTCAATTACATTTGATTGTTTCCACTCGTGTTATTGTTCACTACACTAGTATGATGAAATGCTCTTCCTAAATTTCACCACCAATCAATCCATCTATTCTATACAAATCTGTTAACACTGGAAGATATAAAATGAATAAATGTCAATAACTGTTGGACAATGAATCACCTATCATAAAGCAAGTAGATCATGCTAATACTAAGCTTAAGTGTTTTGTACATAAATAACGGTTTCAATTACGTTATATATTTTATGAGTACAGTTGTTAACTGATTATGTTTGAAACCTTTTTAGACTGGCATACGAAAACTAAAACAGTGCCCCACTCAATCACCTTAGTACTTTGCCCAATCAATCGTCATATGATAAAGAGGCTAAAAAATATGCGACAAATTCTTGATATTTCTTTCAAGATCTCTTGCTCTATAGTTTTTCGGAGCAATATTCTATGGAAAGTATGATAATCATTCAGCACTATCATACGTTAGTTATGAGCAGTTTTTACCTGCTCATAGTTCAATATTTTCCTAAATAATCGTTTAATTAGATCATTAAAACACTATATGATTCTATCTAAATAATATTTTTCTTCAGACACCGAAATTCAATAAAAGTAGCTTGAATATTTTTAAAAACGAAATTCTTGATTAAGGCTATGAATTTTACTGTCTTTTGTCAATATCCGTTAGTTATAGGCATTAGAGAATGTACAAAATGAACCAGATAGATTCAATTGTGGAGTGGCTTTCGTATAATTACCATAATAATATTTTTAATGTTATGAGGTTTTTGGTTATCCTTTATAATAGATTTTTCCAATTATATACAAATTTCTAGACATTCAGTATTAGAAATGAATATGTAATTAATAGGTGGATTATAATTTAACTATTTGTCCGTGTATCAGATAACAGAAAAATACAATATTAGTGTGACTTCACAAAACTGATTAACCGAAAAAGGAACAAAAATAACAAACATACTTACTAAGAATGCTTCAGAAGTAGTGATCACTTTCATTCGAAGGAAAATATCGAAAAATCTGAGAATCATCTAGAAAAGCAGTGAAAAAGACAAATAAATTGACTAGCTCATAGAACAAATAAATCTGAGAAGAGTTTAAATGATAAAATTACAAAGAGTAGTACTAAAATAATAAGTTCAAGTTTTAAAAAAAAGTACTTAAGTCCATAATAAACAGATTAAAGGGCGAATACGACTTTATATTATAAATAATGATTGTTATCACTATAAAACTAGACAGTGTTAAAAGGAAAAATAACTGGGCTAAAATTACTGAGACTGTTTCAACAAATATTCTATCAGTTACAGGTACATTTGTGTATTAACACACTTGTTCTGCGCTGATTCCCAGTATACGTTGATTGATTAATGTTATACTAAAGTGATTGTTAAGTTTAACAAGCACCAAAAACCTCTTTAAATGTAAACACAAAAGAAGTCTGAGTTGCATCTACTGATCAAGATATGAAACATAATAATAAAATTTATTTGTTTAGAATGACTATCTACACGAATTAGTAATAATAATTTATACTTGAAACACAGGTTCAGTTCGACAACAACAACAACGAAAATAGGAAAAAAACTATATGAGTCACCATTTGAAAGCTAATTTATGACAACAGCTTAAACATAGAGAGGAAAATCAGTCTCAATGTAAATAGCTTAACGATTACCTCTACGTAATAAGCACCTCTAGAAAGAATATATAAGTTAGTTTGTCCATGCAAGCTAGAAACTTTGATTCTTGTACATGCAAACACCGAATGTTCTTATTGGAAAAAATTTCTCTTGTCACATAATTAATAAACTCTAATTAACGAACAGGTTATAAGATAACTATGAATAAACTAGATAAAAGTGTATTTTAAAATCGAGTCACTTTACATCATCAGATTTTTATTTAAAATACAATAAGTTTGATATTTATTTTCATTAAAACCAATTCATATACAATAAACTGTGCCGATGAAAACATACAATATTGATAAAAGAAAGTTGCCATTGACAAGATGAAGAATGCATGTTAATTTCTAAGTGAGAGGTTAGAAAATTTACTTAATTTGGTTATAAGAGAGATTATGTACAAATTTTTTATGGTCAAATGGAATACAGATTAAGAGTAATCACAAACAACTTTTTAGTAACAAATTCAACTAGTGAGGTCTGTCTGTACTTTAAGTAGACTGCGAACACAAGTTTATTTATACTTGAGTAAAAGTTTTCTTAATGATCAGTTAAGAGTAATAAGCTAAGATGTAAGATTTCTAATTAACTTTTTTGACCACTTATTGTTCAAATAATAAAGAATTTTCGAGGATTAAAGTATAGATTTAGACATTTAATGATAAATTTTTTTCCGAATATTGTACGCAGAGATAAGTTAAGAAATATTAAAACGAATATAATAATGGTAACTACCTCGACATTAGCCGAAGATTCAATTAATGTATCAACCATTTGTTTAGCGATTGGCCCATTGACAACATTTCCTTCAAGCATAGATAACAGCATAATCATCAATTCTTTTTGTAAATTAAGAAATTCTCGTAATAAATCTAACTGATCAGGATCACGACTTAATTTATCTTGCATTTGTGCTGAAACATAAATGAATCCGGCCACAGCATCCCATAAACGACTATGGGCCAGTGCTAGTTGATTTCCAATACATGGACCCTTTTAACATTTAAAAAAAAGAAACAAAGAGCGGTAAGTGTTTTATGTCTTAAAAGTATCAAGCTTTTAAATGACAACAGCATTTATTATTTATTAATAATAAATTTTTATGATCATACTGTAGTGAACGAAGACTTCGGTGGGGCCCATTCATTAAATACTTTATTTGCAAATCCTCCATCAATTTTCCTTTACATCCTTCATGGTCCTCCTAATTTTCAATTCCTTTATGTTTCCTTTTTTGTTTTCTTCAGTTCAATCTTCACAACCTTCTGCTGCCAGGTATACCATTTCTGATTGGTGTTGCATAATACCTATGTCTGTTGACATAAGTAGCATGCACCACAGTACCTGCATTCTGTTTATTGATATTGCATTAAATTATAACTGACTGAAATATAGTCATCATTGAGACGATTTATTTTTTTGGGATAAATAAGCAAATAAACAGTTCAATTGAAGCTACATGACGAACTAGCTCACAGAGTTTTCATAGATCAGTTATGACACAATAGAATTTTATAGAAGTCGAACATTCTTTGATTACCTCTGCGAAAATCCTAATAATTTACCAATTTAAAATGGTAATCCTCATGTTAGTTTGACCTATGAAACCGATAAATATGGGATATTATAAGATAATAGCTGGTTAGTACTGAAATATGATTCCTATTGTTACATGTGGTTGAAGAAAATACTAATAAAAAAAATTGAGGATTATTGATTACATCATTGTTATTCGCTACGGTAAGTTATTTTTCTTTTAGTAATAAGGTAGAAATGTCTGACAAAGTGAAGCGTAAAACCGTTAATGAAAATAAGAATATAACAGTCCACAATAAAATGTAGGGATACTAATCATTGCAACACTGACTTCTTTTCAGTTAGACACTAATTTCCAATGGTCTTCATCATCCGAAAATTATATAGCGATTGATCGAAATTTCTTATTGTTCTTATACAATTTACAAAAAATGAAAACACTTCTTGGATAAATATTGTAAAACGTTGGAAACAGAGTTTTGAGCTAATAACTAATTTACCAAATTAGCTTCTTATCAAGTGGAGGCAATATTATACGTGTCTTGCCATGACTTAAAAAAATGATTCTTCGATGAGTTAACTAAAAGTATAACTCAGCATTCATTTTAAAATTTATGGTGAATTAATGAGGAAGACAAAAGGGCTCAGACCTTTATCTACTGAACAAGTTGAATGTAAATTATTGTTAAGCTACTTAATCATTGGTGAGTAACCTAAATAATTTTGTTAAATGATGAGGGGTAAATAATAGAAGTACTGATAGTATAGGATCTCTTGTGAAAATTGATCAGTTTGTAATTTATTCCATACAATGAATTTAGCTAGAAAACCAGTAGAAACCAGAGAGCAATGAACAGCTTGTTGCGATACCTGAAGTTGTCAGTTTCTACATCTGGTCAGATCGTGTTTGTACACTAATGATAACACATCTTAGGAAGAAGCATCCGTCCAGAGACTACTTGCACTGATACGCCTTATCACTAGTTAAGTAAAAGATAGGAAAACTTCATTTTTATCTAAGGCGAGTCACTGGGTTAATTGTACAGGCAGAGTAGATAGAGAGGAAATGCACGTCTTTTCCAGATGTTTTAGATTAGCTTATTCATACAAATTTATGCGGCTTCAACTTTTACGTTAAGTGTAAAATTTAAAAGGTAGGTTTAATTAGGTTTGATAGGTGCCTTTGAAAAGTACCCTTCATCAGTGTCTGTTGTGAAATAGATATATATGCCAAAAGCTTGGTATTATTCTTATTTGTTCTTCACTTAACCACAAAGACTAATGTTCAGACGTCCCTTGATAAACTTCCCCAATCACAACGCTTAATGTTTAATTAGTTATATTGTCCTAATCCCTTGTTTACACATGACCGATAGAGTTCATCCATGTAGGGTGAAAGTTATTCATCGAAGGTAACGGAAGTTGATCGAGTAACACCTCTAGTTAACTGAAGTTAGACATGAGAGCCAAAGATCCTAGCTTCAATCACTCGTGCTGCGGTCGTAGATGTGCGCTGCAGAGAAGTCCCATGCGAGGACCAATGTTGTCTGGTTTTCAGTGACTTTATAACTAAAATCGGTCCAATGTGTGTCAAGCCGCTTTGTCTATATTCTTTCCTCCACTAAACAAGATGCGTAAACGACTAGCTGAAACATACCTGTATATATTCGGTTAAACTACGAAACACTTGTTTGCCGATTTTGATAGCACGAACAAAACTATTTTTGCCTGATTCATCAATTGTATCTTTATTGGAATAATGCCAATAGAAATCCATAATGGATTCTTGTAATCGTAATAAATAATCAACTGTTGAAATAATCAGATTCACGGATACAGTATTACCAGCTTGTGTACGTAGATAATCTTGAAAGGCTGTGAAAAATAAATGATAAAGAAATCTTTGAGAAATAAATACAAAATAATACTAGCGAAAATGAAAATGTTTTTTACTAAATATCAGGTGATATTATATAAACAATTTTATTGTATCTATCTCAAGAGTAAGGATGATATTTGACTTTTGTTTGTTCAGTGGGCAGAGAATCATTTGTGTTCTATTTACCGAGTGATAATCAAAAAAGTAAATTATAAATGGTAAATTTCAGTAACAGAAAATATAACCTGCATCCAAACTTACTAAACAGTAGTAATAATATCAAAATGCGAAGAAAAGCAATCAAATAACAGAATTAATTTTTTTTAAATAAAGACAAATAGGAGATGTGCACATGATCTAAATGAAACATACAAACAATAAGTACATATTCGAGATTGAGGAACATGGTCAGAACCCGATTAGTAAAGTGAAATATTTTCGGTTGACCTTTATTTTTTTTCGTATATAACGTCTTAATGAGTATCTACGTAATGAAACCTTTAGGAATGTATTTAGTAAATATATCATATAATTCTGATAATCATTATCTTCGCATCATCCAAATCCCTAACTGCACAATATACACATATGCCAATAAGAGACTGATCAATTGCAGTCCTAAACATCAATAGGAAGTTCCAAGTAAACAATACCAAGTGAACCTAACTGCGTTAGTTATTTTCAAATGGTTTTATTAATTTTGCGATCACAATTACTAAAAATAATATCCGGAAATCTTCATTTACAATTAAATGAAGACTGCAATACCAAATTATTATAAAATAATTAATTTCACAATATCTTTCAGTAGAAATATTCAAAATTATTAAAATATTTACCGAGATTATGTCCTTCACATAGTAACTGTAAAAATCGAAATATTTTACAAGTAAAATCAGCATCATATAAGTTAGTTATTCCTTCCATATCGGACAGACCAACAGCTAATCCTTCAGCTTTATTACATCTAGATAACAGTATATTAATAAAAGAATAGTTAGATTAAGCAATTATTAGTAAGGAATGCTTGTAAAGATTGTTAGGTGTTACTGAGGTCACTACTCGACCTAAGTTTGATAACCATTCACTGAAGTTAGATATGTCAACCACTAGATAGTCTCCCCAATGGTCTGGATTTTAAGCCTTCATCATAAGACCTAGAGGTCATGGGATCGATCCCAGTGAGGTTGTGGTTTGGCACTGGCGAAGAGTCCCACACTTGGATAAAAAGGTTGTTCAGTACTTCCTGATTTTCATTAATTGCCTGACTTACGTCACTTAGTGACGTATACTAAAAAGTAGTGAAACCTTCACAATAATAATAATATTACACTTCCTTATAACCATTTTAACCAGTGATTAAATATGACACAAGCAAAAGTTTTATGATTGAAGATATTTTTGTTTTGAATTTTAGGTTCATATGCTCACTAGTGACTGACTTCGAGAGGTAAATCCAGGAGTTCTAGTGAGAAGCAAACACCAGTGGAATTCAAACCACATCTTTTGTGAGATATCAACTCACTGAAGACAATTGGTGAACGGTTGCTCAACTTCGTGGATCGGTTGAATTAAGACATTAACACCGTTGGATGCCGCCCAGCTCAGTGGTCTAGAAGTTAAGTGCTCTGACGCGGGACGGGTAGGTCCTGGGTTCGAATCTCGCGAGTGCGGGATCGTGGATGCGCACTGCTGAGGAGTCCCGCAATAGGACGAAATGGCCGTTCAGTGCTCCCAGGTTTTCCATGGTGGTCTAGCTTAAATTGACTCACGCTTTCAACTAAGAAATAAAATTGTTTACATCACACGCTAATCTAAATTAAACGACCATTATAAATCAGGAAGCAGTGAGAAGTTATCTCATCCTAATGTGGAGCACCACAACAGTACAAATCAGCAACACTAGTGGGTTAAAAACTTGGGACCTCTAGTCTTATGGTCTCGCACTGCCTAGGAGTCCCGTACTATGACGAAACTGTTATTCGATGCTTCTTGATTTTCTCTGATTGTTTAACTAAAATCGATCTGTTAAAATTTAAAAGTTCTCACAAACTCCCTACGCTGAGATGAAATAATCATAATGTCAACAATAACAATCCATTAAATTAATTTTCTAACCTTTCAAATGTATCCAAATCTAAAACGGAACATTTCTGTGTTAGACCAGCCAAACTTGTGAAAAAGCCAGATAATTTCTTTTTCATTAAATAATCTAACATTCTTCCTTGAACACCAATATTACCGCCAAGTAGTAATGCTATGCCTAATTCAATACTCGCTTGAGCAACTGGCGTAGATTCACCTTTAACAAAAATGTAGTAGATATAATATTAGAAAAAGGGAGGTTAATTAAATCCAAATCGAGCAATGAGAGTGATAGAGGTTAATGCCTCATCTTCTCTATATTAAATAACGACATCATTTCTTTGAAAAAGTTAACAATATTTAGTACTAAAATTCTCATAACAATTTATAGAAATGTTATATATATATATATATATATATATACGTAATTTTTCTAAAAACTTACCTTTGGATGCAGCTAACTGTAGTAGAACCATTTCAGCTGCACCACGTTCAGCAAGACGATTTTGTTCACTTAACAACTGCTGCTTTTGTTCTTCTTGTTCCTAAATAGTTTTTTTAATTTATTAGAAGGAAGTATTAAGGTATGATAACATAGATTGATAATAACTATCAGAATAATCGATTTGCTTATATTAAGGAATAGATTTAGCTGAACAACAATCGGAAACCACAAAGTACTACTTTTCATTCTAGTCTGAGACCCGTCAGCAGCCAGTTCCACTACCCGTAATTTTTACTAGTGGCCCAGCTAAAACGCCAGTCCATGATGTAAATCATTGTAAGTTTGTTGACAGTGTTTTGTAAACGTATAGAAACCCTAGGCTAATGATGCTGTTTGAATTGATAAGATTATGACAATGAATGAGGATACTGAAATAACACGTTTTCTGATGTTGAATTATCCTTCAATAACTTAATAATGACTGAAGGTAAAGAACGCAAAGATTTCAATAAAGCCAAGTTCTATTAAATTTCTATAAGCAGTAAAAGATTACTATTTAACATTTTAGTGTATTACTAGTTCTTTTAAACCATCACAGTTATAGACGTCTCAATCTATGCATATTTATTCAAAGTTCACTAACTTAATTATCTTTAAAATCAATTGAAGCTAGACCACCATCGAAAACCTGGAAGCACTGGACGGCCGTTTCGTCCTATTATGGGACTCCTCAATTGACTCATGATTTCAACTGTGAAAATACTAAATTCTCCACAAAACCCCCTCTGATCTATCTTTAAAATGTTTATAAAGGGATCAAGCATGTGAGATCAGTTATTAACCTTTGTTAGCTATGATATTGTTAACTTCACATTCGTTAAATTAGTTTCATGTCGTAAATCAGCGATAATGAGTTCTACTGAGTCAAAGTTTATATAACAGTCGACCAGTGATCGATGTGTATAAATAACTAGAAATAAAGGTTTTGAAACACAGATTGTGATTTGTTAGCGTTAAAATAAATCCACAAATATTACTTTGTTTATTCTCATTTATGTCCCAAGTGTTTGTAAATGGTCTCTGAATGGAAACATACATTGCAGATAATCTATGGGTACTCAATTTTCTGTTTACAATCCATCACTAGATAATACTTACCAGACAGGCATTACGCTATCATGTCTACATCTGTTAAAAATACATTTATTCTATTATGCCATAAGGTATTAGTTGAAAACTAGTACGTGTTATAAAAAGCATAAAAAACTAGTATTTTTGGAAAATATACCTGAAAACTAGAACCTTCTTCATTGCTATTCTCCTCTTCTTCTTCTTCATCCTCACCGCTACAGCTCTGGAAAACAATTTTGAAAAATAATAACACATTTTTAATGAAAGTTTGATCCCATTTCAAAGGCAATGTATCTGTATTTTTTCTGGATAACTTTTTGAAATGTTCCTATGGCTTTAAAGCAAAGATGATATGAACGAAAGATAGTGTTTCCAATAAATTTTCATCAAGTCCTACAGTCATAACGTTAAAATTAATAATCCAAAATGATAGATAAAAAATTCAAATAGGTATTAATAAGTAATGAGACAGTTAAATATTTACACCAATTTACTTAACTTACTTTGCTCATGATTTTAGCATAAGCTAAATATAGTGGATCATCTGGAGCTTGATCGGATGCTGAACGGCATAAAGCTGTCAATAATTGTGTCAGTGGATCGGGCTGACATGAAGATGAATCTTGTCCATACGTATGTTGACTTGAAGAACTATTGGATGTTTGTAAAGAACCAGTTTGTAGTAGGCTAGCTGATTTATTACTATCTGAACTGATAGCCGTTCCAGGATCATTGATTGTAGTTGATAGATCCAACTCTAAAGTTGAATCCATCATATCTAAGTCTTGAGCTGCACCAGTTTCAGCTTTATGATAGGAAATAAAAATAAAATATGAAATTATTACACATGTAGCGAATTTTGACATTCTTTTCTTGTGAATTAACGTGTTTTATGCACATTAAACACAATGAGTTAAGCAAAATCGGAAATAGAAGTTGATTTCTGGATGGCACGCATTCACGATGACATGATTGCGACAAGCACATCTATTACAAAAATAAAGGTTTTTCAAATGCTACTTAGTCTTATCCTTAAATTCAACTGTTCACAGTTCTGGACTTCAATCACATTCTAATATAAATCAATTCGAACTTACTATCAACAGTGAAAAACTGTTCTGTGCTCAACATACTTAGTCGCACTAACAACAGCTTTGCACTAGGGACTCTCGGGAATCTTTTTAGACGTCAATGGATAAACGATAAGCATCTGTTATATTTAATTAATTTTAAATTAGTAAGGGTTTAAGGCTTTTGGAATATATAAGGGTAAAATAAATTGTTTTTGGGATCATGAAGTTTACTGTTTCTCAGTCAAATACTTAAACATTATTTTAACTCCAGCATATAAAAAGATATCATCTATTACATTACAATAAATAAATGTTAGGGACAATGATAAAAATATTTAAATACCAAACAACCTAAACATCAAATAAAAAAGGATGGCTTTTTAAATAAAAAAATATGTATAACACATACAGTCTGTACTTTTTTGAACGCCTTCAATTGCATGCACAGTACCGGCTATAGCTTCATTAGTTCCTCCTGTTGACGATAATTCATTTGATTTCGATAAATCTTTCAGTAATGCACCACTTGTCACATCTTCAATTAATTTCACACCTAATGATTCTTCATAATCTAACCATTCAGTTATGTAGCCTTTTATGAATAAATTCATTACACGATGAGTTGGCATTGCGTAAAGTGGTACCATACGAAAACATGCCATAACAGCACGTTTACGTTGAGACGAAACCAATTTCTTCCAAGAACCTTTACTTACTGCTGGCGGATGATCAACCTGAATTTAACGATCAATAAAATATTTTCAACATTGATCATAAACATTTGAAACAAAAAAAAGCCACATAATTAGAATTAAATTAAATTATTCACGTAACAACTCTAACACTGACGCGTGTAAAGAGAATATTCTTCTCAATAAATTCTCTTTAGGTTCTACAGTTACTTATCCTAAAATGTAGTCAGGTTTAAGGCGAATAATTAGTTATGGCATGTGAATTGAAGATCGTTTGAAAAGTGAAATGAACTGTTAGTGTTGAAATAACTAATATATAATATTAAGTTTGTATAAGTTTATATATTGAATGAAATTATGAGATAAATGATCAGAATAAAAATGGATCAGATAAGGTGGGAGTAATGATATTGCAATAACAAATTCGATCAAATGTTGAGTGGAAGACTATATTGTGTATAAAGCCATATGAATCCAATGACAAATGATCAAGTTAAGTGAGTGCTAAGTAAATTACTCGTGTTCGAGAGATTAGTAGTGAAGTTGAATAATAATAATAATAACATTAATAATGCAAAGATATGTGAACATAAATAGCAAAGAATAAAGTACTGTAAATATGGTGTTGTAGAGATCGCTGAGCTTCATTGAAATCGTGAACCGATCAATGTTAGACCACCACTGGAAACCTGAAAGCACTGGATGGCCGTTTCGTCCTAGTGTGGGACTCCTCATCAGTGTGCATCTACGATCCCGCACTTTGGACTCGATCACAAGACATTCAGTCTTGTCCTGATGACCACTGAGCCGCTATCCGATGATGTTTATGTCTAACATCAATCAATTCACGATATTGCGTAATCATCTCCCAGTGTCTTCTTTTGCACACGTAGTTCCTGTTTTTTAATCAGTGTGGCTAGTGCTTCTGTATTTTGGAGGATTTTGAATCGAACTGACTAGGGCAGAATATCATTAACCTCGATAGATTACTGAGAATAATTGACTTATTCTGCTTTATGACCAGTTTGCACTAAATGCACCAGCATTGAGCTGTGCTTGTGAACACCTTCCAATATGGCTAATCAGAGGTGTAATGAAGACCATAAACAACTTAGTACTACTCCATTTAGTTCAGACTACGAGTGCAAAAGAAATACGTTCAACCCCTTCTCCTACCTCAGCCAACCACAGGACCAATAAATCAATAATCTTAATTATAGTGACCTAATCCAACTAATGTATATACAACTGTTTTTGGTCAAATATTTTTGTTTTTGTTCACATATCTTTGTATTATATTATTATTATTATTATTGGTTCAGTATTACTACTAATCTTTCAAACACATGATGAATTTACTTCTCACTCACTCCATTTTATTATTACCGAATTTTGTTGCACACCATTCATTTGTTGTGTTTTACCTTCCATAATTTATCCCTTTACTGATAGGTACCATTCATATTTTAGAAAAATAAAGCCTTAAAATTACTAAACGATCATATAAATCAAGGCTATGCTGCACGTTTCTTTGGTGTACACGAGATTTCTTAAGAAAAATATCTTCCACAGAGACAAATAGTGTATAAAAATAGTAAATATTGAGGTAGTTTAAATTTCTTTAAACTATGTTCATACCATTAAATTTTGCATACTTACTGTGTATAGTACAATAAACACATACGGTTAGATGTCATGTTTAGTGCTTACCAAGTAAAGACCGTGCATTACTTTGGATAAAATTTGAATCTTGTCAACTATCTCTGATCTGGTTGATATTGCGAGTTCAGCATGTCGGCCGGTTGCTGCAATTGTTCGATCAATCTTTTTGTATAATAATTTCTGCCAATTTTGAGTTCTATGATCGAGCTAAAACAATGTGAATGACAAACATTAAGTGCGTTATAACGAGCGATTATTATTCTCCTTCTCAACCAGCTTTACACATATATTTCTTCCCTTACTAAGCATTTCATTTTTAATAAACACTTTTGTTCACTAATTCAATATTAATCTATCATGACTTTAAACAACATAATCAAATACAATCGTTGAAACAAAAGACAACCCATACAATTCAATTTTAAAAGAATAAACGCAATGTGGCTCAACATACAGATGATATAGAGGATAGGTTGATGAATTTTATAAAAATCGCTTTTAAATAACTAGAAAATATCCATAAATAACTGCAAACTAGACATAATCAACTACGGGTTATCGTTGAATTCGTCATCTCATAAATGATGATTGCCTGTTACGAACTGGTATGATTATACAGATAATTCAGAATTCTATGCAGTTCTGCTCTACTGAATGATATGATATAAAAAGTTGGAATAATTAGCCAGCTATATTCATGAAGGCTTATCTATTACTGATTAAAGAATATGAGGTTGATGGTAATTTTCTTTGAGATTTTGTTACAAATATAACACGGTTGATTAACGTTAGAATATCTGGACACAAAACTGATTATTTGTACTGCCTTTGCCTAAAGATGTTGAAGCCTAAAATGATGTAAATATCTATAAAACAGGATGAGTTTTGCTGGTAACTAATCAAAGATGTGAATCTTTACATTGACTCCTGGTTTTTCTAAAAAATCATCTTTGTCATATTTGATTCAAATGCTCTACTCAATTAGCCACTATCATCCATAATTTAGCGATTACTTTCTACAAAGTACAACCCATTATGTGTAGTAAATGAATTCAGTAGGAATACATTTCAAACGTGATGAATTTATGATAATGATAACTCATTTGTTAATGTATATGTTATATATATATATATATATATATATATATATATATATATATATATATATATATATTGATATAATATTAGACAATGTAAACTCACATCGCCTTCTTGATCCAAAGCATTGTTGAGGAAAGCTTCAATAGCAGTGTCACTTTCTCTCTGTGCATATAAAAAAACACGAACACACAGATATATATATATATATATATATATATATGATTGATAATAATGATAAAAGAGGTGAATGATGATGAAACGGGGAATTAAAGATAATAATCTTTTTTGAGAGGAAGAAAAAATATGGGAAACGATAAGTATTATGTTGAAGTAAGATAATGTGATATTTTAATATCAAACCATTATTTCATTATGTTTAGAATTATTGCTTGAGCAAGCTGATTAGTGAAAATTTACGCAAATAATGCAACAATTAGGGAAGCATCAACAACGATAAGGGAAATAGGGTTGATTAAATTATCAATTTTAGACGATTCTCAAAGAGGTAAGTAAAATCATGACAATATTTCATATTTCTTACAATATATGGGTAAGGCAGAAATAGTCAACATTTTCAAAAACACAGAATCAAATCACATTCACAAAGTTAACAAGTTAATAGGAGAAGAGATATTCAACAATAAGTGGAGGGGAGAGGGTTATTACAAACATTATTTTATCCATGCTTTGCCAAAATAGTATACAGACAACGCACAAAAATATACACAGTTAATGACATAGTATTGAAGAAAATTCTGGTGTATATATGGATATAAATATTTCACAAATTTCAAAATGCATATATATATATATATATATATATATATATATATATTCATCTTATTATAAGCTTTATTTTGACCTATGAATTATTACTGTACGATTTACTGTTCTTAAATTATATTCAGTTTATTGATTATTGTCTCCCACGTTCATAGCCACATTTGGCTTGATCTTGTGCAAATATTATTTTCTATTTTGTGGTATAATCCGGTCTGTCTGTCTGTCTGGTATATAAACCACGAATGCTTGAAATAAATAATTCGTATAGCAAAGCTGTAATTGGTGTTCTGGACTCAGTTGGAAGGGCTAGGCGGACAAGGAACCGATAAAGGAGTTAGACTGCTCATACCGGTCGACGTCATTGGGGAAGTCATATTCCGATTGGTGGATAATTCACGTGATAAAAAGCCGGACATAAAATCATAACGAATCGGCATACGTTTAGTAAAGTTTGTTTGAATCTTCCCATCGATTTGTTAGGACTGCAACTGGTCAGTCTCTAATTGGCATATGTGCATACTGTGCGTATTGCCTCGATATACCTTAATTCACAAGCATGGATAGCAGAGATGGATAGTGGCTAGCAGTGGAATCCAGGACGCGCGTTTCGTCCTATTCGGGACTCGTCAGCTGAATGTACCTGCATCTCAGAGTTGATATTCACTCTGGGACTCGAACCCAGTACCCTCGCTGGCCGAGTGGATAACGCGATGGCGTTTGAAGCGAGGGTACTGGGTTCGAGTCCCGGAGTGAACATCAACTATGAGATGCAGGTACATCCAGCTGACGAATCCCGAATAGGACGAAACGCGCGTCCTGGATTCCACTGCTAGCGACTATCCATCTCTGCGAATCGGCATACGGCCTTTTTTTATAAAGTCATAATAGTAATTATGATGTGAATTACTGAGCCATCGTTAATTTCGTCTTATAAACATACTCAGCCCTAACATGGTTAATTACAGCATACATTTATAAGTAAGCAAATGGAATCAAGTTGTTTATTTTCGACCAATCAAGCTGACATTTATTTATTTTCACTTTCTGGAGTATTAATGCTATAGTGTTCTAAAATAGTGATTACTCAAGTGCTTAGTTGAGGATTTTCAGCTGTCCATTCTGTTATAAACTTTAATAATATTACTTGTCTAACAAACTGCTTGTGTGCTTGCTGATTAATACATGCATTTAAATATTAAATACTACCATTTTTTGAGGAAAATATTTTTACTCATTTGTGCGCATTCGTATGCGCATATTAGAACGGATTAGATACCTTACTAAGTCATAAATGCAAGTATGTCAGAACTGTACTCATTGGCTCCTCGGTTGTTCAAACTTTTCAGTTCATTATGATTCATGGAAGCTTACTTTTGTTCTTTATTTAATAAGGTCTTCTTCATAATACTCATCTTTTGGTATTGTTTTTGTACCTAATTGGGGGGCAGTATATTTCACTTCTAAAGAGTTTCTGTTGGCCAATTTGATGGTTTAGAATAAATTTTAACTGTCGTAGCAAAACAGTGGGCTTTGGATGAAGCATGCAGTTGTCTTTTAGTTAACCATATTCATTTAGATTTATTCACATCTTGATTCATTGAACCCTCTCTTTTACTGTTGATTTAATGTAGTGACTACAATTACTACACAAAATGCACTATGTGATAATAAACTTGGATTATATATTCAGATAAACATAAAAAGGTCATTTTCCAGTACTTCTGGAAGGACTTTACAATCATCCGACTTGAGAGTAATAACGAAATTATTGTCTAAAAATCTCTATTCCTTGTGTATGTGTGTGTTATAGTAATAGTTAGTATTAATAATAACAACTTAATAAAGTAACTTTAGCGAGTAAACATTTATTGAAAAAGAGGACACCAAAGAAATATAGGAAGAGGAAAACTCATGAAAAATGAATTACTATTTAAGGCAGCTGACGGGCAATTTAAATCAAAGCATTATCGCATTTCATATTTCTTCATACATCACTGGGGCCATGAGGGTGGAGTGGTACGCTATTACCAATAATCATCAACGTAGTTTGTATGTATGGGTGTGTGGGTGCAAGTACAGATGCTTATATAACAGCTTATTACTCAGACCGATCCACTACATACACAAAAAAGGGCAATAACATAGATGCATTCAACAGATATGGGAGATTGGAAAAAATGCGAACAGTGAGACACACACAACAACAGATTAATACACATATATGTTTGTAGATATTTTAATATTTTAAGAAAACAAATACCTGCATTAAATGTTCCAAACCTCTGTCACCTGTCAAACTAAGCGTTTCCTTTTAATAGTAACAATAATAATAGTAATGACTGAGTGAATAAGATAAATTGAATGGATGACAAAAAATTTGTGTAATACGCGTGAATGCAGCCAATGAATTTTATCTATACAGAGAGATATTAAGTTTATGATTTATATCACGGACTGACTATTACTAGACAATTACAGATAACCAGGGAACTAAATCGTTTTGTAATGGAACTTCTCAACCATGACTATCCAATTCTTTCTGATTTTCAGTGATTGTCTACAAACTCATGATTATAACATTAAAACAATTCCTTGAAAAATAAAAAGGTAAATTAAAACTAAGCAAAAGTAGCTAAGTGTATAAGGAATTAAAAGAAATCACTTTCAGATTAATTATGAACACCGATAAATTCGCACTCATGGATCAACGAAACACAACAACGATTAACCGATCACGAAAACCTGTCATCAACTACAATATTTTTGGAAGTTATTGAGTTGATTGCAAGAAGAAATAGATTTACGATTATACAATAAATATAAATAAAGAGTAATTGACTAAATCAAAATGTATATTTTCATTTCAGTAAATCTCGGTTTCAAATCACATCAGGTGTATTCAAGCTACAAAAGTTAGCCAATTTCGCTAAACGTAAATCGAATATATATATATATATATATATATATATATATATATATATATATATGGTATAGTAATAGTTAGTGTTAATAATAACAACTTAATAAAGTAACTTTAGCGAGTAAACATTTATTGAAAAAGAGGACACCAAAGAAATATAGGAAGAGGAAAACTCATGAAAAATGAATATATATGAATGTATATATATATATATATATATATATATATATATATATGACTAAAGTTTTTAGTTAAATCGTCGCACTATTAAGGATCGTATCTACACATAACAACTATTTCACCCCTGAACGTTCATCAATTAATAATCCCCATAAAAATATTAATCTATCCGAGCTATGGGCTGCTTAATCTATGTAATGTACCTGATTTGAGGATATATGATATTTTTGTATTATTATGATGTATATTACCTATCTTGAGACATACAAATTTTATTATGAGCATTGAAAAATATCTATTTTATTCAGTCGGTTTTAAAATCAGTCGTTTATATAAGTAAATACAAGTAAATAGATGTACAACGATCAGTTCCCAATCCCATATGAAACTGTAATGTTAATGAAGTAGAATAAAGATTTATGGTTGTTTCTTTGCTTTTTCCCGTATGATTCATGGGTAAATAAAGTTAGTTTCAAACTAATCAGATGAACATTTAATCATATCTTCAAAATAAAATATAAGCAGTAGGATTTCCAAGTTCCATTAGTTGTAAGTAGTATAATCATTGTTACACATCCACATCACTTTATTCCTGTTCGTTTACGCAACCAAAGGAATTAACAAAATTTTATCGAAAAATAGAATTTAGTACATATACATATACACTTATAACATACCTTAATCAGCTTTCTTTTCGCGGATAATACCAGTTCCTGCTCACGTCCACCAAGTTGACTTAAACCTTTTCGATTATTTGAGTTAGAAAAATTCAATTTTTTTATTTAAAAAAGAACACATTGTTGATTGTATAAAAGTTATGAGATTACCTCAATAACCGAACTAATACTAGATAGCTAATTGATATCTGTTCAGTTCAACGGAAATCAAAGAATATTTACTTTTTAGGGATGGGAGGTGATATATAGGGAGATTTCAGACAGAAAACATGTTATTACAAAGTAAAACAAATTAAGTGCTGCGTCAAAGGTATATAGTGGTACTAAATTCATACGCAGATAGTCTGTTGTAAGTAAAATGAGTATCTGCCTAGGGCCATCGTCCCTATAAGGTGAAATGTCTCAAATTTCACTAGGATGTCTTCTTAGATAATGAATTCTAAGTAGTTCTTACTAATTTTTAGTAATTAGTTTAGCATGTGAGTGAACCTCCGAAAAGACAGATTACATAAACTGTATGCCACAGACAGAGACTAAAAGTTCAGAAAAGCTATAAAACAAAACAACTGTAACGGTAAAGACTCAATAATATCTCATATGAAATAACTCATTGGAAATATATCAGGCCATTTGGAAAAGAGAGAGCGAGACTATTTATTATTATTTTTTGAAAGTTAGAAAAGCAATAAAGTAAAACAGGAAATAAAAACAAGTTAGGTGAAACAGGTTTAGTAGGTCTTGTAAACAAATAGAGTCAAATGATAAAAAATGAAATTAAGGGAAAGTTATCCATCGAATATATTACATTTATTTGAATCAACTAACGAATGTCACTGGTACATAAAGAAGTACATGCACAACGTGATGTCTGAATAATCATAATATTTCTTATCGGTGAATTTTTTTTACATGACATTCAATTTCAAAATAAATAATTTTGTTTTCACTCTTGTAAAAGAGTTTGTCTTACAGGAATGAATATGTAGATATTTGAAGAGCCTTGATAAGCCTACATATTATTGAACTATTGGAATGATTGAGTATGAGTTTGAGGAAAAGTAATTTCACTGTATTTTTATGAAGACTTACAATTAGGTCTCATGTTTATCAAGTTTCAGCTAAATGAACTGCGAAACTACAATATATGGACAAATCAGTCGGATTTAAGATACGACTTCTAAATTTTTTGGGCAACATTCATTTACACATTACTTCGCACTATAATTCACGTCAGTTACTGATGTAAACTTTAACCCTAGTTTCTAACCATAGCCATTAACCGTAACCTTGAGTTTTAATTATCAACACTAATTCTTAGCTCTGTTATATGACCCCTCAAAATCACTTTATAATCGTTCACCACTGTCTATAAATTATAGTCATACTGTGTATGCTATTTATGTCTATTAACACCAGTCAGAAGAGGAATGCCTGGCAGCAGAAGACTAAGAAGATCGAGTTAAAGAAAATAGAAAGGGAAATAGAAATAGTGAATTGGAAGAATCATACAGAATGTGAAGGACAATTCATTGAAGATTTGCAAATGAAGTGTGTAATGTAAAGTTCTCATATTTTACGAAGAGACTCTTTACTTTTTCATTACATAATTAATTGGTCCCCCCCAACTTGAGTTCCCGTTCACTACAGTCACATCAAGTGAACTGTAAATTCCGTTGACTGTATCATTGTTTTATACTTATTAATTATTCAAGAAATATCAAATGATGTCTTTAAAAATGATCGCAAATCAATTAAAATAGTATGTAAATTTGAACATACATAGAATTAATTATATCATGTTTACTTACCAACTGGTAGAAGACGTTTAATACATGCGACAGTTAAACTTGTATGTGGACCAGTTTTAGCCTTTTTTACTTTATGCGTTATTCATGAATAAAGCGTGAAAGATGAGAAGATAGAGTAAAACTTAATGATTTATCTGTTTTATTACACCTAACACTATTTTATTTGCATCAATAGAAAAATTAAATGATTTAAGTGAAATTCAGTAATGAATTGAATGAAATGCATTACATTTATGATTGCGTAAATTTTATGAATTAGTCAAACAAAGGGAATTTTAAATTCACTTGGTATTGTTTACTTGTATACTCCCAGTGTTGTTTAGGACAGCAATTAATCAGTCGCTTGTTGGCATATGTGCATCCCGTGCAGACTGCCTCGATATAGCTTTAAGTAACATGCCAACAAGAGACTGATCAATTGCAGTCCTAAACAACAGTGAGAATATACAAGCAAACAATATCAAGTGAATTTAAATTTCACCTCAATGCACAAGCAAGGGGCTATCAGGACTCTGTAGCTAGGTGGATAACGCGATGACGTTTGAAGCGAACGGTGCTGCGTTCCAGTCCCAGAGTGAACATCAACTCTGGGATGTATATGCACCCAGCTGGCGAGTCTCAAGTAGGGCGAAACGCGCGTTCTGGATTCTACTGCTAGCCACTACCCATCTTTCCTTATAAAAGAAATTTTAGTTATCAAAGATAATAAATCTAGAATAAAAAGGAAAGGGAATTGATCGTTTTTGGATAACTGTTCTAATAGCTTTTTTTCATGGTTGGTTGTTAAGAGCTAATCAGTTACAGTCTCTCTCCGTTTCATAATGGTCATTCAAACTGTTGTTCATGCCATTTGGAAGTTAATAAAGTGATGTACACGAAATGTACATTCTGTTGTTGTGTTACAAGATCAGTGGATTTTTGTGAAAACTTATAATACTCACTTACTTCTTTAACTTATAAATTGTCCATCTAAATTTTTAGTTTCTATCTATATCAACTTTATGAGAAATCTTTATTCTGGGCAATCACGAAGTTATTTATCCGAATGTTAATTCTATAAACTGAGCGATCATCAGCATAGAAAGAATATAAAATATACACAGAATTGATTATTTAAATTAATCACAAAATCATTGTGTGTAATCCTATAGAACTCGGTGTTCTCAAACCAAATAAATACCTTTCAAAATATCAATAAACTCTTTTTACGAAGCATATATGGCCTTATAAAAGTATAGTTTCTTCTAAGATATTGATAACAAGTAAATTACCATTGAAGGCTATGAAGTATTTAATAACTATTAGGTCATAATTTAAAAATCAATCACCATTGAAAACTAACGAACCTACATGATAATGAACTTATGATCTTCACGTCTTGATATTAGTTCAATACCTAAAAACCATCATCATTCAGTCATACATCCCATAAACTTCATTCAATATATAACGATGATTCGTGATAAAAAAAGTCTTCAAAGTTTAAACTTAGTGGAATGTGTTGGTCATGGTAGATAAATTTAAATATCAACTTAGTTTTTAACATAAATGAATAATTTTAATGGTTGAGATCATGAATCAATTGAAACTAGACCACCATTGAAAACTTGGAAGCACTGGACGGCCGTTTCGTCCTATTACGGGACTCCTCAGCAGTGGTGCGCATCCACGAACTGATTACCAATATGAAGTGTTTGAATTTGACCATTTAGCATCTTAATTTAATTTGTCAACATTTGTTCTAATTGTATTAATTACTTTTATCAACCTAAGTAAAAAAATTATCATGTTTAGAAATATATTGTTTTTATAGTTGAAAGCATGAGTCAATTGAAGCTAGACCACCAAGGAAAACCTGGAAGCACTGGACGGCCATTTCGTCCTTATATGTATAATATGGTATGATTTAACTCGTACATCAAGTATGGACAATATATATAGTCACCATTCACCTACACTGTTTGTTTAGACGAATATATTCTGTCTGATTAGCTAAATTCAACTACGTGTTATACAGTTGTCATTAGTAGCATAATAGAAAATAAACTACTAATAAAAGAAACTTTATTGTCACTATGACTCAACAAAATGGCTATGACGAATAACCCTAGTTTATTATCGATTTACAAAATCTTAATGATGAGTGTTTATCAGTTCAATCAATATTTCTACCCTGTGATGACACAATTACACTTTGTTGAAAGTATCAATAGTTAAATGGAAATATATGAATTATAGAAGGGGTTTTGTGGAGATTTAGTATTTATCAATGTTGAAAACGTGAGTCAATTGAAGCTAGACCACCATCGAAAACCTGGAAACACTGGACGGCCGTTTCGTCCTATTATGGGACTCAGCAGTGCTCATCCACGAACCCGCTCTCGCGAGATTCGAACTGGATCAGTTGAAGTTAGACATTAACACCGTTGGATGCCAGCTCAGTGGTCTATCGGTTAAGGGCTTCGGCTCGAGACTGGTAGGTCCTGGGTTCGGATCTCGCGAGAGCAGGTTCGTGGATGCGCACTGCTGAGGAGTCCCATAATAGAACGAAACGGTCGTCCAGTGTTTCCAGGTTTTCCATGGTGGTCTAGCTTCAATTAACTCACGCTTTCAACATTGGGAAATATATGAATTATTTTTATTATCAATACAAAAATAAATAAATCAGCATAATAATTCATATCAATCTACAAACATTAGACACAATGATCCATATGCTTTCGAAAAAATTGTTGTGATCTGCAGTGTCCGAAATCTGATACTGATACATGGTATGCAATGCGTTAACCCACCTTCCAACTGGCTACTTGAGTGGGGACACAAAAGTGGACAAGAAAGCGTATTAGACTACCGAATGCGATGCACAAATATATATATATATATATATATATATATATATATATATATATATATATATATATATATATATATCCTTAGGAAATTGATCCATTGACCCACTGAAATGAACTTGACCTTTAGGTGACTTTTGATTGTCATCGGTTGACCTTTTCATTGGGCTACTTCTGATCGGGTCTCCATACAAAAATAATAAATTGTTTTTCATTTATGTATGTTGAACATACCATTTTTCAAACTGCTTGATTCATTACGTCCATTTGTGTGAGTTCGACTTCTATTTATACCTGGTGTTAAATTTTCCCCACTTGGCACAATCAGTGATAACCGATCAATTTCATGAGCGCTTACAAAATTCTCTTCTTCACGTTTAAATTTCTATAGAATTAAGTTCCAAATAAAAAAAAACAATAAATTATTTTAGATTGCTGAATTCAGGCTGTAAAAATGAATTTTTATTTAAATGATTTCATAATATAATAAAGAGTAGATCTGTTTAGTTAACTCCGCCTGTAGCTCCTCCAGGGGCTACTGCCGGTCCCAAGCCCGGGTAAAGGAGGAGGGTTGGGCATGGGGTTAGCGACCCCATCCCGTAGAAAATCAACTCGCTAAAAAAACGCTAACCAGAAAAAATCATTCAAACCATTCAAACTCTGCCCTGGGAGTAGAAGGAAAAATGACGTCTCATGATGAAAGCCGAGTTCATTCGGAAGTCATGAGGCCGATGCACCTTCTTACAACCAGAGCGACAATTTTTATAGGTACATGGAATGTCCGGACAATGTGGGAGACTGGCAGAGTCTTCCAAATTTCTGCGGAAATGAGGAAATACAACCTGGAAGTGCTTGGAATCAGTGAAACACATTGGACGCAGGTTGGACAACAACGACTGTCTTCAGGGGAACTTCTTTTATACTCCGGTCATGAAGAAGAAAATGCCCCACATACACAAGGAGTGGCACTGATGCTGTCTAGAAAAGCACAAAATGCACTTATAGGATGGGAATCTCATGGACCGAGGATCATCAAAGCCTCCTTCAGAACAAAGAGAGAGGGCATTACAATGAACATCATCCAATGCTATGCGCCGACCAACGACTACGATGAAGACGCTAAAAACCAATTCTACGATAGGCTGCAGTCGATCTTCGAGAAGTGCCCAACCAAGGACCTGACCATTCTAATGGGAGATTTCAATGCCAAGGTTGGAAAGGACAACACTGGATACGAAGACGTCATGGGACAACATGGACTGGGAGGAAGGAACGAAAACGGTGAGAGATTTGCAAACCTATGTGCCTTCAATAAACTGGTCATAGGTGGCACCATATTCCCACACAAAAACATACACAAAGCCACTTGGATTTCACCGGATCACACTACACAGAATCAAATCGACCATATCTGCATCAACAAAAAGTTCAGGAGGACGATGGAGGATGTGAGAACCAAGAGAGGAGCTGATATAGCATCCGATCACCATTTGCTGGTCGCCAAGATGAAACTAAAACTCAAGAAGCACTGGACAATGGCGCGTACAACATCACAAAAGTTTAACACGGCCTTTCTTCGAGATGCTGACAAACTCAACGAATTTAACATAGCCCTCAGCAACAGGTTCCAGGCCTTTCATAACCTACTCAATGAAGAGGGAACCACCATAGAGAGCAGCTGGAAAGGTATCAAGGAGGCAATCGTTTCAACATGTCAGGAGGTTCTGGGCCAAAAGAAGCACCATCACAAGGAATGGATCACTGTTGGTACACTGGATAAAATTGAAGCAAGGAGGAACAAGAAGGTAGCAATCAATATCAGCCGAACAAGAGCAGAAAAAGCCAAGGCACAAGCCGAATACACAGAGGCAAACAAGCAAGTGAAGAGGAGCATCAGGACCGACAAACGTAAATATGTGGAAGATTTAGCGATGACAGCGGAAAAGGCTGCAAGAGAGGGAAACATGAGACAACTGTATGATACAACAAAGAAACTTGCTGGAAATTACCGTCAACCAGAAAGACCAGTGAAAAACAAGGAAGGCAAAGTAATCAACGATATTGAAGAACAACGAAACAGGTGGGTAGAACACTTCAAAGAACTCTTGAATCGACCAGCTCCACTGAACCCACCCAACATCGAAGCAGCACCCACAGACCTCCCAATCGATATTGGCCGACCAACAATTGAAGAGATCAGCATGGCCATTAGACAAATCAAGAGTGGCAAAGCAGCGGGACCAGACAACATCCCGGCAGAGGCACTGAAAGCAAATGTAACAGCAACTGCCAAGATACTCCACATCCTCTTCGGTAAGATTTGGGACGAAGAACATGTACCAACAGACTGGAAAGAAGGACTTCTCATCAAGATACCAAAGAAAGGCGATCTGAGCAAGTGCGACAACTACAGAGGCATCACTCTCCTCTCAATACCAGGAAAAGTCTTCAACAGAGTATTGTTAAACAGGATGAAGGATTCCGTGGACGCTCAACTTCGAGATCAACAAGCTGGATTTCGTAAGGATAGATCGTGCACAGATCAAATCGCAACTCTACGTATCATTGTGGAACAATCAATCGAATGGAATTCATCACTGTACATCAACTTCATCGACTACGAGAAGGCATTTGATAGCGTGGACAGGACGACACTGTGGAAGCTTCTTCGACACTACGGTGTGCCTGAGAAGATAGTAAATATCATACGGAACTCCTATGATGGACTAAACTGCCAAATCGTCCACGGAGGACAACTCACCGACTCGTTCGAGGTAAAGACCGGTGTTAGGCAAGGTTGCCTACTCTCACCCTTTCTCTTTCTCCTGGTGATCGACTGGATTATGAAGACGTCAACATCTGGAGGAATGCACGGGATACAGTGGACAGGCAGGATGCAGCTTGACGATTTAGACTTCGCGGATGATCTGGCTCTTCTATCACAAACGCAACAACAAATGCAGGAGAAAACGACCAGTGTAGCAGCAGCCTCAGCAGCAGTAGGTCTCAATATAAACAAAGGGAAAAGCAAGACTCTCCGATACAATACAATATGCACCAATCCAATTACACTTGACGGAGAAGCTTTGGAGGATGTGGAAATCTTTACATATCTGGGCAGCATCATTGATGAACACGGTGGATCAGATGCAGATGTGAGGGCGAGGATCGGCAAAGCAAGAGCAGCATACCTACAGCTGAAAAACATCTGGAGCTCAAAACAATTGTCAACCAACACCAAGGTTAGAATTTTCAATACAAATGTCAAGACAGTTCTTCTGTATGGGGCAGAGACGTGGAGAACTACGAAAGCCATTATCCAGAAGATACAAGTGTTTATTAACAGCTGTCTACGCAAGATACTTCGGATCCGATGGCCAGACACTATCAGCAACAAGTTACTGTGGGAGAGAACAAACCAGATTCCAGCGGAGGAAGAAATCAGGAAGAAGCGGTGGAAGTGGATTGGGCACACTTTGAGGAAATCACCCAATTGTGTCACAAGACAAGCCCTCACATGGAATCCTGAAGGTCGAAGGAGAAGAGGAAGACCAAAGAACACATTACGCCGAGAAATAGAGACAGACATGAGAAGAATGAACAAGAACTGGAAAGAACTAGAAAAGAAGGCCCAGGACAGAGTGGGTTGGAGAAAGCTGGTCGGCGGCCTATGCTCCATTGGGAGTAACAGGCGAAAGTAAGTAAGTAAGCTGTTTAGTTAGGGAAGGACGAAATAAAAGTAACAAATGACTAGAAAAGTAAGATTAGTTTCTTCAGAATCCGCATTCTTTTTATTTCTTTGTGTATTTTCTTTTGGCTGGGAAATACTTGGATTTTTCCGATGTTTTATCTTCTTTTTAACTAAGCGAATCCCAGGAGTGACAGTGTATGATGTCAAAACATCCATGCTCTGTATTTCGTTGATTGATCAATCTCTCCATTATCCGATGTTTCAAAGTTGATATTATCATTACTATTATTATTATTCAACACTTTCGATGTTGCCTGAAAAAAATGAACCAAGTCGAATTGACTTTACTGTAAAAATGCCTTCATCTGTTTCTATACCTGAAACAGTTAAGATTTGGAATAGTTCCTAATTCTAAACTAATTTGACCATAAAAAAATCAAATTACTTACTGGGATTTAGCTTACATATTCATTATAAATATAATTCAATGAGATCAAAAGATAACTCTTTATAATTACGTTCTTATACAATTTCCTAATAATAAAACTATTAAGTCATTAACTTCGAGAATGAAGAATGAGGATTGATGTTCATTTCTTCGTCAGAGAAATATTCATAATCCTGACCCAAAGTTAGTCAAGGTGGCTCAAATACAATTATTTTATTTTTGATTTAGAGTTATGATGTTATTTTATGCTTCATTATTTTAGATTGAAATGGTTCTTTTCAAAAAATATTCACTGATTGGTTTCTTCGATCGTTGATTAGATTATTTTGCTTACATTTTCTCCGAAAGTTCTGATTTGAAGTAAACCAACTTTGATAGACACACAATTGTGCCAGTTTCTAAGTCATTTACTACTGGGAAATGAAGTTTGTTGGAGTTCAGTGGTTCATTCTTATATGCTTATAAGTAAAAATATTAGCTATGACCAACAAAATCCGCATATATGTAAAAAAGCTTTTGTTATCGAAAAGACACTGATCAGGACAGAAATTTAAAACTCTAGTGAACGGTCTATCCACTTTACTACATTAAGTCCAGTTAGTTCTAAACCGCTTGCCAAACTTCAGAACAGCGCTTAATTTATATTTATAAATCTCTGATATTCCAACTTGTCACAGGGTGTGTGCTATTTTATAATTTAAAATTCATGTCCCAATTTAGTTCTTTTTCAGTTATTTAAAACATACACTTCTGTAATCGCGCTTTCCACAGCGTAAATGACCCCTAAACGTTTCATGATTAATGGTCTGTAGATGTTTAGCGTTTATGTATCACATTTTTATATAAATCTCTTTTTTAAAGGTTTTGCTTACAACTTGGTCATTGTGCTTGAATGCTCGGAAAGATTCTTTAGCTGTAAAAGAATTAGTTCAAGATACTTTTAGCTGAATATTCTTTAGAATTTATGTTTAATTTTTGGACCAAATCAACAGCACATCACATTGTAAACTGTGCGGCTCTCTAACTTACCGTTGCTCTGATCCATACTAGAAACATCCTTGCAACAGCTGAGAATAAACGTTGCGTTTCATATGTTGGCTTTTTCAACCAAGCACTTCGATGACGATCAACAAATTTTATTAGAAGGGGATAGAACGCAAATAAATTTCGTACTAGTATTTCAACCAAACATGATAGTTCTTCTTCACGTTCCCCGACACTTTCGGAACCTGAGAAATGGAAAGAAGAAAAATATATTTAATTGATATAAATTTCTAAGTACTCATTTACAAACATTCAAATATTAGAGCCTATTTAATTGGTATTTTTTCTTATTTTGAGATTTTATAGAAATAAATAACGCTAAAACTTCTATAACAGTCTCACCTACACTTGAGTCTGTTTACGTCTGAATGTATCAAGCTCTTTAACTAACTTATTTAACAAATAGAGTTACTTATATCGGTAACAATTTGTTTAAATCTTTACACTACTATTCGCAAACTTGTATGATCATATATGATAATTCATCTGTCACAGATCACATGTATACTCCTCTTTTAAATAAATATTAGTTACTCAAACCGCGTGACGACTAGTTCACATACTCATATATAATGTGTTTTTTATTTTCTACTCATTTACTTAATGATTCATATTCTTGTTCTCTTCGTGCGCTTGGTGGTCGTTCATTCTATGCTGTATGAAAATAAAATAGTTATTAATTAGTATTATGTTTTTAAATTTATGCACCGTTGGATAATCACTGTAATAGCTGTTATCAAAGCAATTAATATACAAATTATTGGATTCTCAAGCTTTGATAATATTAATTTAATAGTTGAAATGCTATAATGGTTAGCTGGGTATTACTAAGGCCAAAAAGGATTATGTGTGATGACTCTAAGAATTAATGTAAAAATGTACTATACAGACATCCTCGAGCGATCTATCAGCCAATCAAGAAACGCTTCTTAAATATAAAAGAATTAACAATAAAAAGTTACGGAATTGTAATGGTATAATTGTTTTGGAATGATTGATTGACTTTTAGGTGTTGAATTATTCATTATAGTGAAAGAAAAATATTAAGTTTATAAATTAAGAGTTGGGCTAGTGTTATGAGTTAGGGTTATAATCCTATAGGGTTTTCATCACCAACTGACATCGGGTATAATGGTAAATGGCTGAGGGTGTTCACTGGTACTTTACCACCATTTTGTTTGTAAACTTAAAAACATTGGGGTTGAGATTCAGTCAGTAGTTATAGTGGTAAAACACTACCTAGCTACACAAACACACTTGACTATACTCGGAATTACATCAAGTACTTCAACACACATATGTATTCAAATCCGCACCAGATGCGGATATTTCTTGTGATCTAGCTTAAGGATCACATCATATTCACGGCATAGTAAATATCTTTTATTGATTTTAATTCCGCTAATGATTATACGAAGGGCTGCATTAGTTCTGAGTGGTTCATTCAAGGGGGTCGGTACAGTATAGTTTTACGAGTCAATATGTCCAATAACAAATGACAATATATCTTATGATCACTAAACTTTAAGATATTATTAGTATGATCATTATATCAGGCTGAAAAGATATTAATATCATCCCATAAAGAGTTCTCATGTCACCAACAAGATTTTAGGATTACTCGTGCTTATATTCATCAAAGAAAAGTCAAATAAAAGCTTAACAGATACATAATGATAGCCAACAACCTGAACTACATTGAACTATACAAAAATTCATCCTTAAACTCTACACGTCAAAAACAATATTGAAGAGCCACCTTGATATGAGTTTTAGAGTTATAATAATACATATGATACTTATAACTTTTCGTTAATGAAGCCTTCATCCACGTATTATCTTTGAGTAATGTTATTACGAAACAGCAAGTCATATAGGGTAACGAACAAAAATACGTAAATCGATCTTTCAATGAAATGTACTTTTGGAGTGAAAATTTGTACAACTCATATGGTAAAATAAAATCTTTATATTATAATCTGTTAGTTGCCATTAAGGATTGTTTATGAAACTTTTCACTATCTTTGCATACCTGCACGTTTTTCCGCTCTATACGCCTCTTCTACTCTTTCAACAATCAAAGCATGTTCGAGTAGTCTTTCAGATACTGGCAAAAAATATTGACCAAGCATATCAGCTGTAGAATTAGCTACAATGGGCTGAGTACGCGCTGTGAAAAATCAAGGAAAATGAAATATACTTCACATAAATTAATTGATAATATATGTCAATGTTCATTTTTAAAATCATTATTTGTTTTATACATAAAGCGACCTTCATACTCTGCAGATAAAATCTTGAGAAATGATATAATTCAGTTTGTCAACTTCATGATGATATTGGATTGTACTTGATAAATACAGTTAGTGTTTTCTTCATACTGTGCGTTCTCTTTAATTTTCAAAATGGAGTTGGTTATAGAGAGGGGTGTATCCAAGATATATCAAATGTTAAAAGTTCATGTCCGACAACTGACTTCAACTAGTGTTGTGGGAATCCATGAAATTAATTGGTTCTCAACTTGAATAATTCTATAAATTGCCGTAAACTGATTCTTTCTGACATGTTTCACATAAAATGCTATTTATATCTATCAGTAAAATATAGAATAATCTGTTACTTCAGTATATTCAGAGAACAGTGGTGACAGTTATAGTTTTAAAAAAGTGATCACTCATTTCACTAAGTTGGTTTACTTTGTTCAAAACTTTCAGTCTGTGGTTCATAATAATTAAAGTTGTCCATAGTGTAGTCAAATAAAAAAATTACATTATTCTTCGTCAGTATGGAGTTTTGGAGATTGTTGGATTTCATTGAAATTATCAACCGGTAAATGTTAGACAATCATTGTAAACTTAGAAGCACTTGATAGTCGTTTCATCCTACCATGTGACCACTCAAAAGGGCACACTCACGACACCTCAAGCAGGAATCAAACCCAGGACCTTCGGTTTCACGCATGAATGCCTAAATGATTGAAGTTGGGCTTGTGTATCATTGTATCCCGATTCAGTGGTTTAGAGGTTAAGCGTTCACTGATCTCAAGGTCGTGGATGTTCTCTGACTAAGAGTCCCATACGAGAACAAAACAGCCGCTCAATGGTTTCAACGGTTATATAACTTTGATCTGTTGACTGTTTTAATGATAGATTATGATTGTTTTAGATTAACATTTGATACTATCAGTACTATTACTACTACTACTTCTACTCGTACTACTGTCATTACTACTAATTGAAGAAAATTGATTAATAAGCAAGTTGGATAGTTCGTTAGTAATAGAAGGAGGAAAAAAACTAATACAATTTGAATACTTCTACAATTGCATTATCAGATGATTACTATATATTAATCACTATTTAACTGAAAGTGTTTTTGTCAAATTGCTTGTTCATCAGACAATGATTTCTTGTGTAATCCAAAAAAACATCGTCATTTGAAAAACACGGTAAATCAAATCTGCCATTGTAAAAATTTATTTTTATTTGTTATACTGAAACGGTTAAATTTTTGTTTAAAAAAAATTTAAAAACATGACTAAGAAGATAATTACTAGCTATTCTTGTCATCCAAGGTGCATGTGGTGAGTCAATGTTTGTTTGAATTAATTGCAACACACTTCCAAGAACTCGGTTCATTAGATCAGCTGTAACAGTTGTTAAAGGTCCAGTTGCATTAGCTAGAATGCTATTTCCTTTTGTCTTAGGTAATAAATTACCAGTTTTAGTGTCCTGTCCTATTCCACCTTCATTGGAACCATCATTACAAGAAGTTAAACTCATACATTCAGGTCCTTTACGCCACCAGTTAGGTAAATATGAACAAAGCATAGGTAAAGTAACCTCGATAAGATACGGTGCTTCAGAAGCACCAGTTGCTCCAGATTCAGCTAAAAGTTCCACTTGTTGAATGATACTTTGTAGATCACCAATCGTTTTAGAAAGTTTTTCAAGTACATCTAAAATTGAATAGACATTAATCAGTTATATATAACCAAATATTTTACGAAATATTGTTTTAAATGAATCAAGAGTTTCGACTAATTCGAAACTGTATACCAGTAAAAATTATAGGTTGTCTGTCCATAACTCCATGATTTTTGATAAACCTTACATGAAATTCTGTAATTGATCGTCTTTAAATTTATTGTTCTCAGAAACAGTACGTAATTATGGGATGAAGCCTAAATGTTTTGTTAGTGAGATCTTTTCTTTGATTTGGTATCAGTACAATCATCAAAAGACTGCACACGTAGTTTGAAAAGCGTTTAAATGCTTTGTTTACGCCTATGTGAATTCATGTCCGAATTTCCGAGCACCTTCCAAGGGATTTAAGACAGAGAGGTGCAACACCTTTAAACAGTGTTATAGCTCAGTATTTAATTGATACAGGGCATATTATTGACATTCCACAAGCCTTCGAAATTATTAGCAGACAAAAAACAGTGTCTCACAGGTTTGATAAAGCAATAGCAGTAAAAAACTCAAACCTGATTTATGTGTCCATAAAGAGACAATAATAAACTTATCACCACTGCTGAGGAGTCCCATAATAGGACGAAACGGCCGTCCAGTGTTTCCAGGTTTTCCATGGTGGTCTAGCTTCAATTGACTCACGCTTTCAACTATGATATCTATGTCCATTGTTTCTTTTGATATCATACCTCAATGTTGTCTTTCAATCATTGTAACCAATTGAAGAGGAACTACGAACAATAATGGATTCGTATTATTCTGCCTCAATTTTTGTTCTGGCTTTATTTAAAGTCATAAAAGTAACCAGTGAAATGAAATTTATTCTTACTTTGCAGATAATAATAATTCAGATGTGATAAAAAATCTTTCTTAATATAATAATTATTTTGTTCACTTTTAGGTATTTATCCTTGTTGATAACTTTATCGTACGCTTTTAAGTGTATGCAATGTCTGTATGCACCTGTACTTATTTATTTAATCTATTGAATGTTTTATACCTGAACTGAGACACGAAATAGTCCGGTGTTTTTCAGCTCAGTGTAATAATCGAAATTAAATGCATTCACTACTCCTATAATATGTCTTCTAAAACGATTGTATGAACACATTTGTGTTTTAAATATACCCGGACTTCACTTCTCATATCATGTAATTAAATGTGTTTTAAGTCAACAAATACACACGATCTATACAAAAATCGGGGATCAGAAATTTGAGTCCTAAACAAATAGTAAGATTGTTTTGTGATATTTCACTGAATGTAATTTATTACTTTCATTTTCACCTGTATCCCGGTACCCTTTATGGAATATCAAGGATTCGATAAAAACATTTTAGCTAAAATATCTCATAGTTATGGTTAGATAATAGGGAAACAGACATAGTTCGTCGGTTTCCGTAAATGCCTTTCCTTCAAAAAGCTTTACTTGCACACACAACTCCCTTAGTTGTCTAATTACAATCGTACGATAAAACATACATGGATAAATGACTGATACAACTGTAGTTATGTCTTAAATTCACCTATACACATGAGTTTACAAAATAGTTACTACATCCTACATTTACACAAAATAAATTTACCGCAATGAATCACTAACCTCTAGCTTCAAGACTATAATCACCACCACGATTATTGAATGTAATTGAAAGAGGATTATTAGGATTTAAATTAGCCTCTAGAAAAGCTACAGGGAATGCAGATGCAAGTGCAGCAAGACAATCACCAATTAAAGCTCTATGTCTGAAAAAAAACAAGAGTGTGTGTGAGTGAAATACATTATAATAATAACAAGAGCAGCAAATCTAATATGATGAATAAAAATTGTAAAGTATATATTTACCAAATAATTGATATTATTTACACAAAAATTGTAATATTTCTTTAGGAGTTGTATTTCCAACAACTCCCAGTTTGAATGTATAGAGATATCTTTTTTTGAAGCATTAATATGTGTCAGTATAAATTACTAAAATTCCATCGTTCTTTTTCTATTTCTCCGTTATATTGAAGTCGTGTAAAGCGTGAGATTTAACTGATATTTTCGAAAACTATTTTAAGTATTCAATAAAGAAACAAGCAATTCATAAGTTGTGTGCTTCCAGGTTTTCCTTGGTTGTCTAGCTTCAATGCTTTTAACTATGAAAATACTGAAATCTCCACAAAACCTTTTTCTGATTATAATCATATGCTCACTAGTGACTGACTTCAAGGGATATTTCCTGGAGTTCCAGTGAGAATCAGTGACCGGTGGAGTTCAACCACGTCTGTTGTGAGATAGGAACTCACTGAAGACAATTGGTGAACGGTCGCTCAACTTCGTGGATTGGTTGAAGTCAGACATTATCACCATCGGATGCCAGCTCAGTGGTCTATCGGTTAAGTGCTCTGGAACGAGAGTGGTAGGTACTAGGTTCGAATCTCGTGAGGTGAAATCGTGGATGCTCACTGCTGAGGAGTCCCACGATAGGACGAAAAGGCCGTCCAGTGCTTCGAGGTTTTTCTTGGTGGTCTAGCTTCAATTGACTAATGATTTCAACTATGGAAATTCATAAGTTACCTAAAATTATCCAATGAGCAAAATAATTATTTATTTATTATCATTAAAAGTATCGATTATCTTAAAAAGGAATAATGATAAAACTTCTTTAACCCATGGTAAAAGAAAAGAGAAGACAGTTTTCATTCTTTCACTGCACAATTAACAAGAATTATTCCAGAGAAATTATACGAATGATGAAGTCCCATCGATCGATGGATTATAGTTTTACAACTGAGAAACGAACCCCGTTTTAAAGTGAGAACATCTGAATATAAAATTAATTAATATGTATATCTTTAAACAATGGGGGACAATGATAATTACTGAATACGGTTTAGTTTACATTAAGATAATAATCGACAATGTATTAGACTAATCGGTTAACATAAAGTAAGCAGTTGAGCCAATAATCTTCGAAAAACTGGTCTCAAGTTCATGACGCGTATATCAAACCGACATGTTAGATATCGACAATTTAATGTCTAAGTTTAATGAATGAAACATCATTTAGAGTATACAAGGTTTTATATTGTCTGCAATAAACATTCGCTTGTGACCGTGAGAATGAAACGATTATGAATAAATGAATTTGGAGAATCGATTTGATTAAGCGCATAGCGTTTGAGAGTCCTTCCATTTGGTCGAACTCTAGAGCGACTATGAATAAGTTTAAAGAAGTATTCTTTCACAGCAATTTTCAGGGTTAGGATTGAGGATAAAATTCAGTTTATGATTAAGTCAGAATTAGAGTTAGGATTTGTAGTTATGGTATACATTGTCTACTTCTAAACCTTGATCTTGACTTCAATTCCTATCTTAAAAACAGATAGCTAACTTAGATGATCAATCATATAATACCAGAGTTTTCACAATAAATTCCTTCATTTTCTGATATAAGTTAATCATTCATATTTGCTGTTTTCAGATTAGTTGAGTCGGCTTGATCGCAAGGTCGTTCAACAGCATATTCATACCGGGAAATTTATTCAGACTTACTAAATGAATACAAGCAATGAGCTGATTAAATATGAAATGAAAACAACTTACCTATTTAATTCATCAACAAAGCTTTGACTATGAATTTTTTTAAAACAAAAGAGAAAGGAACAAAATAAACAGTGAATATTGTAACAGGCACTTATTTAAAAATTAAAGTGATAATGATGATAATAAAATGAAAAATTTCATGCAAAGATGACGAAAAGAAAAACTGTTTAACCTCTGGACAAAAAGTTGATTATAGAGCTTATGCAAACAAGATTGGTGATTTTATTGTCAATCAATGACGGTAATTATTAAACTTGCTGATGAAAAAACCAAGACATTTTGGATCGGCTTAGTAGCTATCTACATATATATATATATGGACGAGGTTGATTTATCACAAAGCCAGAGATCAACTGATTAAGACAGTGAAAGTGAGTGTGAGGGATAAAAGAAGACTATAGAGATTACAAAGAAAGCCGATCACAAACAATGTAACTAGAACAAACCTAGATAATAAATATGGAATAACCGGAAAGCTCACTGACTCGTGAAGTTGACGCTGAAGTTGCTAACATGTGAGATAATTAAGGTCCCGTAATGAGACCATATAGCTAAAAGAACAAAAAAACTACTAAAAGCATCCAACGGGGATGAGATGCTCCTTCATCATATATATATATATATATATATATATAAAGTCCACCGAACAAGCTCTTAGTTATTAATGAAGAGATCCTAATATCTAACCTTTCAATGAAGTGCGTGCTGACGATGCTGCTCAGAAGAACAACAAAGACTTTATAACTAAACCATCCATCACAGTTACAAGTAACTAATTAGTTGGTATTATAACACACTAATAGGAAAAACACCAATTTAAGTCTGATTTAAATAGCATGTTGATCACAATTTATGATGTATTTCTTAATTATTTCTGTATAAAACGAAAGGATGATGACTAAGGCCATTCTAAATAATTTGCTAATGTTTATTTACTTATTTCACTTTGCTGGAGAGTAATGAGCATTTATAAATTGATAACATGAAATAAATAACATGATTGAGGTATTCATCTAGGGTTTACTGTGATAGCATGTTTTGGAAAAATAACGAAAAAGATTCATAATATATAGAAAGTTCTATTCACAGATTGACTTAGATTGAAATGTCGGTGACAACTAGGTAGCAGTGAACAGTATAAGGTCCCATACCCAAGACCATACTGTAGATCCAACCCAAAACTTTCGATCTCGTGGCAAAAGCGTTACCTTTAAATCACTAAACTGGGGTTCAGCCTATCGCATTTCCAACTTTAATGAATAGTTGATTTAGCACGATAAATTATCAAAGTCAAATAATTCGTCTAAACTGAACTTCAGTTAAGTAACATGGAATAATTAAGAACAAAGGCGTCATTACACAAACTCACCGATTTGCGTGTTTCGATGATGTAGTACCTAGTTTATATAAAGCGTTGAGTATTCGGTAACATGTGACTTGAACATTACCCACTAGATGGAAAATAAAGGAAATAAATAAGGTTGACATTTCTATTTAGAAGGAAAGAATCATTGAAGGAGTTGAAAATTATGAAGCTATAATGTTACTCTAATGTACGCCGTTTATATCAACAAGTATATGATGCCAAATTTTAAGTTAAAATCAAAATTATGTGCTCATAAATGTGAGTCATTTATGAATGATGATCTGTTTGTTGATCGGTTTCCATTGTTTATTACGTTTTTTATGTACGTTTTACAAAACATATTCACCAACATTCGCTTTGCGGGCGCCCTTTCTTACTATTGAATAAGTTAAACATAAATAAAATATAAATGATAAACTGCAACAGAAAACGTGACACATTCACAACAATAAAGGACGAAGTAAACTAATTTCAGTCATGAGTACGGTAGAAAAGTAGTTTCGCGTATGGCTTTAGAGAAAGAATACTAGAATCTGATTAGGAATAATATTAAAAAGGTTAGTCTTATTCTAAATAAGCTGTTCAAAAATTATAAGCAGAGATGGATGATGGCTAACAGTGGGATCCAGCACCTTTTTAACCATCCTATTTGTGACTGTTCAGTTGTGTGCACCTGTATTCATTCCAGGATTCGAACTCAGAAGTGTTCGCTTTAAACACTATCGCTTTGTCCAAGTAGCCACTGGGTTCAAGCCTCGGAGTGAATATCAAACACTCGGATGCAGGTAAATCCAACTGACGCGTCCTAAATAGGACAAGACGAGCGTCCTGGTTTCCAGAGATAGTCACCAACCATCTCTGCTTATAACGCTTGTAACTTAGGGTTATTTTGAAACAATCTGCACAGGATACACAAATGTCTATAAAAGACTGGTCATTTGCAGTTCTTAAAATTAATGTAAAGATTCAAACAACCAATATATTCATGGATTACTTTTTTTCATTTGAAAAATACTTTTTGAATAACAGTAAATACATAAAATATTGTTTATCTACTGAATAAATTCAAAGAAGCTGGTTCATTATTTGTTTGTAAATAATTACAACAATTCATTATGTGTAACTCTTGATGTTTCTTTTTTGCTGTTGAATTAAGAATTTGTCTTCGGTATGGAGGAATTTTGTGGAAATTATTGAATTCTCATAGTTTACATAACTGACCGATCTTAGTCAGACAACCACTGAAAACCAAGAAGCACTTGATGGCTGTTTCGTTCTAGTATATAGATCCTCAGCACTGAGCACCCACGACCTACTCCCCATTCGACCGAACCCAGGACCTCTCGTCTCATGGAGAGTTCTTAACCTTCGGATCACTGAGACGTGATTAAATGGTGTACATGTCTAACTGTAATCAAGTCTCAGTGTTGCACTACCACGTGATATTGTTTAAGGTGGATAACTGTCTCACGATCGACATGGATGAACTCTTCTAGTCATAACTTCTCACTAGAACTCCTGCAATGGCACGTCGAAGTTAGTCACTAGTGAGCAGTTGATTATTATTAATATCAATGTGCTCGTCGAGATTGTTTCATTTACATAGTTAGCATCACGTACTGATCAAATTTAGACAGCTGTTAAAAACCAAGATACATTGGACAACCGTTTCGTCCTAGTATATGATTCCTCAGTAGTGCACACCCAAAACTTATGTTTTTTTTTGTTTTATAATAATATCCAGATGAGCATTAAAAAAATCACTATTACCTAGCAGATATTCGCCACATTCATTTTTACCCAGATGTTCAAACATTGATTTCAGAACAGGTAATAACACCATGTGAATATAATCAATTGAACATGCGCCACGTTTAATTGTACCCTGTTTATTAATTAGGAAAAAAAGGTAAACAGTATATTAATTACCACACTTATGTATTTATATGTAGTTTCTATATAAACAAATACAACACTTATTAAAGATTAGTTGTAAGATATTGTAAAATTCTTTAAAATGTTTTTATAAAGCAGTGATTCCCATAAACCTATTAATCGTAATGTTTAATCTCATCAAAATATGAACAAAACTATGGAAAGTGTCTCTAAATAGTTAATTATTCCAGCGAAAATGGTTAAATTGAGTTTAGAAAATTAAAAACCTGTCAGTTATGTGCAACATAGAACCTGGCACATCGGTTCATCGGTCAAAGTTACCACATCACATCAGCACACCGTGATAAAATTGTCCAGAGAAATTCCACAGCAGTAGAAACAGTAATAACATCAGCAGTAATAGTAAAGTAGTAGTTAGTGGTTAATTGCTAATAGTTAATAAATATTAGTTAGTAGTAGTAGTGGTAGTAGTAGTAGTAGTAGTAGTAGAAAGGATTAGATCTAAAATGAAAAAACGAAGCATAAAAGTACTTCGAGACCAAGGACCTAAGGGGAGACAACTGATGAATGTATCTGAGCCATTGCGATGGATTATGAGTCATATCACTAAAAAGTCCCCAACCATTGATTACGATAATGACAAATACACCAATTGATTTGTCTGGACCTACCTACATGCCTCATTTCAGCTGTAAACGACTTGATGGACTGATGACACGTCTTAGTTTAGCTCCCTAACCTCTAGGACAACTACTGTTCCACAGCTGCTCTGAGTTAGTTATGAAAAAATAAAAAGCCCTCGAATGAAAATTTGATAAACATTGAATCTTTATCTCAGTATAATCATGAATATTTAGACATTAAAAAATTTGTAAAAAAATTCATGAGTTAATCTAAGACGATAAAGTTGTTTATGGAAGGCATTAAAACCATTCTTTTTTTAAACCCAATCTCACATAGACAAATATGTCACTTAATGTTAAAATGTGGCTTTTTAAACTTATACACAATTTAGTTATATGAATGCGATTTGGGTCACTTAACCTAAAGCATCGTTAGGATTACTTCCGTTTCCATTCCCAGGTAAAGAAGGACAGTTGGGTGGAGTGTTAACAACCGCATCTCGTAGAAACAACCCGCTACGAAAACCCCTGCAAGAAAAAAATTATTGGATAAAGGCTCATGCCCATAGAGGAGTAACATGCTTAAGTACGTAGGTTAGCAAGTAAGTATGTGTTATGGATATTCAAAAGTAATTATCAGTGATTTCGGGAAACATTTTAGAAGGAACTTATTTTAAATGAACGATTTATACCTGTAAAGAGCATTTGGACAAATAATAAATCACAGTTCTGAGTTACATTACTAAATTATATCATCAACTTAATTCTGTACACAAAAAAGTATATTCAAACATAGAACTTATAAAAAGTAAATTCTAAGGATATATATTTTGTACGAATCTGTTGTTTGCAACAGACATTTAAATGAACTAAAAAGGAAAAATAATCATGGTCAGTTAGCAAACACAAATATTTGCTTACTTTCACATGTGAATATCGACTAGCATCAAGATTTCGAACTACAACGCATAAATCATCAGCCGCATTAACAAAAAACGGTAGGATTCGACTGCGAACAAAATCCTCTGCAGTACCCATCTTTAAAATAGCTCTAATCAAATAAAAAGTAAAATCAATAGGGATAAGAAACTAGTGACAAAAATGTTGCCGTTGTTTCCCATTAGTAAGATAAAATAATTATTATCTAATTTTGTCGAGCAAACTGTTTCGTAGAAAATATAATTTTAAATACTATTTACTTAGCTGAAGAATAACTGAAACCTAAGAACACTGGACAGTTATACTTCTCTAGGACTAAGAAAGTGAACATTGTTGACTCTGTTTGAAGTGTGAATGCTAAAACTTCGAATTTCATTTCGGATAAAAAAGAACCAAAAAGAGTGGAGTTCATTATACTCTAACCATGTAGTATAAAGACATTCTTAAGAAAATGACACTATGAGACCATATGTTACCGAGGAGATTGATTTTACATTATTCTAGATTCAATAAAACAATTAACAATTAAGAAGTAGTTAGGTCAGAAATTTTGTTCCCAACTGGTCGACTATATATATTGCCATAACATGCGATCGTCCGAGTCTACCACTGATCTACACTCTCCGGAAATATGTGTTCAAACCAGTTAGTTACGTGACTGAAAAAAACCATAAGTGAGTAGAAAGCTTCTATTAGGTAACCAAATCAAGAATAGATCTACAATTTATAACACATCCTTCAGAAAATAAAGGTCTTAAGTTTATCTATTAGCGTATGTATATTTTCTTAGAAAATAAAGTCAAATCTTAGTGAATAACGTACACCTTCCAGCATTTCTCACTTTTTGTTATTCTTTTGTCTGGTTGACCCAGCTTATCATCAGTCTCATTAAAAAGTAAATCTTCCTTTAAGGGATTCAAACGCTAAGTGAAGGTACACCATATATATAATTAGTGCTGGTAACCATTATAAATTAAACATATATACACACAAGCTAATCACAAATTAACTTACTTTACATCAATTGTTTGAACAAGACCTTGAAGACAAGATACGGCTATCTTTACATCATGTCCAAATGTATTCAATTTTATTCGAAGTAACGAGAAGAGTTTACAGAATAAACTAGACAAATAAATTTTAATTATACAAATCGAATGAATGTAGGCTAGATCCCTAACTAAAATACTATTTCAAAGTTTTCAAAGATCAGTTTATTGAATAAAGCATTTGATTTAACTCGCTCGGATTTTTTCCGACAAAAACTGACGAATGAAATATTAAAAAAGCGCTGAGTTGTAGTCAGGTTCTGATTAATGACACTACAAGTTGATACTAGTTTATACCGGAATACTTTTCGAAACATTTAAAAATTTATGCTTACGTTCTTCCGTGTTTCTCATTATTTAGTCATTCGTTTTTAGACCTTATTGGCAAACTATAAATAATTCCTCCAAATTGAACCAATAATCAAGTTTTCTAACCTAAACTACTTCAAATAGTCTAGTGACAAATGTTTTCAACTCAGACACATACCCATTTGTTCCATAAATTAGAAAATATTGCATCTTGTTTAATATAAACTTCATGTGTGAGTATCATCTATTTTGTTAGGCTATTTATTCTGATGAATTTTAATTAATCGACGCGATTAAAATTTAATTTCTATGTAAATATTTCTCGAAATATACTATTGAAGTATCTCAATAAATAATGCTTCCGATATATAGACATTGCAGCTTGACTGAAGAGATTTTATCTTATTTTTCAGCTCATAATCATTTTGTAAACAGGTTGATAAACTCAGATCTATGAACTGCTCAATCCCTATGACCTTTACTCCCAGTCTGTTAATCGCGACAGTGCACTTTGTGTTACCCATATCTGGTAATCCATTATTCAGTTGAATAAATAAATTTGCAGTCATGTGAATACCAAAGTTAGAACTTCAATCTCATAAACTTCAACAAAGCTAAACCGTATCTTTCAGTGTAACCATACTATTTCAATGCTTAATGAAACTAAAGATTTAAACTATAGAAATAATTTATGGCATGTAGTTCTAAATCAAGTCTTCAAAAAAAGTTACCTTAAAGCGTTGTGATTATGAATCATAGTCTTACACAGACTCTCATGGCATTAAACACATGGTTCGTCACATTTGTATGCAGACAAATTATATCAGAACTGAGAAGTGAAATGCAGTAATTGTATGGAATGTATGGCATACTATATAGTAATGTATTATGAAGGTTTGAAAAACCGATATCGTATTTTGTTTAATCTTTAGTTACAATAGTGTAAATAATAAGGCTATAATATATTGAGAAAAATTAAAATATCGCGTTGTTAGTAATTTATTTACATACACTTAATCTTCTAGTTACATTCCAATATGTAATGGGATATCGAAACGGGAAATAAAAGAAAAAAGCAAAGTTACAATATACAAGCTGTTCAATAACATACGTGGCAGCCATCTTCTTTTCATCAATTGAAGCACCTGCTACTGGATCTAAAAAGTATGCCTGTTGTGTTTCAAAGTAGCGTTCAACTAATGGTAGTACAACTTTAACAAAGAATTTCATATCTTGACTTGAACTTAACCATGAACGACTAGTACTATAACGTGTGCTTGGCATTGGTTCACGAACTGATGACATAGCCGAATCGACATAATCCAAAAGTTTATTCAATAACCCATAAGCAAATCGTGATGCTGGTGCTAAATCTAAAATGCAAAGGTATGTATATATATAATCAGAAGTGTCAGGACTAGACATTATTAAATGACAAAATTTAATACCAATTTTTAAGTGGTTAATTATTGATATTTGTGAATTCACCCACAACCCCTTAAAAACCTTATTTTCCACATACAGCTGGTTATCGTATAAAAAGTCTAAAAGCCCTGTAGTATAATTGTAACCTGTCAGTTCGTAAAGATTATCTCAGAACCTGACACATATGTGCCTTGGCTTGAGTAGCTGTACCACAATTAATACGATGAAAAGAAAAGAAAAATATCGAAATAATGTAGTTGCAATGACAATAGGAAAGATTAAATATTGATAATATCCTACAGAAATTATATCTGTCTCATTATAAAGCTAAATGGCTTTCAAAAATCTACTTTCTGAATGAATTGCTAATCATTTGTAATACTTATTAATGCATATGCTAACAAATTAGGTTCACGTTAACATATTTATTCTCCAGAACCGTGTTGTAAAAGTGATGATATAGTGAGTGTCATTTTAATAAACGTTACAGGTAATGAAAAAATATTGTTTCTCCAAAAAATACCTGCCAAATTTTGAGAGAGTTGGTAATCAAATCATAAGGTGTAACTGTTACCTCATTCTGAATATTCTACTTCTATTTTTACTGCTAATTTTTTTTATTATCAAGAATCAGTCATAATTAATAGTCTTAACTGATTACTAACCATTGGTCCCAATGATGTTTCTCATTAGGTAATCATTTTCATTATGTCCGAAACGGTATTAGTGTTTTATCAAGCAATAATCTTCAGTCATAGTTGGTTTGAAAAATTAAACCAACTTTTATGTATTCTACATTCAGAAAGAGTTACGATTTATTATTATTTTACAACTCAAGTACAACTCACACATAGAACCATTTATTTGATTCTTTGAAGTATATAATCACTTTACGTGTTAAATATAGTGCTGTAAAATGTTTTGGCTTTGAAAACTAATAGACTGATTCTATTCTCAATTTCAGTCAACCTATGATATGAGTTAAACTATTGAATCTTCATTAAATAAATTTATCTGGGTTTATAACAATGTTATATACATTACTTTGTCAACTGGAATCTTATTATTATTACTATTTATCATTATTATTTCAACTAACAAGATAAAATTCTCCTACTAAGCATTTTATTCACACAATTTTTTTTGTATTTTCATTTTTCCTATATTACTATTATACTGACTGTGACTGGACACTTTATTGCAAATCATTTTGACCTTTATTAAATGACCTTTCTAATTCACAAACAACACAATTTTGAAGTATATATTTCGTAACAGATGCAAACGTTCACCATTTTCAACATATAACATTGTCAAATTAATTAATGCATGCCACTTTTTTGCCTTTGTAAAATATCATAATTATGGACTTATAACTGTAGAGCCGGATGATGAAAATAATTGTTCGCTCAAACATTGTTCATTTTTGAATATTCTATGGGGATCTTTAAACTGCTTAACTGAATAACAATACTATCTTACTATCGAAAGCTCTTCACTCGACTAGTTTGTTGAACAATAGTAGGAATAACCAACACCACTAAATCATCAATATGATTTCCGTAATAAATTAGCCAATGAATTCAAATGGCGATCACGTTTCTTTGCTTTTAATGCAAAAAAGTGATTAATAACGATGAAAACTGAAAAAGTTCAACAATCAATGCAAAATGAAGACAAGAAAAAATAGTTTTTAAAGAGAAAACATTTTTGTTTGCTTTGGAACAAAACTTATGCACTTACTTCTGTTGTCATGATGTCGAACACCACCAGTACCTCCATTCCCCTTATTTGTATTAGTATTAGTTGAATTTGATCCAGTACGAACAGTTAATCTATAACCATTATATTGTAAATATTTAATTAATTCGTGGGTTAGACGCCGATATCTTTTACGTTCATTATCTGTTAATATATCATATGGTACTAGTAGTTGATGTACTCCACCACCTGAAGAGAAAACGAAAAATTGCAATAAAGTACATTTTTACTGATTATTAAGAAGGAAAACACAGTATTTGGAATGAAATACACGAATTTACGATGGAATCTTCTATTTAATTTAGAAAGATATTGTTTATTACTTCCTCAGTTGTTAATTTGTTCTCATAGTTCTCTCTAAGGATTAATCAAAGAAATTCTGATTAGGTCGAACTTCAGTGGTTATGTGACTCATCATTTAAATATTCATTCTGACAAACAAAATCGCAAAAAAGTATATCAATACCGCAATATAGTTGTGTGATATTTTACAGGAGTTGGTTACTTATCAAAGATATTTATATTTGGTATTTCAGCAAACTGGGACCATAGTGAACATTTTAATAATCGATTGAAAGTTTATTCCGAACTACAGAAATATAGATAATATTATCATATCGAACAAAAACGCTGACAAACGACCTAGTTTCACGAATGAAATGATGCTTCAGAACTTCAAAAGTCACAGAAAGTGAGTGGTTGGGTTTACTGATCGTACCATACGTATGGATAATTGGATAATAGATACTAGAACCTTGGCAATAGATGTTGAGAATACAAATCGAATTGCAAGTCACTTAATCAGTAAATGATATTTTAAGGAAACACATTTAAAATAAATATGCCGAATCAATCCGTTGATTTATCGAATCTCACTGAAAAACTATATATGTGAGTGTGATGCTTATCAAAGCTTGTGATCACACGATTAGGTGATGCCTAAAATCTGGGGGTCAAAAATACAAGATTATCTGCAATACCGTATTCACTGTGGAAATATATGAAATATACTAAAAGCCTGAACTCGTAAGGTATCTGCTGTATCCACCGTGCTCTGACAATCAAAAAGCGTCCTTTTTAGGATGGATATATAAAGTTGTTCACAACTAACTATGACAAGCTACATAACTATAATCGAAATAATAAGCAATAATCTATGAGATCACTCAAACACGAACCCGTACAGTTAATGCTTCAAAAAACATATCAGGTGATTACATAAGATAAGTAATTTTAAACATACTAATTTCTGTGATTATATATATATATATATATATATATATATATATATATATATATATATATATATATATATATATATATATATATATAATTTAATTAGTAAATGCTCACCAATCGCTTCGAGATCACTCATTTTTTGTCTGGCCCATATATTATGTGCATTATCAGCTAAACGTTCAGCCATATTTAACATTTCTTTAGTAACATTTACACCACGTAAATCTTTTGGACTCGGATTGTAATTTAATAAATTATCACTCTATAGATAAAAAATTGCAGAGATAAATGAATAGATTTTAATGAATCATTATTAATGCATGTTACAAACGAATGGTTATTTCTCAGTAGACAACAGAATCATTCATTCCTTAACTTATTCTTCCAATTACTTGTCGAAATACTGATATGTCTCTTTAATATATCCTGAGGATAAAACTGTTTAGCTAGTATTTGGTGTATAACAAAACGAAGATTGGTGTTATTTGAAAAAAGGATGTAAAGTAAGACTGTATATAGAGAGAATATAATGCACCAACCGAAAAAGCATAGATGATTCAAGCGACGCTGAAAATCTCAATTAGATTTATATCATTTTAATTTTCCGGTCAGCAAAAAAGCTCAGTGCCTCATGGAGCCCTTCTAGAGTTACTGCCGGTCCGAAATCCAGGTAAAGAAGGATAGGGTGAGGTTAATAATCTCATTCCATTAAAAATAACCTTGCTAACGAAACCTTAGCCAGATAATTTTGAATAAATAAATAGAACTGGGAGTAGTCGATATTAACTAATCAATAATTGAAGATTCAATGCAACACATGGCTGTTGAATGGATTAAATAGGATAACAGTTCCTTCATATTGCTAATCGACTGTTATTGAAGCATGTGGAGCATTGAATATAGACTAGATATCTCAACAGCACTTTGATAACTAGAACCAGTCCGAAGGTTCTGTGTTTTGTTTCGTAGTTGTGATCTCAAACATTCACTGTTAAAGAATTATAATGTAAAATGAAAAACTTCTTAGTCTCATGGTTTTCTAAGGTTTATTCAGGGTATATTACTCTTTAATAGAAATCATCTCTAAACGGATGGAATCTCTTCAGATAATGTAACTGATTGATGAATATCTCTTACTAGTTAAATTAATAGTGATTGAAAACAAGATGAAAAGTCAAAGAATTTCTATTAAAAATGACAAGTATTACCATTTTTGAATTCTACTTCAAAAACATGAAAAGTTATGTTACCAAAAAAGCCCTGATAATATCATCAAAAAATATGTATGTATGGGAATAAGAAACAAAAAGAAGACATACTGTAATCGTTTGTCTACGTAAGTGTTTTGTATCACCAGGTGCATCACGATAACGATTTTCATCACCATCAACAGACCAACCGCAAGCTAACATCGTTTTCAGTGTATCTGTTACAGGATGAATGTATCTCATTTGCTCCTATGCAAACAAGAAATAATAAAAGAGCTTAGTTTCTAAAAAAATAATCAGTATATGTAAATCAGTAAATAAATGTATATGTGATCGATCTTAGCTGTCGGCATGAAAAAGAAATATAAACACTTGTTATTAACTGGGACTTTTCTAATAATAAAGTTTTGTGACATATTGTTTATTTTTGACATTTCCTATTTCCTTGATCGATACTTTATCGTTCAATATATAGTACTGTAGATACTTTAGTAGTCAGTGGAATCGGAGAGACTAATGAATATCTAATCCAATCATACCTTACTTCGGATAACGGGTAACATTGTTAAACAAATTAAACACAGTGAAATGTTTTCTGACTTTACATGATGACACTTGCTCCTATACTTATGGAACAACTGAAAGTAGCTGCTATTTGTCAAAATGAAATAATCTGTAAAAATCTTTTAAATTTGGAGATCTTATGTGTTTATTTCTTAATCATTGTTATTAGCCTAATTATTTGGAAGATTACTTGACTAGAAATATATGTGACACTCTATCAATCAGCTGCTCAAATCATTAGATCTCAGAAAACACATGTTATCTTGAATTAATATCATTATTATTAGCTACACCATTATTATAAGTACGTTACTATAGCTTTTTTTAATTATTGACTTTATTATATACCTTGGCCTATCGACAACATTTTGTACACGTTCCTTGTGATTGACTAAACCATGATCACTTTTTCTCTGGGTTATTCAACTTTTACGCAAATGGAAAATATCTGTGATTATTCTTGATCAGAAAGCTGAATCAATTTATCCATTTTGCCCACAATAATATGTTTGCAAAACTATATTTTATTTGTAAGCGTAGTGTGTATATGAAACATTTAAAGTATACGAAATGAAATGAATTCATTACACTCCCACAATGTTTGTCGTTTGTACGGAATAACAACTATTATTTAACATTCAAACAATTTCTTTCAACACTTATCAAGTGTTCCACTGACAAGTAAAACAATTGATAATAATCTTACATTTAACACATCTATCTCATATCACAACTAAGCATGTTGGTAAGCAGTGATTAGATTAGAAATCAACATTTTAGCTTGTTGGCTAATAAAGTAGAAATTTCCCTACTTCAAATTCTAACTAATACTACTTAACGATCTGTGTGATCTCATGGGACAGTCAATTTTATTATTGACCTAATCTTCATTTGTCCGTAAGGTTTTTTTTTCTATTATAATTTTAAGTTGGTTGTGTATATACTGGGACTACCAATAATTGTTAATAGTGTAAATCAGTTATTAGAATAAAACTGATATACCCAGTCGTGTTACATTGATCCCAAGAGAAATGTGTACTTACCTGTGGTGGCAACTGACTGAAAGAGCGTAAATTTGGATGTGTTCTTCGAACTTCATCAACTTGTGCACCAAATGTATAACCTTGTTCAATCAAATCTAAGGCCCATGAATCATGGCAATGTTCAGCGAACCTTTGAATTAAACTATTCAATGCTGCTGGTAGACGAACCTAGAAATAATCAGACAGAAAATAATTCATTAGACAAAAACAAAAATTATAATTACCTTACTTATTTTGGAGTGACAAATGTGGTGACTGGGATTTAAATTACAGAAATAATCGCACTCTTATCATATGATGTCATAACCGTGAACGTTTCTGATTAAAACCATATCGTTTGTGCGGCAGTTACCCATAGCAGGAAGAAGGAAATAGTCACATTATTTTGTGGATTGATTAAAGTTAGATATTCAAGGCATTAGACGCCGGCTCAATTGTTTAAAATCTAAGCGTTCGATAGCTAAACAGGCGGTCCTGGGTTCGATCCCCGGTAGGGTCGCGAATGTGCGCTACTGAGGAGTCTCACACCCTTCTTATTCTATTTATTATATGTCTGCCATTCATTTTTGTCTGACTATAAATGTTGAGTAATGCTTGCTCATAGCGTGTTGGCTTACCAGCCATCTCCAATACGTGTCATGTATGCTTCACTCGCTAATATGTGCTCACAGCTTTCTGGTCTACATTATTTGTCAATAAAAATGTAGTTGCCGCTTCCCTTTGATTTCTGATATTATGCACCGTTAAAACTTGCATTATAACGGTTATCGAGGTGGACTATTAACGAAGCACGGCACTACACAATTTATTGTTGAACTCAAATAATTATAGACATTATGTTTAACATTGTTTGTTAGATTGAATCAACTATACTCAATAGGAATATATACTGTCAATTATATGTGAGATGACTACTGTAACTCACCAAACTTACTTATCATTGGGAACACTTAATTTATATTTCGTGGGACAATTTATCATTGAGTTCTCAATGATATAAAATACTGCTAACATAAAAATACGTGTGTATAGACTAAATTTAACTATTGAATGTAACAAACAGAGAGAAACTATTACTTGAGAAGTATCTATAGGTTGAGGACGAAATACATCATGATGAACAAGTTCATCAAGTGAATCATTTGCTTCTAATCTAGGAGCCCCAGGAACTAGTAAAGAATCTGTGAAGAAAAAAACAATTTAAAAAAATCCACTTTTAAAGTAATTAACTTTAACATCTTTGACTAATCATATATTCAGTTGATAACTTAAAATTAGAAGTACGAATTGGATTTTTTTTTAACGAGTTTAAGCTAAATTAGACCTAATGAAAACGATTGAGGTGCTATTCAAATAAATTGTTGCCTAAACTATTTTTGGAAATTAAATACTTCGAACTTTATATAAAATTTAATTTCCTCCATAAAAATAGTGATGGAAAAAGAAACTGAAAAATAATATGCTTGTTTTTCTGATTACCTTGGGGATTATAAAAAAATTCAAGTATAGTTTACAGGAATTTTGAACTAATCTGATAACTATTAATATAAACATAGTAGAAACTTTGGTGATAGAATTCTGTGGTAATTAAGTATTTGATGCATCTGTGAAAGTAGGACCTAATTGGCTAAGGAGAGACTTAAAGTATCCGAGTATACTGTGATCTAATATAGTGGTCTAGTAACTATTGTCCCAGTGGTAGAGCCGAAAGAATCACATAATGAGTTTCTCCGTTATATTAATAGTTCTTTTAAAAGTAGAATGAAAATCGTTCTGAAACTTATAACCCTTTGACTAGTTTCAAGTCGGCATTTTATTCAAATAAATAATCTCAACTATAATTTACTTCTGATAATTAACATTTATTATTATTTTGACTGGAGCATGCTAAATTCATATTAACATTTTAAATGTAATCGTTCTTATTATAAATTTCAACTCTTTTCTGTATTTTTCTCTATGAACACCACATTGTTTGTTGATCTATTCATCTTACCATCCATATGCATTACGTTTTACATTCAATTGTTCGATCTAGTCACGACTACATACCTCACATTTGGCCAAGCAGATACAGGGATAAGCTACATTGCCAAAATCCAAATGAATATGTTTACAAATCATTTGTGTGTTTCGGTTATTGGAATGACCCTGACAGGAACATATGACTGGTGACTTTGATGAGGTGAAAAATGTACTTACATATTACTATGGACGCATGGTACGGAAGGTATGATCTATACTGATTCGTCTAACCTACTACCCCCACCCTTGAAACGAAAGCCTTCCGTCTTGGATCTAACTGCATCAGTTGAGGACGGGACATATCGCTCTTGTACCTCATATATATTTAACAGCTATAATGACTCTGATCAGTCTAATCAGACCAACTGCAACAGTTCAAAGCTTCTCAGTATTTCCAAACAAAATTGAGAAGAGCTCAATGAAGGATTATCCATGATACGTAAGTGCTGATTGTTTTTAATGACAGCTTAATTGTTGAATTAAGCAATGAAAAGTAGATAAGTCAGCAAAACGTTTTGGCGATTTTCAAAAATCTTATTAGCTTGTTTACATGAACAATTGTATACTAATTTGTGAAAAGAAAATGAATTGTATCTGTGAAACGTCTATTATATCCCGAGTTTTATTACTTAATCTGACAATCAGGAAACACTGTAATTCACACAGTGCAAGTGGAAACAAGAAGGATTGGGCCAGTGGTGATTTATCGACTTCCCAAAACACGTTCGCTTAAGTCCCAAACCACATCGTCATACGACCGAAATATACTCATTTATATACACAGGGTCACTGTAAAAAAACACAGAACATAGTTCACCTGAACTGATATGGGGAATATATACGTCACATCGAAAAAAATATACCGTCGAATTAACTAAAAATATATTAACCAAAAATAATATCACCAATCTATCCCAATATATCGGAATGAAAGTGCCTTATTACAAAAATATATCAGTTTTATGTCAAAACACAATCGAACTTACTCATTTGATCAGTGAATACTGATTGCCCAACATTTTGTCCCAAACTGTCATTTTGTTGGCCCATCGCATTTAATTGACTAATTGAATAATCCGGTGGTAAAGCACATGCTATTGAACATAGACATGGTAATGCATAAGAAAATAATTCGGGTTCATATGGTTGTCGGGATAACTTTTCGAATATTAATATGAATAAATGAGCAGTGATACTTCGTTCCTCTTCAGATGCTGATGTTTCACCATCACCGCTACGACTACCTACGTTATCAGCCCCACCAGAACTACCACTACCACTGTTACCGTTTCCGTTACTAGTGCACCCAGAATCATCGTCAGCTGATGTTGCACTATGTCCTGGTGAACCTTGTGCACCACCTGTCCATCCATCTGAACTATAATAAGTTCCACATCGTTGATAAAATTCTGTCAACGCTCTGAGTGATACAACGGACTAAAGAAATAAGTACGGAGAAATAAAATAATGAGTGGTGTAGTAATGCTCAATAAGAAAATAAATGCTTCCCATTAAAATTAACTTGAATAGTATTGAACAAACATGATGAAATGATGCTGAATTAATATAGGGATGTTTGGTATTTAGGTTACAATCTAAGATTATCTTTCAACAGACCAGTTATTCATAAATATAAATCAGTTTAAATTATCGAGTTTGCATAATCTTAATATTATTCAAACAAATATCATACTAAGTGAAATAAGTAGTTTGATTTCTTCTCTTTAAACTAAGAGAATGGTTTTTATATTGCAAGGCAATAAATTACAGCGGATTTTCTTTATCCAACTGTTCAAGTAGAACATCATTAGGATGAAAGCTATTTTCACAAACATGAATCTTGTTACAGATTGTCATAATAGCTGAGATTTAGTTGAATAAAGAGCAAAAACTTAGGCCAACTTCCTTCATCTGTGTAACAAATTAATGACTCTGTTTACATTTGATTTAGTTAACATGTAGTATTTCATAAATTAAAAAGTCATGTATTACAATCAATTCTTTATATGAGAAAGATTCTTCAACATCTACAGTACTACTGGTTTGAATTCAGTCATTTTTATTCTACAAACCTCGGTGGAGTTCATCATCAATTTGTCAATAATTGTTTTATTAAATATATGCTGAACACAGAATCTAGTTACTTATAAGCTATATGATGAAAATGTTTTACATATATGAATGAAAATTAAACACTAGTTGAAACTCAGTTATTAAATTGTAGAACAAATGTGGCTTACTTCTTTTGATAATGTACGTAAATCAGAAACCATTTTCTTTAATAGAGCAGACATCATTGGGGGTTTAATTTGTTGCATCAAAGCAACTAAAAAGTCACAAACAACTTCACGTTGATGATTTGTAATGGATCGACATTTGGATAAACGGTAAGCCGTTTGTAATGTTGCTTCAAATAATCCTCCCGCTGTACCTTCTTCGCCAAGATATTTAGTATGACGAGTGAGTAATGGTAAAACACTGTTGCATAAATAACGATTCAATGCCAAAGCCATATCACTGTCTGGAACAACAGTCTAAATAAACAGAAAATGAACAATTTTATTACATAATGATTGTAAGATAAAAATACTTATACTATACTTAAACTGCCATATAAAATATATACCTAAAATGAACAAATATTCAAAGTAAATATAAAAACTTTACATAAATACATGGGTATAAGAAATAAGAATATATTCAAAGTATTATTGTTTATATGGAAATGGGGCTGTAGTCAGATTTTGAGTTTTAAGTAAGAACAGTACATCAAGCAATAAACATGTCGGATACACATCGACTAAAGTAATAGCAAAAAAATGGTTGTGAATGATTGACAAAGTAGTTCAGTTTGTTTTAGATTTGTTGGGGACGTTAGATCCCCGGAACTCACTTGGGAAAGGTCCTAGTTTTGTAATTTTATTCTCAAAATTTGAATTTCATGGTTTCGTGCCAAGAAACGCTTAGTTGACCTACAACTTACATTTTCCACTCGGAATTCTTTGACTGTCATTGTTTGACGGGTTTTTTAGTACGCTATTTTGTGGCTCTTCCAAGGGCGTTTCTATCATTGTATAAATAGGCTTGATTTATGTGCTTTGTGACCTCCTATTTTGTGGGTGCTTGTAGAATACATTCTGTACGCCTAATCAATACTTTTTGATCTAGTTAGCTGGGCCGGGAACAGCGGATTAGAATTAGCCTATCGTGTCACTATGTCATCGACGTTCGTTCCGCTTACCGAATAAGGTGAAATCGAAATACCATCAGGCATATCAAGATTATAAACTGACGTTTAGCGTTTCACAAAGATATGTTGAATTGTTTAAATATGGATATATATATATATATATATATATATATCATATCATATCCTTATAATTCAGTTAATTATACGTAAATAAATAGGTGGAGAAAAATGAATTCGAGTTAATATGTTCCTGAAAATGTAAAAAATTTGTCTGTGTCCGTACTTTTCGATTTTTTGTGTATATTATGTTTGTTCTTTTTATGTGTTCAATGAGTAAATGACAACTGGTGGAAGGTCAAATATAAATATCAGTTTCATTATTCAGATATTTTTTTCTTATTTTTTGGATTCATAGGAGTATAGTAGGACGTTTGCATCAGCTCCTACACTTCATCAGTCAGTCGGCCGAATCATTAGGCTACCTTAGGATAGATAAAGTTCGAGGAATAGCTCGAAAACCAGTCGTTTCAATAATTTTATGCGATCTAATAGACAAGGGACAGTTCTAGTATGGGCCACCTTGAATCTCATCCTAGAGAATGAATAGTGAAGATTATTTTTCACTTGAATGTTCTTAAATGCTTGAGAGAACGTATACATCATGTGCGACAAGACTTTTGTGATGGTAATGAATGATTGTTGTATCCTAACTAGGAATTCAGCAGAGAATATCAGTGGATTTCCGGCCAGTACTTTGATCACTATGATGAATCATCGTTTTTGGTGACCACACTCGGTCCCTTGCTATTTCGTCTTATTCCCTGTAACGTACGGGCAACATCGGGATGGTTTGGAAGTGATTGAAAGTGAAACGACGACACGACTGAATATCCTGATTTCTGAGAACTTGCAAGAATATTTTATATGGTCGAAACGGATGTGAGACAAGTGTATTTCTAAAAATGGGGAGTATTCTTCAGGAAACGCGATTGATATACCCTGAAGTTTTCAAAAAAGTCTTTGTAAGTGCGTTTGTTGAGAGGACTGATGTTAATTTGACTGAATAATTGTCATTTACCAAATGAAAGAAATTTATAAATTTATTTGCTAAGTTTAATTATTGTGCAACATTTACAAATCAAGATGAGTTCTGTAAACACTTTCTTATACTTTTGTACGTTTTTTAGAGATTTCAACTGCTATATGATTTAAAAATAAACCTGAAGTTGTCTGATAATCTAGTCAGAATGGTCATCATGCTATTATTTTTATTACTACTACTATTATTATTCATATAAGAATGCTTCTACCTCATGAGAACATTAAACCTTTCAAGTAACCAGTCCAAAGAAGTGTGGCAGTAAAAAATAAGTAAAATCATTGTACAAGGTTTTCTACAACATGATGAAAATAAATTCAACTTAGTATTGTTTGTTTGAATCTTCCCATCGATTTGTTAGGACTGCAACTGGTCAGTCTCTAATTGGCATATGTGCATACTGTGCGTATTGCCTCGATATACCTTAATTCACAAGCATGGATAGCAGAGATGGATAGTGGCTAGCAGTGGAATCCAGGAATCAGGACTCAGTGGCCGAGTGGATAACGCGATGGCGTTTGAAGCGAGGGTACTGGGTTCGAGTCCCAGAGTGAACATCAACTCTGAGATGCAGGTACATCCAGCTGACGAGTCCCAAATAGGACGAAACGCGCGTCCTGGATTCCACTGCTAGCCACTATCCATCTCTGCTATCCATGATGAAAATAGATAAAAAATAAAAGCAGTTTAAAGATCCCCATAGAATATTCAAAAATGAACAATATTTGAGCGAACAATTGTTTTCAATAACTTCATCAGGCTCTACAGTTATAAGTCCATAATTATTATGATATTTTAAAAAGGTCAACTAGACTGGATATGGGGGGTAAGAGGAGACAAGGATAATAATAATGACAATAATAATAATAATAATAATAATAATCGAAAATGAACAATAATAATAATATGAAAACAATTTAAAACCTAGTCACTCTGTATATAAGAACTCTCGTCTAAATTAGAGCGAATAGTTTCACAGTATAATAAGCTAATATTACCAGGGTAAGTTTAAGGTGAGAACAAACTGTTTTTGAATAAACGAAGGGGGGTTTGAATTTTCGTATGGCTAAGGCTTCAATAAACTTTTGTATACGCCCTTTTGACCTGTTTCGATTATATGTTTGGTAATAGAGGAGGATGGATGCTTATCCTCTTTGTGTATTCAAAATCAGTTTGTTCTCACCTTAAACCTACCCTGATAATATTATTAACTTATTATACAGAGTGATTAGGTTTCAAATTGTTTTCACATCGTTATTATTATTATTATTATTATTATTATTATTATTCATATCCTTGTTTCCTCTTACCCTCCATTTCTAGTCTAGTTGACCTTTTCTTTTTGGATATAAATATTCTTAACAAGTACATATCAGATTGTTCGAAATGTATTGCGCTAATATACCATCACATAGTTCGAATAACATTAGGATCACTTCAATTTTTTTTTAATAATTTTTTTGTCCCCCTTAATCAAAAAATTTTCATCCCATTTTCCAATTTTTTTCAATCCCTTTCGTCCAATGAAATTCCTAGTTGTAAATGCGTTGTAATTGGTTATGTAATTCTTGAAATTCGTATAAAAGCTCTGTACTTATGGATATAGATAATTTTCTTCACAATATGGACGTCAGTAACGTGCAAATTAGAGGCTCTGTTGTTCCTCACGTAGTCACAGAAACGGAAAATGTATTTTTGAATACATTGTATCTGGTAGCGTTTCCATCACTGGAAGCGTTAAAGAGCGCCATTAGAACTTATGAAATAGCAACGTACTGCCATTATGCGGTGAGAGATTCTCATTTCCATGGAGATCGGAAGCCGTATATTAAATTTGTATGTTGGAGAAAGAGCTATAAAACACCAAGCGTTTCTTCGCAGCCGATTAGACGAAGGAGGTAAATTGATTAGTGTTATTATATTGTTCATTGAGGACTTCAATGGACACACAATGTCCGGCCTTCATCTTTTGTAAGTTTCTTGAAGGTTATTGGACTGTTGTTGGTGGGAATGTGCATCACAATCACGAGTGCAATTCCCTGAGGTACGACTGTAACACATGGATGCGCCGATTAACGGGAGCGGAATTTGAATCAGTGAAGCCACTGCTGATATCTGGAACATCAGCATTCAATGTGATACACTACGCTTACCAATCATATGGGAAACGTCTTACAGCTCAAGATGTTTTCAATATGCGTCACAAAGTGTTCTCACAGGCCAACCTTCCTGGTAAGCAATGTGCATATTTATACTGTTAACTGTAGGTGATTACGGTAAATTGAAAAATCACATCACGTCACTTGGTAGCTGTTGTGATTATCAATTGGATGCAGATAATAGTCTCTTGTACTTCTTCTTCGCTACAGCAGACCAGATTAATCTGTGCAACAGGTTTTTAGGTGTTGTTGGTTTTGATGGGACATACAAAACCAATAGTGAAAATATGTTTCTGTATCACGTGGTGGCACTGGATATGAATTTTAAATGATAAATAATAATTATAATGCATCTTGTTATTTATTCTTCTATTCATTGTGACTAGATGTAGAAAAAGATAATTCTACTCACGTAATGATGATCATTAAACTACCTAAGTTAACCCAATTTTCAAAAGATTAAAGTTTAGATCAAATATGAAATTACAAAGTTTTTATAGATGAACCAATTTGATCGAGTAATTGAAGTGAAAATTCTATGATAATCATTTATTTGAAACCTATATCACTGAATCATAAATAAAACTTACTGAATCGAGTAGTGTGGCTGCACGTAAATCTGGTAGGAAACCATTTTCTAATAATCTTAAAAATGTTGCAGCATCTGAAATTCCATAAACTCGCTCTAAAAATAACACAACTGATGCTTTATGCTCTGGCAGTAGACCAGGTGGCATACCAGCTTTATCAACCCATTCATCTTCTCCATCTTCATTAGTCTATCGAACAACGATGGGTGGAAAACACAAAATATATCATAAATGTATAAATGAAAACCAGAGATCTTATTTAAACAAAACGTTTAAATAAGTAATGAAATATCCGAAAGTGAGTGAAAATATAGGGAACAGAGAGATAGTGAAATGTATATGGAATTATTTGTTTTCATAACCCACAAAGATTAAAATAAAATGATTACTAGGACGAGTTCTGACCTCTGAATATTTTCTTTTATAGTATTACTCCCAATAAGGTAAGCATAAAGACCTGATTTGACAATAGTATTGTAGATCAGAACAGGTAATAATCATATGAATCCTGAATTACTTGTTAATGATAGTTTTCCTATTGATGCATCTTATAGACGAGTATTTTACTCAGTGATGTGGAATCAGTCTATTTTGCTTGGTGAATATTGACTGACTTGATTTACATCAAAACATTGAAGTTATCCATGTTAAGTACTGAAATATACATTAGTTCGCAGTACATATTACAAAGAAAAGTTATTTTTTGTGTTGAAATTATCTCATTTTGTTTTGACAATGATAATTCAAAATAAATATAAAGTCTTTCCAATTAAAAATTTCATCTAACTTAGTACATTTATTTTACGTTGAAAGAAATTACGGATTAAAAATAATTATGATACATGCAAGTTGTCGTTTCACAGCGTTGGATTTCTCAGGTTCACATATTCATAACCCTAGGACTTTCAGTACGCAGTAAACGTGTTATCTCCGAATTACTGAATGAGAGTTCCGTAGCAGGGTAAAATACAACCCTTAATTTTTAATAACCACATTCCTACTAGTGACTAGCTTAGAGACTGGTTTCTTGATGCTCCAGTGAGGAATTATGACCTTGAGGTTCAACGGACTTTTAGAAGTAAATCAGGTATGACATTAATGAATAGGGTAGTGTTATATGATAAGTGACTAACTTATAGTTACTTTGGATTTAATTGAAGCAACTATACTAATTGATACAACTATACTAATGTCAAATGAAGCCATTTTGACAGACAGAATAATGTAAATAGTAATCAATAAAACGGATATTATTAAATTTCACCAAAAATGAATGAGTCATGTCATATATAAGTGAATTTGATACTTATGTTGCTACCCGTTCACCTATTTTATATAGTGTGTAATTTCGCAACATTATGGATTTCTCTAAATGTGAGCATATCTCTACTTGTATAAGGCTAGAACGGAGGATAATTATTCTATTAACATCTCTGATCACATGTGTTTTGGAAAAGGCAAGTAATTAGCTAACAACATAAGATGCAGCAACATTTTATATTATATTAAATAAAATGGTCAACACACTTACCTGGACTTCTAATTTTGGCGGAGGTAATATAAATCTCAGTGACAAAACTCCTTCTAAATCAGCCATACTAACAAGTGATTGTAAAATTGACCTGGCACGTATTGATTCACTTTTAACAGTTTCCATGTCTGGTGCACAATATCCCAATAGATTAACCAAAATTGAATGAAATGTCAATATTGCAGCACCCAGATCAATGTAATCGGGATCATCTTCAGGCTGAATATTGAGGCAGAGGAGTAATAAACAAACCATGTTAAACATAAACACCTAAAGAAAAAATCAGTTTCCAGCCGAATATTTTGTAAAGAATATTCTTTCAAGCTTCATGTTATTGTATGGAAATACTAGTTGCACATAGCAAATTATTGATCGATATGAGTGAGCGATTAAAAAACACCCGGTAATCAGCAGCAGTTGGTAGACATATCCGAGTTATTTGTACATAACTAAACTTACAAACGTACGGGCCAAACCAAAACGTTGAATCGGTCCATAAAGTCACTAACTTCTAGTTTGAACCATGTTGGTAGATTTAGACTACTTGATTGGGGGTTCGGCGCGACTATCGTAACCAGTTTCCGGAGACACTGGGTAACACGATTCAGAATCGACCACAATGGCGTAGGTGTACACTGTTTGTCTTTCCTTAAACCGTGAGATTAAAACTACTTTATACCTTAATTTCTACGAACTAATTCGTTCTCCCTGTATCATATCTCTATATGAAGTGTGTTTTTTCTTACTACCATTGAAGTAACTGCTTCTATGAATTTGGTGTTCATCTTGTTGTATTAATGAGGTGTGGCAACTTGGACCGATGCATATGTGTGCCTGGTTCTACATTGTAGATGACTGACTGACAAACGTATGATGCAATTCGACATGCTTTCAGAAAATCGCTACTAAAGTGGTTTGGTGATTATTATGCCCGAGGAGATAAGCAGTTCATAAAAGAACTGCCTTATCTTTCAAAGTGTAATAGACCAATAATATGTGCTTTTCCAAGTTTATTTATATATAAAAAACACCGTTACGAGTACTTTAGTCTCATATATATTATCAACATAGCAGGCTTATATCAGTATTTGAAAGATTTCCTCATAGAAACTATCGAATCAAGATTTGAGCCTTCACTATCGTCATGATTCCTCAATCAGTAATGGGTGCTTCAGTAAGATAATAATTTTTAACTTTAGAGTTAGATTTCTGAGAAAGTGCAAAACATCAATGAATCAGGGTATTAACGATGTGGTGACCAACATCTCTCATTATATTAATTTGCATGCATTTATAGATAATATGTATTGAATATTCATCAATTAAACCTGATATCTGAAAAATATTGTGAAACTTTTACTCACCGGTAGTGATTCAAAATTATATGGCAGTGGTGTGAATAAATTAGCGTCTTCGTAGTCCATCAAGACAGTTCTCCAGCCTAAATCTTCTTCTTCTGGATTCAAACCTGCTGCTTCAGCTTCTTGAGCCATTTTCACTAGTTTAATTTGAGCTGACATTACTAGACCTTCTTTCATTGCCTTTAGAAGACCACCACCAGCTAAATTAAGCTGACAATCTGTGTCGCTAATTAGCTGTCCAGTTGATCCTCTTGCAGCATGCAATCCATCTGGACCACCTGGTGGTACTTCTAAACCGTCTGTTCCCGTATTTCCAGCAGAATGTTTCATAACTTTTGATCCACCGCGTAATGCCGGACCTAAGCACTCTGGTCGGCGAATCAATAGACGAACAACTAAGTTAGCATTTTCTTCGACTGTTTCACCTAAAATTAAAGTTGCACGATATGATAAACGGTCATTTTAAGCTGCACTGAACTTGAGATTATTATATGAAATCAAAACTATTTGTAAAAATCAATACATTATTAGAAAAACCAATGTTCATTGACTAATGTTTGAGTGCCTATTTCAAATCTTTAAAGTATATTTTAACTGTTAAAAGGTATCCAAACAATTAAGTTTGATCGTACAAATAATAACTATTAGAACACATTCATAATACATGAAACATAGTCCGAAACAAACCGTATAGAAATGGTAGGATCAATTTATAGACTTATTATGAGAATTTGACTAGGCAGATTGGTCACTCAAAGTAGGTGAAGTGGTGCACGTTTTTGCTAACCGTAAAACATCACTTCTAAAATACAAAATCTATCTGACCACTAGTTTCAACTCAGGTAATTTAAATAATTAAATAATTGACAAATAACTGAAAGTAAATAAACAAAATATTTTTACCATTAACCCAAACAGTGAAACGTAAGAAATCAAGGAAACGTTCTCCTTCCACTGGATCCCATCCAATATCTGGGTAACCTTTGGCTAATAACTCAGCGTTTGACTGAACACCACAACGTGATAAGTAGATAGCAACCTAGAACATATAATTTAATAGCAAAAAAATAGCGAAACGGAATATAGGTATTCATAAGAGCGTAAATACGCTTTTGAATTCCTAAAACAGTGCAAACTTAACAGACTTTAAAAATAATCAGATAACATTTTTTATCCATTTATGAATTTTAATGAAACTGACTACTTTTCTCTGGTAGAATCGGGAGAAATGATAATCAGCCTAATTGAAATATCATCATATCTGTAAGACTCCCTACGTCTAATTGATTACCGAGACGTTTACTACATTTCGTTACATTTGTCATTTTGTGGATATATATTCAAAATACTTATTTAGTGAGTGAACATTTAGTAAAGGGTAATGAATCTTGTTTGATTAACGTTTCTAAATTAAAGGATTATGAACACCATGAAAAGAAAACTTAATTCTTATAAAAACCATAGGCTACCTGTAAGTTTTTATGTACTTACATTTTTGACACTCAGGAATGCATATACGTAACCCGAGTGAATATCTCAATAATACATTTTATTTATGAATTTTGAGTACATCTGAATTAGGACTTTTATCCCTATGTTGTTATTCACAGATAATCAGTCCTGCATTCGACGACACATATGTCTTGGATTCTACTGCTATAAGCAACCCATCTGCAGTCTACTCCTTAGTCATCTTTAATCAAGTTTAGTCAACCCTTACCTTTTCCAGTTGTTTCTCACGTAAAGCCAAAGCTAATTCATTATTATCCATCAAAGAAGAATAGGCTACATCCAATGGGCATGTACCACGAAGACTTGGACGAGCTGTGAAAAAAAAAACCCACATTGCCTGTTACTTTGGAATCTTATTTAAAATGATCCGATCAGGCAAATTTTTAATATCACATAAAAAATATTTGTAAAAATCAGTCATAATATCAATACATTGTGCACAGAAGATTAATATTTTATGAAATTTGTATTGTCAGAATGCTCATCTAAGTGTTTTATGTAAGTTATAACTGTCATAAATAAATGAAATCTACCATATCACAAAAGCGGTAGTAAGATTATTGTTTAGAATAAAAACAAGATATCACAGTGTGAGAAACCTATGCTTCACAGTTTGAAATAATTCACAAAAATGAGGAAATGGATGTTCGTTTTATGCCTGAGTAAATTTCATGAAAGGAACAACCCCGTTATTGATTGGTGAAAAGTACATCCGACAAAGAGGGAACATAAATTATAAAACCTTATTCTATTATATGATTTAGTAAATGGAAGTAGGGCTATGTACTAAATACTAAGCCAAACTGACGGTGTCAGTACTAATGACGGAAGTAATCTGTTAAAGACTATTGTAAACCTTAACTCAAGAGCTTTATTAATTCTAAATGTTTCTAATCCTCCATCATCAAGTAACAGACATTAGTCCTAATGTGGTACTTTCACACTTACCGAGTGATTATTAAAAAACGATCAAGTGAATTATTACAACAATATATTAACGTTTAAGAAAGTTGACTATAAACTACGCTGGGTCAAGTCAGAACTAATTATTTAGTAGGTATGGTTATTCCTGCAATTTTCAATGTGTAAAAAAATGAAATTTATGAAACTATCCAGAACACTTCAAAGCTCCCAATAAAATCGAAGACTAAACAATCAGGGATACAACTTGGTAAGGTATTTGACAACTGACGCTATAAATTAACTCTTAATGTTGACCCAATGATTGCGATATTAGAAAAGAAAGAATAGCGTATGCAAATAGTGAGACAAGGGTATATTTTTGCATGTACTGAAAATAGGAAAAGTCATGAAAATATACTTATCCATACTACTATACACTGATTAGTTGAGCTAATGGTAATTAATGTGATTGTTAATTCAGTTCTCAATTTTTGATCCCATTACCTCTATTTTAAAACATTTTGTGCTAATACGATATCAACAGCTAATGCTATTAACAGTAATGGTGGATAATGCGATGGCGTTTGAAGCGAGGGTACTGGGTTCGAGTCCCAGAGTGAACATCAACTCTGAGATGCAGGTACATCCAGCTGACGAGCCCCAAATAGGACGAAACGTGCGTCCTGGATTCCACTGCTAGCCACTATCCATCTCTGCTTACCATGCTTGTGAATTAAGGCTATATTGAGGCAATACGCACAGTATGCACATATGCCAATAAGAGACTGACCAGTTGTAGTCCTAACAAATCGATGGGAAGATTCAAACAAACAATACTGAATGAGTAATTTTTTTGATATGCGACTTGTTTTTTGTTTTAATATGTGATATTTCTAAGAAGTTACATTCATTTCAGCCGTTCGACACAGTTGATAATGGCAGTGGTATATTCTTATTGTTGCCAATAGCTCGTCTTCTTTTTGTGTGTGTTGATTGGACATTTTTTATTTGGATCGGTATCCAATGTTGTGTCGGATAGTTTTCGTTTCAATTTCTGGCTACCACTATAGATTTTAACATAACCACATGGTTTTGATTAGTTTATTAGATGTTTTGTGTATCACTTACAGAAATATTGAGATACACACCTCATTGATTGTACCTTGAAGAGCTACAAACGACTTCGACATTTCACGATTTAAGGTTTGTAAACTTTATAGTTTATTGTATTTGATTATTAGGATGGTTTTTGTAGACAGGTTTCTTGTTTCGATATGAGCTTTTAAGCCAACTCGATCATTCGATGAAAATACTCTGATGGGTTCAATGACCATATTGTCTAGTTTCTTAATATAAATTTAATTCAGTCGGCCAAATTTACATTGGTCAACCATTTTCAAATCATTTATCTAAACTTCATGAAACTAATTTATTCTTATGAACTGAAAAATTGATTTTGTAGTATTTGTAATTGTCTAATATCAAACTAGATAAAGTAACTAGAGTAGAATAAATTGATTTACTAGAATGTTTATCGACAAGAATATTATTTATTTTCACTTATTTATTGGGCACAAAGTATCAGTTCTGTTAACTAATGGACGAAACTTGTTTATTTAGTGTTGAGAATTACATTTTAGTTGAAAGGGAATCACCACTTCATTCTCATGATATATTTCATTTAAATTCACTGATATATAGAGTATGGACAGTAGCTATTATGTCAAAACTACTCAATTGTATGATTTAAAATTCCATACCTTTTATCATTATGACAACTAAATCAGTGAAATTTGATGAAATTCTATTTCAGAAGGGGTTTTGTGGAGATTTAGTATTTTCATAGTTGAAAGCGTGAGTCAATTAAACCGTCCCACAATAGGACGAAACGGCCGTCCAGTGCTTCCAGGTTTTCCTTGGTGGTCTAGCTTCAATTAACTCACGCTTTCAGCTATGAAATTGCATTTATCAATTGAAAATAATAATAATAAAGCACAATTTCGTATAACCGCAACAAATATATATTGCTTACCAAGTAGCATAGATGAATTTTCCAGCATATAACTAAGATGTTCAAACATAGCTTTTTGATTATCTCTTGATGTACGACAAAAATAGCATAGAAAACGACAACATTGAACAACCATTTCAGTTGGTCCTGTTGAACCACGTTGTTGCTGTGATTGCTGTTGTTGTTGGTGGTGACTTCCATGACCTGTATTTGGATTTAAACCTAAATAATAATTATAAAGTGAAACGGATGAAGATAAGATTATTCAATGGGAAATTTCGTTTATTTTATGTTTTCTACTTCACTAACAGTAATTTGTCAACTACATTATATCATTTTTCACAATAATCAGTACGATAAGTAAATTTTTAATATTCTTAAACCTTCAGTTAAAACAACAAACATAATTAGTTATAAGTGCTTTTATTATTTTTAATTACACTACACATGTTTACATACACGTGAAATATTAAGTCACAATGTAGCATAATTTATAAATAATAATAGATACAAAGCTTGCATATTTCAGACAGAAATTTAAATAAATTTATTTGATATTGTTTGGTTGAATCTTCCCATTGATACTTAGGACTACAACTGGTCAGTCTCTTATTGACCATATGTGCATACTGTGCGTATTGCCTCAATATAGCCTTAATTCACAAGCATGGTAAGCAGAGATGGATAGTGGCTAGCAGTGGAATCCAGGACGCGCGTTTCGTCCCATTTGGGACTCATCAGCTGGATGTACCTGCATCTCAGAATTGATGTCAACTCTGGGACTCGAACCCAGTACCATTCGCTTCAAATGCAATCGCCACTATCCATCTTTGCCTACAAAATTGAATAATTCACAAATAGTTAACAATATCCGCAGGACCCCGTGCTGATAAATACCACATTTTCACTAGCTATTATTAAGTATAGATTAAATGATATGTATTGTCATTGTCGTTATTATTAAAGATTAACTAACCTTCCTCATGTAGAACAGGTAATGAAGAACCAGTGACACTAGTCACTGTAATGTCAGTTGTTACTGCCTGATTGGATGAATGTAATACATCTTTGGAAATGGTATTTCCACCTGGTTGTTCAAATGTTGCTTTAGTTAATGTTTGTACCATTAATTGCATAACTGTTTCATGTACAGCTAAACAACGTGTTAAATCAGGATGTTGAAAGAATACTTTATTATTCATCAAGTCCCTGTTTGTAGACGTTGAGATATTGAGGGTAACAAAAAAGATGAAGAAAACGGAAGCGACTTTTAATTATATGAAATCAATGAAAAGTTGATAAATAACAGTAACTATCTAATTAAATTATCATGTGTGTTATTAGGGTTATCATAAAACAAAACTCATTCCTGTTATCATGTCGTTAGATTTATTTTTAATAGGCATTAATACAAAGGCTTGACTTGATAATTTCAAATAAATTGAGCGGGAAGTACAATATCACTTTTACATTTCCAATGGTTTACTCTCTTAAGAGCGTGCAAAAGAAAGAGCATTAGTATGGTCAACGCACAGAAGACCAAGCTTCAAAAGGGTTTATATCAGTAGTGGTGAGCACCAAACATGGAGATTTATTAATATAATACAACTATGCCTCTGAAATATATACTGACTAAATATAATAAATTGAAAGAATACATTGCATAAAGAATTTAGTTGAATCAATATTTTATGCACTGCTGAGGCATTGGCAATCTATGAATTCAAGCCTGAACTTTGCGTGCAGAAACAATTTGTCCAACCTCTCACCCTTCCTTGGCCCTAATTCCCTTAATGGGTATGTTTCTGGTTGAGTTTTTTTTCTTTTCTACACTTTTATTTGATTATTATCGGTTTTTTGTTACTATTTTACATTTTAAACTCTAATCAGTTATTATTATTATTATTATTATTATTATTATTATTACCTAATACTAGTTTTCTTGATTGTTATTCAGATTATTATTATGACCTTTGTGTTTGTCGCTTTTCTTCATATTTGTCAATTGGACTATCTGAACAATAAATTATTTTCTTCCTTACCCCTTGATTAGTACGTCACCTCATTTGTTATTTATTGTCGAATCCATTTATAATGCAATCTTTCCTAGCCCCCTGTAGACATATATTTTCCATATAACTATATATACGAATGTACAGCTTAAGTAAATGATTTCGTCGAAAAGAAAATTTTCCTCGCTGAATTCTCTTTTTCTTATTCAATGTCTGTCTATAGTGATGAGTATTAAAATGGAATGAATACAAAATAACTAGTAGTTCGTCTCAAAATGATTTAGTTGAGCAATCAACACAGTTGTCAGTGTTGGAAAATGCAAAATTATGGGATTACGTTACAATTAACAAATTGATGAGAGAATGTGATTGTGTATAACATAAATTAGCATCGAGTCGTTTGAAATATGCCATTTTATTAGAATTTAAAACGATATAAAACATAAATAAAAACAGCGAAATAGATTTCAGACATATTCTAATGGAATGAGAATACATAAAAAGTAACAATGATGCCAATTTTTTGACAGTGAATGATTACATTTTCAGAATAGAGCAGATAGTTAACGACAGGAAGATTTTGTGATGTACGTAATGTAGTACAGTGATTTGTTGGTGATGTCACACGAAAGGGATAATCAAGAGTAATCGCCAACAAGACCGAGTTATAATATTGTAGCAAGTATCTACTGTTGTGGATGAAGCAGATAATTAAGATCAAATGACATGACCAGGAGTTCTCATCAACTGTTAATTCATATGATGCACAGACTCCGCAGTTTAAATTCAAGACAACTATGAAAGGCAAGGATTTCCTTGTCCATAATGATATAAAGGGTTAAAAACGGATCTTGACCCTTTCTACAACTCAGAAACAGGAGTTACTAAAGCAGTGTCCTGATAAGTATTCATTATCATTCTCATTTTTATACATTCATTTGACTTATCAGTAGATATATGTGTACACTTCATGTGAATTATTTATCTAACGTTTGCGAAAGACAATAAATTTATTTTGCTGACAGACAATACCTTAAACATACCTATCGATTCTGACCATAAATGTAAACTCATAACTTCAGGAGCTTATGGGGATTATTATTAGTTTAGTGTTATGAGGATTTAATAAATAAATAAATAAATTTCTTGGTAATGATGATAGGATATGAAACATTTCAATACGGGATAAATAAAAATACAATAAATGAAAGGACAAATCTAATTTACCATAAACAATTCTTTAATAGAATTTCTTCATTTGATCCTAATTGAACACCAAGTAAACTTCTTACTCGTCCAAGTGAACGCAGTAGACGAGAAACTTCATCTTGTGATGAACCACTGATGACATAAGTTTTTTCAAGTGCATTTTTTAGCTAATTTTATATAGTGTTAATGGATTTTAAAGGCGATAAAAGAACAATAACGTAATGAAATTATTAAATGTTTTATGTAAAATTTGGTTATTTTAAAATTTAACACATTACGTGTTTTCTTTTATATTCTCGTAACTATTGGTCATTAGATGGTAATCATGTTAGCATAAATAGAGTTAATGTTAATAATAACAAAAAAGATTGATATAACCATTTCGTTAAAGCGTTGCAACATTTATATTAAATGTATTGTCAAAAATGTACTGGTTACATTATACTTCACGAATCAAACTACATTCGAATTACTACAATCACAACTGATTTTTCCGAGTTATCAATCTTTCTACAGTGTCCCAGTATTAAATCATAAACAGCGTTTATACTTTGTGATCAGGGAGTCCAGAGAAGAAAACTTTCTTCTCAACGGTGTCACATATTGAAACCGTACAACTGTGTCTATGGCTATTTAAAACATAATGATATATATAGGTCTCACGATCAAAACTTGATACTTGTACTATTTATTTAGAATCCGATAACTCTTTTTTCTACTAAAATCAGTTTCTGGCCATTGAATACCATCGGTGAGGAATTTCTCACTCCTAAAAAACCTGAACTCCCATGCTAAGATGATATAGTTGGAGATTACTTCATAATATTCAATAGTATCGCTACTGAAATCCGTTCATCTACGAATGAGATTAATCTCTATAAGATCTCAGGTGGAACATAAAACTTCTTTTTTAAAAAAAACTTAATAAATTGAAAACAGAATTGTCCAAATAACCTTACTTCTTCAGTTGCATTGTATTGACGATGAAGTGCAGAAAACATTTCTCGGATCAGTTCTAAACTTTCAATAAAACCTTCTTTAGCCCATTTAACTATCGTATAAACGATTAGTCCATCCAATGAACCTAAACATGTATATATATATGGAACTGTTAACATTATTCTTCATATCAAAATGAAATTTAATTGCGACTACAAAAATATCCACTTTTTTGAAGTTTTTTTTCAGACATTATATATAATAACCAGATGAGATGATTGAAAAATAGTAAGGGAAAAACTGTCAGTTTCTTCCAAATTAATTTAAAATTCAATTATCATGGTCATTATCTTATTATTCAGCCTATATGTGATTGCCTCAACGTATCGATTGAAGTAATGGAGTTATTTTTCTCATCTGATTCGCTGAAATGTTTACATATATATTTTTGCTTCTTAATGTCCTATACACATTTTACACTTAATTATTGTTACTTTATTTGTTAAAATCTTTGGTAAATCATCGTAGAAACTGATAACCTGTTTATCAACAATTTTCCTCATACATATAAGGGTAGCTCATCTTCCACCCCCACCTGTTCTTATTAGAGGTCAAGACGCTTTTTTGTCAGTTGCGTTTTACGGATTTCATGGAAGATAGCACAGTAACAGTTGAAAACAAACTAGTATTTAGTCATCTGATAGAATTCAGTCAATATATTAACAGTGTTCAGACTTATAGTTGGATTGCAAATTTTCCTGTTGAATATTACTTTCTTGTTCTCTGAAAAGCATTCTTAGCATAACAGTTGAAAAATATGATAAAGTTTTAATTCCAACAATTCTTACTCCAGTTATTTATTAGGATAACTAATTTATCAGCGTACTGCTTGAAAGAACTGAGTAACTTTCTATTCGCTAGTACCGTATGAGTTCTGAGTGTAATCTATTGAAAAAATTTACTGTCAGTCATTTTACGACTTCAAGCTTTTCAGTCAAACAATATCAACTAAGAAGTTAATTGATTTGCACAATACTGTAACTGGTTATTGTCGAAAGGTTTGTTTATAAAGTCAAAAAAGGAAGGTGATTTAAATAACAACTGTACCTACTAAACAACATATTTTTAGTTATTATAATATGTTTGACGGATAGACTTACGTTTTCCTGAATGGCAAAACTGAGTAACAGATGTCTGTTCATTTTTCTCATTCACTTCAATGGTTGGATCATTTGTCAATGGATGACGAATAATCATATTCCATAATAATTTTAAAATCCATGGTGGTGTACCTGAACCTTCTTCTGGATGACCCATATCAGGCGGGACTAATGGAAGTTGAGCTAAAGCTGCTTGTAATTCATCAGATGGATAAGATGGACCAAATGATGCTAAACTAAGGGTATCTGATGGACGTGTAAGTAATGGTGAATGAAAATGTAATTCATCGAACCCAATGTCAGCAGACTTATCAGAATCTGACTTATTTGCTGAATTGTTTTCATTATTTTCCGGTAACATTACACCTAACTTATTACAGAATAGTTTGTGAAAACTTCGAAGCATTTCCTAACGAAAGTAAAAACAATATAAAATCATTTAAAAAAAATGATGTGTGTAGTTTGTTGTCACATATTAGGAAAGGATTGGATACCTAATTCGGGATTCTTCTGTAGTGTGTACTCATGACCTCCAAAACTCTAAGCTATCAAACAATTGGTTATCATCTATATACTGGGTGAAACGATAATGTATCCGAAAGTTTACAATTAAAATAATTTATTAAGAATAATTAATTATTTTCAACCTGAATAAGCTCTGATTATTCTACAATCTGTCATCAAACCGATGATCATCACATGATCCAATGTACTCTTCTACTTGAAAAAAAATGAAATTCCATACATGAAATATTTTAAAATCCAAAATCTAGTTGCTTTTAATAAAACTAAGAAAAAGCTGAATTAACATTAAGAGGTTGTTTTCTTGAAAGTAATGAATTAGTACACAGAAAACGTTTTATTTATTAAGATTGCAAACTCTTGATAAATTGAGCATTATTTGAATTTTATTTGGTTTACTAGGCATAAAATTCCTTTACACGGGATTTGTGATTCCACCAATTGTCCTATTGGTGGCATAGGAATGAATTATATCATTTCTTTAGTATAAATTAATATAGAAAGATTAGGGTTACCATTTCAGAAACTTCTGATTGAGATTACTTATCTCAAAAAAGGCTGTTTATACCAAATTAATATTTCACAATTCTAAACGATACAAAGTTCTGGTGACATCCAATAAATAAGCTGAGTCCTTTGTTTTTCATATTCTTTCAACATCAAATTTAACTTACGACAGTTTTAATTTTCATGTAGTTTGTCATATGAATCAGTTATAAAACTATTTTACCTCTATTAGTCATAGTAAAACATGATTAAACATCTGTGAAATTTAAAAAAATCAATATGACCGGAATTTAACGATCTTAGTACCTTAACTTCTTCTGAGCAGGGATTAGTTTCGACATCCTCTAATTCATCATCTTCTTCATTTCCAGAAACTGTTTCATTAGTTGACGGTTCAGCTTGTGTCTCTTGTGCACGACCTGTTGGTCCACCTGGACCATGGATTTGTAAAAGACTTTTCATTTGTACTGAGGCAGGGCATCTAAATTCCCTTGTTCTTCTAGCAGCTACAGATGATGGTAGATTGGATTTCTTGATGGCCATATACCTAAAATTCTGATCCTAAACAAGAATTATCGGGATAAGTTATGCATGAAATACCAGAGTTATGGGAGGATTACTTGTATCATAATTTTATCTACTAAATAATGTATTTTCTGCAGTCCATTATCACACTTATATACTAGTGCTTTTGTCTCAGATACGTTAATTATCATCAAACATTAAGAAGTAGCATCTGACTCATTTATGATAGTCTTATCTGACACTAACTCCGGTCAATCTGATCAGTGTACATAAAATCTATCGAAATGAGGTCATAAAAAATCCAGCAAATATATGACAACAGAATTTATACCGTATTTTTGCTGTTGCTGTTCCATACTCTCCATTTTCGTTTTATTCTCGCTGATTATAGATGATTATAATTACTCTGCGATAGCACTGAAATCGCTCTTTATTATCTTATTTATCTTAACAAATGATAACCCAGATATAATACTCAGAAAATAATGGTTCCTAACTGCTGGTATGCATCATAGTAATTCCTGCGACAAATAGGATTTCAGAAGAACCTTATTAACTTTGTCTTAGTTACGTACTTTTAAATCTCTATTCTCTGAGTATTATATGTCTTTGGTACTAATCTGATCATACCTGTAAGCCGGTGTGTCTACTGTAATTATTTTTTCAATACAATTTGAAATTGTTTAAAATAAACATACTAATTGACTTACTTCTTGTAAAGCTTGTACAAATTTACTAGCGAATTTCACAACTTGTTCCACTCGGTTACGTAATTGTAGATCACATAAATTATGTAACAGACGGCATATTTCTAGTTTAACACTTTCTGGCAAGTGAAACTCGAGTAGACTTTCATACGTCGAATCACCTTAAAATATTAATAAACAATTAACATGACACTAATAATCGTAGTTATATGAAGTGTGAGTCTATAATACTAAGAAAATAAAATATTTGGAATCTCCAATTGCTTTGTAATATTGAAGTTTCATTATCGCTGTAATTAGGAAAAAAGGGTGAAGAGTGTGGTCCTTATAAAATGTATGCAGCAGTCGACTATAAGGTGTTGTCAGACACAAGATTCAAGTCATAAGTACTAAATGAAGTTTAGTGATCAAGAAATGAAATATGATCATAGCAGCATAATACATGTTTGTTAATGTAATTTTTAGAGTCGATTAACACGTAACATTGGAAATCTATGTCATTATAATTTGGCGATAAGTTACACCTACAAACTATTACTTTTAGGATTGAAATACAAGTCGCTCTACTTCATAATTATAAGCGTTACTCCTAAATAAATATACAATACAATTACAAAATAGAGTCAATAAGAATATATATTCATGTATATATTTATACATATTTTACAAGTGTCGTTCACTGAATGATTTGACATCTAATAAGTATTTGATAACTTGATAGCAAAATATAATTTATAGTAAATACAATATTAGAAAAGTTAATTAAACTATAGGACGAATAGAAAATTATATAAGTTGTTTGAATTTCATTCGATACTTATCTTACTATCACTGAATTATATATTAACCATAATGCTATAAAATATAGACATTAATTACTGTCATATGATTAACCATTTTTATAAGTTCATGCAGTGCTTTAACTAACTAAATGCCCCCAAATGCCATGGTATGGCCGAGAATGAGTAGAGCCCGCCCTCTCTCTCTCGAAATGTTCTCACACGGTCACGCGTGTATAGCCTCTGTCAGGGAAGTCCTACTCAGTGCCTTCTCGTGGAATTACTGTTGTTTACGAAATTGAGAGGATAAAAAGCGAATGTCCGGTGCAGAAACCGGGTTCGTGGACACGGCAAGTCCATATAGAGGAGTTGGAAGACCCTGATTCCAAACCAATGGTGTACATGGGCTCCAGTATCCTGAGGGAACAAATGGCGCATGAACCAATCGTCGGTCACCTGTCACCATGGGACTGCATCTCTTCACGATGCTCCACTGCCTTGTGGATCAGACCTTTAGGTCGAAGACTCCGGGTGTGGCTTCTTTCAATCACAACCTTTCCAATTTGGATGATTTGACGTTATGGTCTCATAACTTATAATAATATTGCTAGCCGAATGACAAAATGATAATAGGCTTCTACATTGATCATATTTAATTTATATAGTGAACATTTTACATGTTGTTAATTAACCAATAACTTATCAACAACTCTAGAAAAACAGAAATAAATTACATGTATACCAACCTCTTAATGGTAATGATGCTTTAAATGATTTAGGATCCAAGATAGCCAAAAGAGTGTGAATATCTTTTTGATCGAGCACACCCATAACAAGTAGAGAGTTGATTGTTTTTACTAACGGTCTAAAAAATTCAACAGAAGTTTTCCAAGAAAATATCATTATTAGTTTAGAAACATTTCCAGCTTATGATACTGGTTAGTCTTTGGAAAAATGTGAATCTACGAATCAATCTTATTATCCTCAGTATATTTCTATCTGACATGTAAAATACTATTTTTTAATTCATATTCATCAAGTTTATTTTAGATCAGGACTTATCACAACAAAGTCCAGACAAAGTATTCATAAACACTGTATGATAGCCAAATAATAATTTATTTCCGATTGTATTTTCTGTTATTTGAGCATGACGTTGTCTTAATGTAAGTATTTAAAAATAATATTTTGTCAAAGGATTGTAGTTCATGATTAAAATACATGAAATTAGTTCCCCTCATTGATATAACGAGACCGGTTGTGACTGTCTAATAGTGTCTAATTGACCAACAAATAATAAACAATACTTAGGCCCCCTGCTTGAATATCTGGGCTACCTGTCCTTACCATCTGGATGTTTCAACAAGTTGTCTTTGTTGTTCGTTTTCAGACATGAATTTGTTTATTATTCGCATAAGCTATTCAGGAGCGTGTATTAAAAGTTTACAATTTATCGTTTTACAAGGTACAAAAGGGTACAATCGGAGATTTCGTGGTGGCTGGTAATATGCATTGTAAGGAATGAACATTAGTCAGATGTCAATTCCTCAACTTCTAAATTCTAACCGCCAATCAATAGACTGTAAGGTGAACTATCTTCGATTTCTATTAAATCGAAACATGTATCGTGATATAATCACATTTCAAGAATCCTGGTTTAATGATTTTCAAGACGATTGTTTAGTATCACTGTGAGGTTTCAATATTTATCGTACGGATCGATCAAGCAAAAAGATGTATGGCGGTGGTATGGTTACATTTGTAAACATGAACTAGTGTCGATCTAATTTTACATGTTTTAAGTTTCCAAACGACTTTATCAACTGTTTAACTTTAAGATGCTCTCCAGGACACTTGAACAAATAAATTATTTATATGTTACGAAAATCTAAGAGACTTTGGACTGCATATCTACACAATCTGTTTTCGTTGATTAACTCACTGAATTTACCGTTACTGACTTCATTAATTCGCTTACACTTATATAAGATGATTATATTTTATCTGTATGTAGCCTTCTTTCATCACTAAATCAACAAAATAAAATAGATTTTCCCACTAGTTTGAATGCCCACTTAGACTTAGTTTTCATCAGCGATGTGTAAATATATGTGAGCTGTAAACTCACTCCAATTGTTTACTTCTGATCATCTTATTATTCGTGTTCTACCTAAGATATATGGCAAGCTTGGAAAGAATACACTCTTACATCAGACAAAGGAAGTCAAATACAGCAATTACTCAGAAAAAAATAATCAGAATCTGAAAAGAGGTTTTGTACGACATACCAGAGATTATTTACAGATGATTCATTGGAAAACACAGTTGATGTTGTCACTTATTATCTTAAATTGTTTTATATTCGTTGTCTCACTGAAACTATTTTTGTAAGTATTGGTTGACATACATCTCCATAATTAAAACGGTTACGAAGTTAAAAAGAAAGAATGTAAAAAGGAGAAAAATTCCATTGAAGTTCGGATGCTAAATGGTCTAATAAACCAAGAGAATTAATATCTGAACTCGATGTTTATTCACAAACTCCTATCTTGTACAAACTCTTCAAGTTTGTGGAAACTATTTAAAGAGCTCACAGGTGAGAGATGCATTAGAAGTGATAACCAGCTCAATGTTTGTAACTTAAATAAGTCTTTTGTATGTATGTCGTCTGATGTCATGCTTCCTATATCTATAGGTTTAAAGAATAGTCATGTTCCAATTTTTAATGAAACTGATATCCGAAAATGTCTACAGTCACTCAACCTGTCACAATGTTTAGGACCTGATAGAATCCCAAAACTCCTTTTTAAGTGTACTGACATTATGTATCATTCATTACCGAGCATCCATCTCAACTAATCTCATACCAAAAATGCGGAAAAAGATAAAAGTAATCACAATTTAGACTGATTTGCAAAACAATGAAAATATTATGGCTTCTCTCACTTCAACCTGCAATAAAAGAGCACATTGATCCGTATCAATTTGCTTACGGATGCAAAATAAATACCTTAGATGCTGCTATTGTTCTGCATCATAATAATGTGTTCAGCTTGGAATAGAGTAGAAAGTATGTCCGATGAACTTTTCTAGATTATATTTCTGCTTTCGACTCAATTCCAAGACAAGTTAATCGGTGTCAGCATTGAGAGCTGGATAACTAACTGGACATCCTCCTCACCGGAAGAGAACAGTATACTGTGTTTAACAATTCAACATCTCTACTAACTCAAGAAGGTGTACCGCAAAGAGTTGTTCCTTCCTTCCTTTTCTCTTTTTTTTTACATGATCCACCATCTCTACAGAAAACAACTGTTAAGCATCCGAATGGTCCCACTGTATGCATGCCAATTTTTAACTCTTCACATTCCCCTGCGATGAATGAGTTCTTGTCTCTTTTAGAAAGGTGGTCGGCTGTTAGTTGTCTCACACTTAATCCTTCCAATTATAAAACTACCAAATTCAGCCTGAGACGTGAACACCCCTTGAAAACACCCTGTTGAAATCTGATGAAGCTTGTACCACAGGGGAGTTCGCAATAAAAATTTTCTTAGGTCAGTTATCTTGATGTAATATTTGCCTCTGATCTCTCTGAGTCTTTTTATACTTTATTGTTATCGAAGGAAGTTTCCCATTTGACTTACTATATAAAGAGGCTGCATGCTTTTGACACTACTTGATATTTACTTTTATGGTTTTTTAATTCTTACATATTACCTACTATTCTGTAGTGCTCTCCATTATTCTTTCCCGGGCTTTTAAGAAAAGCCTTTGCTGTGTTGCGGAGAGTACTAAACCAAAGTATGAACTTAATAAAAGTTCCTAATAATATCACTAATCAGCATTTAAACAGCATTTAAATAAGAAACCTTCATGACAGTTAAAAATACAATTTTTAATGATAAACGTTTTCTGTATAGGTAATTATCATCGCAGTCTGATATCACCTGGAGGACAAAAAGCAACAAAGTATGGAAAGAATTTTTGTTCCCATCATAGTATAATGAGAAAAGAATATCTAAGTTTGTACAAGCATGGTAAAATAATCTCTAAATATATGGAAATGTGAGCCACACTATAAAGATAATTTATTTCAGATTAATTTTTAACATTTGTTAACTTCAGTCATTTTTAAACTGTCATTTGAAATCACAGGTGAACAGTCACTTTTCCTCTTATTTAGCTGGTCTCGGTGAGTGAGATTCCTTACTAAACACTACAAATATATTATTACGAATACTTGAGTATGCAATATTCACTCGTTTATTACTAGAAGAGGACAAAAAGAATTTCCATGAAGTTAGAAAATGTTAGTTTTGGTACAATTCGTCATGATATACCAGTCCTTTATGTGATTAGTGAAATTTATATGTCCAGTCTTATACAATATTAAAAACTTACAATGAATTTTATCTATTATCACAAATGAAGTATTTATTGACTTAATTTATGCCTATGTATCTGCAGTCAGTTCTTTCTTATTTTTTAAAAAGAAACTTGTTGAAATACTTAATGCTGAGAACTTCATATTGTACTAAATATATAATATTGGATATAACCATTAAGAATAACAATAATGATAATAATAATGATCTAGTGACGCAGTGACGAAATTTTATTTGATAAACAGTAACTCAGTAATTGATTTTATAATGAATGTTCTTAAATTGTACACAAGTTATGTAATTACTTTAATCATAGAAAGAGACAATATTTTAAATTGTAAAACGCTTTTCCTTAAATTGATTTTTTCATCTTATTTTCAAGAAATTTATTCGGTCAGTCTATAACCAGAAAACCAAGTTCGATTCCGAGGTGCAGGGTCGTGGATACCCACTACCCACTAGGAGAAGAAACGACTAGCCATATGTTTAAATAGGTATATGAAGAAATTAATTTTACCATTTATAAATAAAGTGCTCAACCAAATTTGTATCGCTGATCAAATGAGAAAGGATTAGTTAGAGATAGCAAAAACTGAAGAAAAAAACACCAACTAACCAAAATGATCTACTGGTTGTAGCACATATCAATAACATAATATATTTGTTATGTAACGAAAACCTTAATCGTACACCTTTTAAGAATATAAATTATAAAACTATTTTTTACTTACAGTAATAAATGTTCATAGCTTCCACCAGCTGGATCACGTATACTACCACCTTTATATACACTATCAACTAAACAATCTAAACAGACTAATTTCAATTTATTTAATGGAAATGGTGGACAATCGGATAATTTTAATAAACCATTCGATCCAGCTACATTCAATGCAGTTGACATTGCATTATCTTCTTTTGTTTTTTCTGGTGATGTTACAGGTAAATTGCCAGTTCCATCTGCTCCAGGACTGTAAAGTGGAATCAAATGAGAAGCGATGAAATGTAAAATGTTCTTTATTCAGTCAAAACACGAGCGAAGTATATATATATATATATATATATATATATATATATATATATATATATAACCAGCTTGATGTAATCAATTTTATTGTAAAAATAATGGATGGAAATTGAAAACTTACTCCATCTACTTTGTCTTAGTATTCATAGCACTCACACAAATAGTATGGCTTCAAATCAAGTACATTGACGTATACTCGGTACACAAGTTGCATAGATTAGTTTTAGTGTGTAATATCAAGTTCGACTTGATTTGTGATACACTAAATTCAACATGAAAGTCAGTTGAAAATAGTTGATTTCCCTCTAATTTCTCTACACCTTACGTCAAATGTAATAATTATATTGAATCAATCATAATATTCAATTTGTAAGAGAAAATAATAATTAAAAAAAAACAATTCAATCGGTTGAAATATCAAATCATTATCTATCGAGCTTTAAGATCGTCACTATATTTTCCCAGGGTTAAAATTATGATGTTTGAATCTACGGTGAGACTATCCGCACTATAGATGAACCGACAGATTCGATGTTGGATGAACAGTATTGAAGTTAAAAATATCAACACTATTTAAATTAGGAGAAATGATCCAATGAACTATTCAATCGTCTATCATCATTGGTGTAGATGTTGATAAACTCTTTTTTCTCATAAATACTCTAACACCAACGTGTATAAGCTGATTGAAATGTATTGTATTAGGGCAAAACGAAAATTTTGTTCCGTTAAATCGAGAAAAATAATATTTTTATAAAAAGAAATAGAAACTTATAAACGTAAATAAAAATATAAAAATATTTTGCCATAAGTGAAATTAATAAAAACATGCATTGTCACATTTTATTGAATATAAAATCACAATAAGTGAAGTGAATCAATCAAATTTAATTATACACTTATTCAAATGCTAATCGAAGCTTAGGTATAAATGACTGAAAACAAATGAGGCTAATGATAGTTGTAATTTATAGCAACCTCTTTTCTACAAATATATGCCGTAATTCAGTCTAATAGAATTATTTGATTTCTTGAACTTCATATGATGTTACTCTTTACTATCATAAAAATGGTTTGAGAATAGATGATTACTTTATGAGCTATAACAACTTTATACTTGAAATCTACTAATTAAGATAAGAAGAAGAGGTAGTTTTGACCTAACCTAAACATTCAAACTAGTTGCTTTTAATACAGAAATAATCACTTTTTGAGTATATTACAGATTTGAATAATCCTGAATGCGGAATATGATTATATGCCACATGGAAAAGACTATTTCAATTACAAGTTATAGTAAGCCAGAATATGTTTTTAACTAATTTATTAAGAAATGATTGACTGAATGTGAGAACTCCATGAAATCATATTATTGTAAGTTAGCCTTGACTGACTGAGTTATTACGTACACATTGTGTGAATGACCCAGATTTATTCGACGCAAATACATTAAGATAAAAGCTTAGAAAATCTAATTTAGTGTAAAACGTTTGCTCCTATATACTAAATTATATATGTCTGCTCTTTCAACAATCTATCTAAGGTCGTTACAATGACAAAACACATCTCAGATAGGCAAAATTAACTTGACAAACTCCATAACACTATATTTTAGGTTTATGACTTCAGAAATTCGAGTTTTAAGGTAAATTTTATACTTATTCCTTATGCAAAAACACACATCAATACTAGACACATTTCAAATAGTTTATCGTAAGACGAAGATATAATACAAATCAGACGGCATTTCTTTGTCAATCGAATAGGTATAATGAAAAATCCCATTTAAATATTTAATAAAGAATTTCATAGTGTGAATCCCAGAGAGATATTAACTACACAGCCAGCGAAAACCAAGAAGTATATATATATGCATATACATATATATGATTTGCAACAATAAATTATTTCTAATTGAGTAATGGTGCAACACAATAATTGTTGGGTTTCAAAATGATCAAATGGTTACTTGAGTAATTAGAGAAAATAGGATAATGATAACCAAAGTAATTATTAAAAAAACATTAAAAACCTAATCATTCGGTTGCTAGAACGACTAAGCTCCAGACTTAGTGATGCAAATAATGCAGTAACCTATTACCTCATAGATACATGAATTTTTCTAAGTTCACGAGGGGTAATCTAGCCCTACACTACTTGAAATTTCTAAAAGCATGACCCTCAAACATTTAAGCTTGAAGAAGTCACTAATCTATCGTTTTCCTGATAATAATACACTTTTAAATACCCACTTTATTCGGTTGTATAGTTTCTCAGATCTTAAAATTATTGGTTTTAATCTACTGATTGTGCTTGACATGTAGCACAGTACAAAGTATACGCTTAGTAATCATTAACTATCATTTAATTAATTGGTTACGCAATTAGCTTAGCTTTACAAATTCCTCAGAATATAAATCTATTATTGAATCCTAATTATTTTACGAAATCCAGGTATATTTTATAATTAAAAAAATATTTCATTGTTTCGGGCATTAAATTTGAACATTAGACGTTTTGCTTAGTTCTTCATAGAATTCGCCTTACTCATATAAATGAAAACGATGATGATGTTGACGATGGTAATGATGAGGTAAAGTCAAATTTACAGCAACAGTTAAACAGAAATAATTACCAGACAATCTACATTATCAGACGAACAGGTCACTTGACATTTAATTTCAAGTAAAATGTGTTTTGCTCACTACGCTGGTGCAAAACAGTAAGCAGACATGAATACAGGAATTTGATACAAGCTGTTACTTCCCTCCAATCAATTCATATTAGAATAAATTAATTGAGACAAACTAATTCAAGCGAGAAGAATCGGGTTTGAGTTTCGTTGCGAACATTAACACTAAGGTTAAGGTGCATTCAGCTGATGAGTTCTAGATAGTGCAAAATGAACATTCTGCATTCCACTACTAGCCAATATCAAACTTCTTAAAAATAGTTGAACTGTGAAGTATAGAATTTCGGTAAGAGAATAATATGGGGACGAGAACAAAACAACTAATTTTTAACCAGTTCTTAGCCAATCAGGAAACAGCTTTTTTGAATGGATAATTTGATGGAAAGACAACACTAATAGTACGAAGTGTCACAGATTTTATATGAGAAGGGGTTTCGTGGAGATTTAGTATTTTCATAGTTGAAAGCGTGAGTCAATTGAAGCTAGACCACCAGGGAAAACATGGAAGCACTGGACGGCCGTTTCGTCCTATTGTGGGACTCCTCAGGTTTCATATGGTTAATAGGTCTGCAAAAGTCTTCTTTAGATTACTCTGTTTTCAAAGTAAAAACAACGAAATGTATATTCATATTTTGGAACATAGATTATTCGTCTCGTTGAACCATTATAAGGACCTGTATAGACTCTTAAGAGTCCTCGCACAATTCTCGGTTAGAAATTTACGGTCAGAGTTTTGTTCATGAACTGGTATCAGTTATTCAACAAAGGAGTTTTAAAGCCTGAAGAGTGAATGTAATTCACTAAAAAAATACAAGAAGCACTATCTTATTAGTTCATCCATAAAATGTAGTATAACCAGGCTAAAGGTTTTTTCAGGATTAATAGTTTGGGGTTCGGATTTCTGGACAGTGTCGAGTTGCTTGCTATATACCATCTAAAAAGACATAATCAAGTATTTCTCACGCTTAACACTATAAAATCTATTCTATGAGTATGAGAAGTAATTTTCTTTTATCACTTTAAACGTTCTGAATAGTCTACAAAGGTATTTCCACTGCTCACCATACATGATATTTGAATTTGCCACAAAACTTTAAAAGGCGATTTCTGATTCGCTCGTCCCAATGCTGTTCCTTTACCAAAATCTTCAGGAAACCTTTGTGTAATTTTTTTCATATTATAAGAATTATGAAGCAAAAAATAAATGGAGACATGCTAAGAAAGCCAATCTTTTAAACATACTTCAACGATAATGAAAGATAATTCTGTCCGTTTGGACACGTTACTAATTAAATACTTCATTCAACTTATTACGTTACTGATTGGGGATTATAATATCATCCGAATAGTTAATTAAAACACAGACGAAGCTTTCTACGTTTCACTTTTAGAGATTTAATATTTGTATGAATCAAGGCAGAATAAGAAAACATCATGCAAAGAAATCTTCTGTACAATTACTTAACCCACCATATAAAATGCTTCATTCACTTGTTAAGCTTGACATAACAGAGTGCATAGTTTATTAGATAATAAGCTAAAAATGTTTCGCGGATCTCATAACAACAAACAATTGAACAAATGGAGTGTCTAGTTTCATTTTGCAAAAAGAAACACTTACCACTCTTGACATTGGAGTCTATTTAATGTGGAAAATAACGGTCTATTTGTGATATGAATCTTTCTTCGGAATGATATGACTTTTATTTCAATAAAATATTTAAAAATATTTACTGAATGTAAGAAGACTTATGATGGATCAGGAAATTAAAAGTTCGCAGTTAATAAGTGAAAATTTAAGGGATAACGAGATCTCAATTATAACAAAGTTCATTTGATTTGAATAGCATAAAAAGTTCAACAAAACATACATAAACTTATCGAATCTATAGGCTGGATGAATATTTTTTAACTTATAAAACTATTAGATGGATTATGTGTTTCTCATGCTTCCACTCATAATACTGCTAAATTTATCTCTCTGCCGTAAGTATCACTGTTACTCAGACGTACTTTGCTAAATAGGACTAGCTTATCTCCAGCTCTTACTGGTATGATCAAGTTAAGTGTTGTAGGGTTGAAACTCATTGGAGTTATTATAAAAATACTTGTTATGTAATGAGATTTAGGCATGAAATTCGACTAATTAATGAACTGAGGCATGAAAATAATAAGTTGTCATTACCAAATGTGTGATTTTCATATTTCTAGGAAGAAAACGTTCTCATAAATAATTTCAAGATGCAATTTTCGTTAACAGTGGAAAAATTATTTAAAGGAAAGATGAGACTTTCTAAGAACAATATCTCTAGAGCATAATGTAATGCGAAAATAATTTAAATAGTTTGAATACCGAACTGCTATTCTCACTGTGTAGATGTAACATTAGCTTAAAGAAAGTACTTAAGTTGAGCACTCGTTGAAAACGGAGTAGCAATAGGCAGTTGTTCAGTCTTAGCAAGTAACCTTTTAAGGATATACACCCATGAGCGTACTAGGGATCAAGCTAAATTCAGGATGAATTATCGATGTTCTGGCGAAAATCTGATTGGTAGTTTTCAACTATACCAGGAGTGAGACGGGTTTTATATAAGGTTGCAAATGTGGACCACTGGATGACGACTCAGTAGTCTGAAGATAACAGATTCGTTGTACGGCTTGGAGGTCCTAATTTTGATCACTGGTGAGTTAGCCTCATAAAAAGACACTTACTGGGATGAAATAATCGTCCAACGCTCCCTTATTCTCAGAGGTCAATCTGTAATGTAAATTATCTTTAAGATGAATAATCTCCAGAATGTCTCCATCTCAAAGTTAATGATTAAAAATATTCATAAGCGAGCATATTTTAAGAAATAATGAAAGAAAATTATATATCTATATATATATATATATTGGTCGATGAACTTACATAAGTAAATGTGGATCAGTTTTCAGTTCTGGACGAATACTAATATGCTCTTCAACAGCTGGTATCCGGTCGAAATCATATTCTTCATCTTCTTTATCGCCTACTTTGCCACCGTCATCGTTTATTTTTTTGCCGTTTAATTCTCCTGTGCGTTCATCAAAATCGAATATATTTTTCTTCGGCTTTGGTTGAGTTTTAAACATTGGTACAATGAATTCTTTCCCTGTGACTTGTTTCAATTTTACATGACTACTTATATGCATAACTAACATTAAATCAATAAAACCAGAACGTAGAGGTCCAGGCATATCTATTTATAATGATAAAACATCATAATGATTAAATTAACTTTTCTAGAGAAATGTATTCTTTGTAATTTATATGTATATATAACTAGCTGAAACTTTATTTCGTGAATAGAATTTAAAAAAGTCCAGAATGAAAACAGTAAGGAAAATCAAAGGAGATAATTTTTTGGATTTATATATACACATATACTCATCAATTCAGCTAGACCTCTTACCTGAAGCTGTCATAGCATGCAATAGTTGATATTCATCCACATGATTAGTTAAATAATGGGCAACATTGTGATTATCGTGACAGCATAAAGCGCGATATAGTTCCAGTGTATGAGAATGATACCTGCGTTGTGATTTTAGATAAAAACGATGACTTTTAAAAATACATATTGGCAAAGTTTAGCAAATAAACTTTTCATAAAACCAGATCCATTGATAGATTTAAACAGAGCAAGGAAAACAAGTTTTGGAGAATAAAATGAATTCATCATATTTTCTCGTTTCTCATCAGCTACATACAATCGAAGGCTAAGGTTGTTATTATAATTATTGACGAATGTTAAGCATACTTTAGTTTGTGAATTTTAGTTAAATGTTCGAAACGCAACCAAAATCATAATGATCAGGAGAATAAGGATACGAAGTGTATAAATAAACATACTTAAGATCGATGTGTATTGATATGTTGAGATGTACTAATACAGAGTGGAACAGGCGTTATGTTTGCCAATAATCATGATCAAAATAAAAGATGTTTTATAAAAGTAATGAAATTAGTAAGTGATTGAGTAATCGCACACACGATGAAATAAACAGATCTGTGAACACCAATAAGATTATGTAGTAAGAAGACGAAATAAAAGCAAAGATAAAAGGTTGAGAACAGAGTTGGAAGACTAAAAGTAAAAGTTAATAAAGGTTATTAGATGAACCTCCCAATCACTATGGCAGGAATATGCTAACCACTATTTCCTTCTGTATACACAGGTCAGGTTGGGAACGTTTGACAGAGATCGTCTCCATAAAACGGAGTACGATCGTTGGTTATTGTCTGTTGATTATTTTGAAGGTATCATTTACATTTACCTTGTCCACTATCCAGAAGTTGTCTGTGAGTTGCGCTTTTCTAGACTTCATACCATTTCATCCATAGGTACTCAAGGACGTGTTCATAAAACCTTGTCGATGCCCTCCTCTTTATCCTTCCTACATACTTACTACTAAAGGTACATGTAAATTCGTAGACGCGATTTGAAGTAAAGGAATTGAATCGGTTATCTCTTTCATTTTTCAGTGTAAACATTATGTTTTAATGAGAGTGGTTGAAGTGAGTAAGTGACCTAGAAGCGTGATCTATATTATCACAAATAATGAATATATCGTCAAAATATCTGTTTAATTATATTTAATTATAGATTCTAAATAAGCTTTACCATAGAGCATTAGATGTAATGAATAAACATTTCAACTCTTGCAACAATTCCATTTATCAAACCTGTTCAACACAACATAATAATAGTATGAGTTAACAGGGTATTGAGATTCAGGTACATTCAGCTGACAGTCCCAGGCAGGGCAAAAGGCGTGTCATGGTTTCTACTGTTAGCCATAATCCATCGCTTTGTCAAATGAATTGGTATAGATAACATCCACATGAATAAGGTTTTTTCGGAATCGGGTGATAAAATTTTTACCAGTAAACTTAGCTTGTATTCTATGTAAGTGCAGAGCAATTAGCTTATCAGTTCACTTTAGTCCCCATGCTGTTCACTTTCCTTGCTGATTATTTATAGATAAAGGTTTTTAGCAGCTTGTGCTAAACGGTAATAAACTTCTACGGTGACAGGTTTTTTATCATTTAAAATGGTTAGTCATTGATAATGGTCTATGCACATTTTTGCAAAATAGATTCAACTTCAAAGCAGCATAATATTTTTATTTCACTTACTTTAATAATTCTGGCATTTCTTCTAATTCAAGAGCTATAAAGCATCTGTTGGATTCTGGTAAACGAATAGCGATTTCGGAGACTGGATATTCAATTGAGGTACCCCATCCGCGTAGTTCACTAATCTTCATACTGAATATCTTTATAGCTTTCGGTGGTACACGAGCCCAATGAACACGCTAGGAAAAAAAGTGCTAGTGAATTGAAGACAAAACTCTATTCATTTAATACCCAAATGTATGTGTGAAGAATGAAAAATAATTCCTTTTTATGTTTCATGGGTTATTTCAAAGATGAAAATTGTAAAAACAATATCCAATTTATTTCTAAATTTCCTGCACACTAATAAAGTTAACAGGTCAGCTGATAATGATGGTGGTAGGTTTAAAGTTTGATTGTTAAGTTGAAAACTAGACAATTTAAACAGATGGATTTATTTCTATATGAAAATCCATCATTTATATACATAACTTATTGTTAAAATATTTTTATACAGTACATATTACTAGTCATGTTTTAGTAGCTAACCGTAAAATATGTAGAAATATACTCATTTAAAAGTAGATTAAGAAAATGAAATGATACCTAGCTAATAATTCATATTATTCTAATGGTTAAATTCATGAGTCAATTTAAGCTAGACCATCATTGAAAATCTGGAAAAACTGGATGGCTGTTTCGTCCTAGTATGAGACTCTTCATCAGTGCGCATCCATGAACCTGCACGAGGGACGCGAACCCAGAACCTTCAGTCTTGCGCGCGAACGCTCACCCTGCAGATCTCTGAGACGGCATTTAACGGTGTTAATGTCTAACTTCAACCAATCCGCGACGACGAAATGGTCGTCCAGTGCTTCCAGGTTTCCAATAGTGGTCTAGCTTAAATCGACTCATAAATTCAACCATTAAAATTACTACAATCTCCACAAATCCCCATTCTTATTATATTATTCTTTGAATGACTTATGACAATTAAATATAATGGTTATGATCATAATCTGTTAGTTAATAATTGTTATAAAAAATCTAAGCACATGTAATTCATCATTTAAGAAATACCTCCAATGCTTGAACTCTTAAACGATGTGGCAATACAGTAGATGTATATCTTGGTGGTCGAAGCATACTCGCTGTAATTGGTAAAGTATAACGATTTCGTCGACCGAATTCAAAATGGATAGCCTCTTTAACAGTAGGTCGATAGAAAACTGCAGCAAATAAACGTGTAGATGGCTCGACCTGAATAATTCGAAACAAAAAGTTTGCAATCAGATAACTATGATAAAACATACACACACATACACCTAAGAATGTTAGGAAATAAATGAATGAATAAGAAAAACAAATGGAGCATATATATATATATATATATATATATATATATAAATGGCTTTGAGATGAATAGAATAACTAGTAAACTAAAAATAACAGCTAATCAAAAAAATATTAATTGTTATATGAATAATACGAAACAGAATCATCGAATTGGTGACTGTTGTTACAGCAAAGAAAATTAATATTTGTTGACAAAACCGAATAAACTTTAATCTCACAAGCAAACTAAAAAAGGAATTACCTGAAACCGTATCCCACTATCACGACCATTTAAATCAAATCCCAATGTTCCACTGGCTATATCAACCCAACATGTTAGCGATAAGCCTTGACTCATTCGTTTGCCTAAGTCTTCTGCTGTAGCCATCTGATTAAGTAATTGTCCCAAGTTAACCATGAATGATGCACGTTCAGCAACAGCAGACTATGGTGTAAAATAAAACATTACACATATCGCCATTTTTATGAATTAGATAATAGTTTGAAATATGCAATTATAATCCATTAGTTATTTGAGTATCTATTTTCAATTCTATATAAAACTATGTATTTACATTTCTACCGTTCTAAATTTTTCTCTGCTAACTTGGATCAATTCACTGTATGAAAGATATCTAATATTTCATGTAAACGCTGAATAATATCAATGGTTATGTAGCGGAGATAATAACGTGAAATTTGTACTAAATTATAAACTAACTAGAGGTCTTTATTTTAAAAGACAGTGTACACACAATAAAAACGTAAGTTGTAAGTTAGATTCTAAAAAAGAGGATTCATGATTTTTAGTCCGAAAGTTTAAGGAGATGTACAAAATGTTACTTTCCACTTACACATTATGATTATTATTAATTGTTCTACAATTCAGATATCTGAGAATACGATACTTTTGAGTTGATATTCAATAACCTACAATTTTCAACTGGAATAGTTCATATTTGACATTATCAATGAAATAATCATTAATAATAATTTATAGACCAAACATTTTATTAATAAAGATAAGAAATATCACAATCAGTAAACACTATCTACCTTTAATGTTAAATCTGACTCCAAAAGACAAACAGCTGCTTGACGAACAGTGAATAAGTCGGCAGCGTATGGTTGTATACCACTGCCACTAGTATCACCAAGTAAAGGATTTTGATTAGAGTGACCATGTAATTGTCCATGTGTTATATCAAATTGTAATTGTGATGATACATTATGTAAAAATCCACTAATATGATCTGGTTTACTTGTTTTAGCTAATTTAAAGTAACTTGTCACCCAACCAATATGAACTAGACCAGGATCTTGTCCGGGTAACACTAGTACTGTGAATGAAAATTCATCGACAAGATTAGCTAATGGACTTGTGTGTCCACTTGATGTTGGCTAAAAAGTTTTTAAGAAAGGTAAAGAATTTTAGGTAATAATATACTTTAATAAGAGATCAAATGGTTTAAAATTTTCTTAGATTAAAAAGATATTGTAACAGTATCTGTGATCTTCGATAACTATTTTTATTATTCATATGAGAAAAGCTTATGGTTGCAAGTTATGAAGATTTTTATAAATAATACAAACTCCTCAATGTCTATTGCCATACGGAACTTTGATAAGTTTATCCTACTGGATAGATCAAACTCATGATCAATTGATTTTCATTTCCGTTCTTAATCTCATTTCAGTACTTCTATACTATTACTATTAATATAAGAAATACAAGGTGCTCACCAACTTCATTTTATTTACAATATTTATTAATAAACTATCCTATCAATACTGTAGGTTGATGTTTTATATCTCTAGGGCTAATAAAAAACTAAGTTCAGTCTAACAGTTAGTGATTCAAATTTACATACTTCGAGATAAATAAATAAAATCTTGGTGAACTTGATTGTTTACTTTGATTACACTTGGTCTTGTAAAAAAGTGGTTGACGAGTAATCTTCACTCTGATATTAGAAAAACTTTTTAGAAAAATAGGTAGTTTCACAATTCAAAAACTTAATACTAGTGTATGTCTGTAGAAGTATAGTCCTTATTTAAACATTACTGTTTTGATGTTGAAATATCATCAATAGTTAGGAAATATAAACTCCCATGAACGGATTTATAGCGCATTTTAATAAGTAAAATAGCAATCTAGGTGTTATATTGTTCTATCGTACTAGTCTGTTACTGGCATACAACCTTTTTATATAGAGCCGTAACAGATTATTTGAGTGAAAGATCGAGAGTAAGACAGAAGTTTCATTAACTAAAGTCGAATCAAAATTATATGCGCGTTCTTTTACAAATATATATGTCTTCTTCTGTCAGAAAATAAAGCCATATTTTCAAACAATAGTATGTATCAATTTCTTTAGAAAATGAAGTCAAATTTTATTCAAAAGCTTGGGCTTATCCTTTAGCCCATGTCCGATAGGTTCAGAGTATCACTAAGCTAGCTGAAATCATGGATAGTCCGAGATATTAAAATACATAAGACAAATCATTTTGAATTAATAAGAACTAGTATGATACACTTCATTTTTAACAATCGTAACATTTTTAAAGTTAGGGTTGAATATGCTTTGTATTTACTTATGTGCGTAAATAAGTTGTAAACGATCCAAAAGTTTCGAGGTCGATAATTGTACATCCTTCGAACAATTGATGAGTTTTTAATCACAAATAATATCAGCACCATCCTTGATATACTGGAATCATTAACGAGCAAAAAACGTGTCACTGGTTAGTAAAAACATTCAATCTAACGTAAATATTATTTTAAATTTATCGTTTCAAAGTATAAGAAATAACCATTTCATGCTCACATCACTTTGTTCTGGATAGTAAGAATGTGCAAACAAACCTGTGTTGTATCATAGTCATCGTGTTTTTTTATAAAGAAAATATGATTAAGTGATTGATAAACTTAAATATTTTTGGAGATTAAACGAACAATGGTTCTATCAATAAAATAACCAGAATAATAACAACTTTTAACGTACAAGAAATAAGTCCATATCATCTAGACTAGTTGCACCTGCTCTAGTACTTTTCATATCGCCGAGAGCTCCTGGTGCCGGCATTCCTGCCTGTTGCACCTGTCTCTGACCACCGATCGCATCAGGAGGATTTTGATCAAGTTGAGAGACTTGAGTTGTTGTAACTTGTGGCCCCGTAATACCAGTGGAAAACCCCCCAGCTGTTGCAGAAAGAAGACTACCAGATCCAGCACTCCCTTGACCACCTCCGCCACCGGGACCCAAAGAACCAGTTGTCGCATGTGCACCACCACGTTTGCCACCAGTAAGGCTACTACCACCACCACTTAGCAACGACCCACCACCTTTATGTTAAACGAGGGATAAAACGATTATGACATTTAAATAGCTCCAAATCATTAATGACAAGAGAGCACATTGCTAAACTCCAAACCCTAGTAAATTAGTTCTAATGGATGAAACACAGTGAAAACAAGTTGCTTGATAAAATAACACAAAACTCTTGCAAGAGAATGTTTCTTATAAAGTATTTTGGCTACGGTGGGATACAAATGTATAAGTTGAATCAGTGAATGTCAAATGTATATCAATTTACCATTCGACAACAGGTGGATAGATATATTACATTAAATTTACACATAAAGGTAGATTACTTCATTTACCCTTGCCTCTTTCTGTTGACACTAAATGATAGGTGGATTGGTGGATTTTAGTCAATTTTTGGATTGACTAGGATCAGTGCAAATCTCCGAATCAGTAAAGTGAAAAACAAACTTAATCATATATTGCCTACCTGACAGAAAAGTCTTCGACAAATCGAAACAATAATAATACCTAAGCAAATTTATATTCAAATTGTATAAGGGAGCAGCAAGACAAAGCAAAAGCTAATAATAGGATTTGAGTGCATACATATATGGGGAGGAGGATGAATCATCGAATGCTATCTAAACAATCAATGTTTTGGCTAGGGTCTGTCATGTGCTCTAGAACAAAGATATATGCGAATTGTTACTATCCTAATGACAATGTCTGCAAGTAAGTTAATAAAAAGGGCTTAAACAAAATTAACCATAATCGAAATCGGGTGTAGGATAGTTGCTATAGTGTTATGGTGATTGAAGTATTTTTACAGTTGATATCATGAATCAATCTGAGCTAGACGACCATCAAAATCACGTAATAAAAGTAGTTTAAAGAGGACAAAAGAACAGGGAAAATCTTTCAAAAAGACTAATTGGAAATGCATGTTGGAAGGTAATATTAGGTTACAAGATCGAGAAGAAGATAACGAATGAATTAATCTAGACCAATGTGAACCATTATAAGTCATACCGCATAACGTTACCAACCTCTAGTCATTGTTATTGTACGGACTTCTATCAATAAACTTGTATCTACGACTATGACCCAGACTAACACTCAGTGATATCATGGATAGGTGTAATGTCTATTTAGATACAAGCGAACACAGCATGTCGAGGTAGGCAGTGTCTAAAAGTGTATGACACATGTATCAACGACCTCATCCAATGAAGATTTACAACATCATCGACCTATTGAACAATCTATACCTAACCTCATAATTGTTTACACGGTTGTTGCAGTATACATTAATAATGATTAGAAGTATACTCGCTCTTTTGTCAACAGACAGACTAAATGCCTACAACACATGTAAAGCAATCTGGCAAACAACAACTGTGCTTTCTGAATCCGTGCCAAGATTTCGCCAGACACCATACAATCAGTGTTGATAAAACTCCCAATATAAGTGAAGTCGTAGAATTCATCACTTAGTTCAGTCGCTAATGTTAGTTGTGGCGTTGATGTAGACTATCAAGATTAATAATACAAAGAGAGGACAACGCTACATTGGAGCTCATCACACCACGTTATTTCAGGTTGTGAAACTAATGAAGTATATTACTTTTTATATAATCGAGAATGGTATGACTGAATACTTATTCATCGAATTTTTTAAATTGAGTTGATACATTTTTAACTCGATTGACAAATAAGTTCATCTGGACTTTTGAGGCAATATTTGTATAACTTTCAAAATACTTATATTTTGTGAGGATAGTACCTCGAACAGTCTATTTAAAAAATTTCTCAGCCTACATAACTATCTGAATAAGGAAATAAGTCAATTACATAAGTTATACACACTAATGTTTGTTTGTTCTAGAATTAACGTTTTGCTAATCCATAATTTATATTTTTAACTGAGAACAAGCTATCTTTTAGCAACCAATACTAAAAAAACACATTGTGAGTGACTTTGAAACTATGTCATTTACTTGCAACTCAATACCGTTGGTTCGATAAATGTACAAACTTAGCTAATAAGGATGTTAGCTATGGATAATCCAATATCGATGCTATGTTATGTTTTATAAACAAATAAAGCATTTAGAATAATATAAAGGTGGCTTTGATGTGATAATCTCTCATTTCGATGATAGATATTCATGAACAGATGGAAAAATTACTTAATACTAGATTTCTGGTGAGACTTAAAAAACTTTTTAAAAAATTATGAGATGCTAAGGTCTGTTTGTGAAAATAATGCACTGGAGAAAACATCTACTTTCAAGACGACCGCAAGTTTAAGTAAGGATCGTGAACGCTAAAGCTGTAGAACTATCGTCGACGAAGCAGCTGAAGAGTTCTAATTCTAAGGATTTCTCGGGATATTTTGAATAACAAAAACAAAGATGGGAAAAGTGAATTGTTACAAATGGGAAGTATTATGATATGATTGATAAATCCTATTTTTGGCAAAATTAAGTTTCCATGAACTAAATTCTAATGTTTATTTGATAAATCACAGTATAGTGATTTTAGTTGTGTTCGAAAGTCGGAAACAATTACAGGTAATGTAATTAATGTTGAATAACTAATTAAAAGAAATTAGTATGTCAGTAGTGAGTAACGACTATTTATTCTACCTAGGTATCAGTGAGCAACTAAAGTTCCATTGATTTATCACGATACAATTAAAAACTTTTGTTTGAGTAAAAGAAAAATAAAATAGAACAATGGGTGTTTACAAATGTGGAAACCAGTCATGTTATTTAACAGATTTACTTATCTACTTATAAACACAGGTGGAAGGTATGGAAATTTAAATAGAAGGAGCGATCTATGTTCATAATTAATAATAACCTGTTTTATGTATTAACAGAGCTTCATAAGCAAATAAATTTCTGTTGAGAAAGAAATCGAGCCAAAACAGTACATATAATTGAACTTATAGTTGTATCATTATTAGCCCACTAGCTAATATAGTTTTACAGAAAACCAAACATTTATTTTGTCAATCATTGGTAGAATCTTTGTGAACAAGATATAAGAATTACATTAAGCCAGTTTCATAACAATAATAAGATAGGAAAAATTAAAATTGGTCTAACCTCCTCCACCTAAAGTCGATGTTACTTCTGGGCTTGGATCCCTTGATCGAGCTTTCTTAAACATATTTCCAAGTCTAATTTTCTTACCACGTCTATCTCGAACTTCTAGTGTCGAAGCGGACATATCCTAAAGGGCAAAGAAAACGAAAAAAAGAGTCAAATAAACTGATTGTCTAACCATCTAAGCTTTAAAAAGTAGAATAAATGATGAAATACTACAACTAGAACCAGCTACTAATAAATGTATTTTCCTATCACGTTAAACGCTTCCACAATTGTCTAGATTATGTATAATACCTCATCAACACTGCTGTAAAATAAGCATGCACTTTGAAGTCGAATTGGACGTAAAAAAGAACAAAAATCCCGTCATTATAGAGTCCTCCATAATCCAATAATGCCACTTATGTGGATAAGATACACAGAGAAAGCCAAACACAGGTATTTTTAAATCCTAAATTGGAAAATTCTATAGAAAATCATATGTAGGTGTATGTGAGCCATAGTGGATTATTCAAGTAGAAAAAGAAATTGATGACAAATACATCAATCTGAACTAGTTCTACACTTACATGAACTGTGAAATGGCAGATGGACGATAACATGGTCATGAATAAATACATGTCAAATCCACACAACCGCATTCTCGTTACAGAATACCAGATCAAACAAAACACATTAAAGTCCAGTCCATTATTTCAACTTTGTCGGTTGCATTGTGTTTATTTGTGTGAACAGTTCCAAATCTTTATCTGACTATCTAGCTAACCAACTAACTAACAAACTGGCTAGCTAACTAAATTACTAACTAGCTGACTATTATCTATCTTTATTTATTTATTTATTTCTATGTAACCAGAAATTTTGAAAATAACTGAATTACATTAAGAATAGATCTTTACAATACAGTTGAGAGTCATTACGATTCTATTACAGCTGTTGGCAATCAGAGTTCCAGTGTAATTTCAACTCCACATAGATTTCGGAGGCATCTTGCTTTAGAGTTGATTCAATATTATCATTACTTTAGTCCAGTTTGGTGGCTATTCACCCTCATTACATACTAATTCTACCAGCTATTGATGTACCGATAAAGATAAAAATATGAACAATAAAAATAAATAAATCCGATAGTTCGATATTCACTTCATTGTCTAATGAGTTATCTAGACAACCATGATCTAGCAATAATTTATACTGTGAATGGGATCTAATAAGCGCTATATTTATTCAAATATCCTACAAATAAATGCATCATATGGCTACATATAACCACTCTTTCTATTGACCAGCTGCTTTGCCCGTTGGGAGCTTTCTGTCATTAGTTCATTTTTTTGAGTAATCAGTAATTCGTGCAACCATTCGCATACCTTCATATATATAAAAAATTCCTTCATTATAACAAGATCAAAATTAGTTTAAATTACACTTAAGACACACAGTCCTCAAAAAATTTCATAGCATGTAGTCTCATTGACACAGTAATTAATTCTTAAAGACAGACATTAAGAACTTGGAAAGATAAGGACACTTGATCGCACCTTTTTGGTATCTCCCCCTATGCGTCCACTGATTGCATTTCGGACACAGTAAAAGATAACTTTTACTGAGAGCTTTCCAGCCTCCAAAAATCTTAAAACTCTAATGTAGTAATCGTAGAAGGCGTTCAAGTTAAATGGTCCAAACCAGACTAAATGGCATTTATACGAGTTTTAAGTCGTCCCAACTCAGCAAACAGATAACAACATAGGTCTCTCCAACGATGATTAAACAACAATGCTTTACTAGAAAAGTCCAACTTTAAGCATAGAACAAGACATCGTCTGACATTACAACCCACAATCTCAACACACTGATGGACATAAACAGATTAAATGAGCCACATTGTCATATCGATGATGAATGGCATGAATCAGTCAGAGTGGTGCACTTGCATTCCTTTTTTCTCTTCTCTTAACTTCCAAGTTTTAAGATAACTTTAAATGCTGTTTTACCTCATAAGTTTATACTTTCTTTATCAATCATTTCTGCCATACCAATACTTTACTACTTATACTGTCACTTTTGCTTTATCTACTAATCTAATACTTGTCTTGATAGTTTCATTTCACTTTGTTAATGTGATGTGGAAACCTGAACCAATGCAGTCATGTGATAGGCACTTCACTGCATAGGCCTAATTGGCCTTACTGTGTATTTTAGGAGGTTGGTTGCCTATGTTCATGAATGAAATAATCATTTGTTTTTTGTATCAGTTTCCAAAAGGTCCCTTCTGTTGAGAAAACATAAACAATCCGTTTCAAACATATTCATTTGCTAAATGGATGATGACAAGTGATTAAAGGTCAGATTTATGTTCGACATCACTTCATGAATTTATTCACCTTTTTATGTAATTAGTCGAACTAGAAGAATAGAGACTATGATATTACAGCACATCACCAATCATGAACTTTTGGTTGTTAGCACTAGTGTATAATCAGACTACAGGTTGATTTCGAATGCAAAGTTCACAAATATTTCAAATATTCTCAACTAAAGTATCAGTAATCAATACTGAACTTACTTGTCCCATCATAACCAGATTAGAAGAATCTCCAACTCCAACACCATGTGTGTAAATTGGTTCTGGTTCAAGTTGACGCCTTAAAGCATCAAGATGTGCATGACGTTCATTTAAGCTTCTATGAAAGTAGAAATCAAATTGAAATGTTTTAAAACTTATTAGAAAAACTATTATGATAATCACATTAGATAAACCAATGCAATTCAAGAATGATTTCATCATTAAGATATTGTTTTAACCGATATGTAAATGCTGTGTAATTCATTTGATAATCCTTTGGTGAACCTATGTTAGCTTTGAAGCTTCAGTTATCACCTTCGATGGTTATTGGTCTTTTCTTAGTTTAGGTTATGGAAAAAGAAATGGCCATTAGTTACCAAATAAAAGAATATCTTAATCTATTATTCAGGAAAAAATTCTCTTATTACCGAATATAATGTTGCAGTTAATCAAAATGAAACAAGATTTTATTCAGATTAGTTTATAAAAATTATAGAATAACCCATTATTTGTTTAATTTAAAATGTTATGACTGTTTAGTTAAATTCATCGGAACATGCTCATTAAGATATTGATGTGTCTAAAAGTTCAGATATTGTGCAATTCAGAATAATTTCGACTAAAGGGTTTTGAGGTTATCTTAATTTAATTGTAGTATTCATAACAGAATGACTTTATTCGAGATACAACAGAAAACCAGGAAATATATATTTCTTCTAAGTATGGGACTTTTTGGAAGTGTGAACCTAATCCCCTCTCTGGGAATGAAATCCAAGATCTTCAGGTTTATAGATGAGTGGTTACTCACTTAGCCAATGGATTCATATCCAATCATCGATCTACACACAAGTAAACCTTCACAGGGCCCCTTCATCGAAAGTATGATTATCTCCCCTACCGACCAATTTCAAGCCGTTATCTTGAAATTTTGGCGAAAAGTCGTTCATTCTACTCATTTAGAAAAACATTCCCATTGTTGTATTTGATTAATCGTCAATTGAGTTTTCAATCATCAATTCTTGTGATACTCCATTTATACTAGTTTTTAAGAAAAAACCAACAAGATTGTAGTATGCTTGTGGTAACAGAAATTAAAACTAATAGCCATATTCTACAGGTAAAAATATTCATAACACCTTAGCTAAAAGTATTCTTATCTTTATTAAAATAAAAGTCAAAATTTTCAATTAATTGGCAGATAAATAATCTAATAATAAATACTTACTTTGATGTAAAATGATCTTTACACTGTGTGCCTAAACTTAATCGTAAAAATTGTGTTTCTTCTGGTGACATATAGTCTACTTGTTTAACTGTTACTTTAAAAGTAGGTGTTCTGAAAAAAAAATAAAAAGAGAAGGGGGAAAAACAGTAATGTATTGGAAATTGTTAAGAAGAAAGCAAATATATACTTTATTGATAAGTTATATTTCTCAGTGAAGCCGGTTTATTTATTGAATTCGTAAACTATATTTACGTACATCAAATTACTGAATAATTCACGTTAACAAGTATCCAATTTACACATTTAAGTTTATTTATTAAGTGGACATTTGACTTGGTATATATTTTATTGTTATATTTTGATGTCATTTTAGTCAATGATTGGTAAATAAATAAGTCGGAATGGGGATTTGTAGAGATTGTAGTAATTTTAATAGCTCGATTCACGAGTCGATTTAAGCTAGACCAACTTCAGCACAAGATGGCTGTCTCGTCCTAGTATGGAACTTCTCAGGAGAGCAGGATCGCGGATGCACGGTCGATTGAAGTTAGACATTAACACCGTTGGATGCCGGCTCAGTGGTCTAGAGGTCAAGCATTCGCGCGCGAGACTAGAGGTCCTGGCTCCGAGTCCCCGATGCAGGGTCGTGGTTTTTCATGGCTGAGGAGTTCCATATTAGGATAAAGCAGCCATTCAATGCCTCCGTGTTCTCAACGGTGGTCTAGTTTAGATCAATTCATGGATTCAACTATTAAAATAAATCAATTTTTGTATGCAGTCTTGTTCTATTCCTTGTGTCGGGTATATCGGTCCTGTTCCGTAATAATATGTAAGAATTTTTTCTTAATCATAGCAAACAGCCTTACCGATAGCAGTAATCTGAACTTTTTCAAACCACAACAATTATCAATATTTAGTTATATCTCACCTATTTAACTCATTAACTAGTAAGAAAGGGAAACAAATGAATTATTTATACTTTATTATCAGATTGAATTGAATGACGATGATTAGTTTTAAAAGTTTCAATATTAGGTTTCCCAGTATAGATTCCACATAAAAAATGAAATATTTGTATGAATATTATCATTATCAGACTCTGATTATGATATTTTAAGTTAATTTTCATCATGAAACGACATTAGCTGTTTCATTATAGTTTATTATGCTTTAGTGATGTAAAACTATTTACCTAACACAGGGTTGATCACAAAACAAGGTCTTGTAGTTAACACAGTATAAATCATGAAATATGTTAAGGTCAAATAATTCATACTTTCAACTTTAGTATACCATGATTTTCAACAATTCTGTAACGCAAGTTAATTTAATGGTGCAACTCATACCCAAACACTTTACAGAACTGCTAATTTAAGAAACAAATAGAATGGAAACTTACGCTCCAGATGATACGTTAACTTTTAGCGATGGATGATGTCGATCAACATCAACAAATAAAGATGGATCCTCTCTGGAATACCACATAGGCAACGGTCGACACATATTACTGAAATGCGGAATAAAAAATAGCTAATCATCATATATTATGTGCAAGAAATATTGTGATTTGATAATTAATTGAATTAGATATCTTCAGTTTTCAGAAGTTAATCAGTCATCTAAATTATTCAAAAACTTTCTAAGTATTTTCACGCTCATATATAACTCAGAAGAGTGAGGTAGCTTACAGACAAAGATAGATTCGTTGGATTGATTTCTTTGACTAAAGTTTCTTTCTATTAGTGTTTTTTCGTAAATAACCAGCAACTCAATAATGAAATTCTGTCACGAATAGAAGAGTGAGTGAATTGTCGTGGTAACTCGTACAGATTCTAATACTTAAAAGCTTAATATTGGTGACGGTACATTCACCTTTCACCAATGCACTGTGAGATGCAATGTCTAAGCGATTATATTTTATTGATCATATCTCTTGGGCTAGAAGATAATCATTATCGTGATTTCAACTAATTTTGTTGAAAATCCCGAATCGTATAACAACTAAAGTCAAACCACTAGGCAAAGAGCGAAAACCCTTGTATAACCATCATTTATTCCATTGACCCACTTCTCTATTTTAATATATTATAATTTGTATTTCAACTGAAACCAAATTCTTTACTGATATGCCCGAGTACTTATTATAAGGTACTCAAACTCATGTACTGATTTATTCATCATACGGAACTGGATGAACAACGACCTAACTGAAGTAATAGTAAGGGTTCATGTATTTCAGTGTTGGATGAAGGACATGATCAATAGGGATTTTCGTATCATGGTTTAATAACTTTTAGGTGCTTAACATAGAAAACGCAATAAGCTCATTAAGTAACCAGAGCGTCTTTCGCTTTAGTGCTGGACTCTTGATTGAACAATTTTTTGTAAATCAGAATATTTTTGTTTACATAAAGTTAAAAACTTCAGTGGAGTAGTCTGATGGTATGGTTGTCAAATAGTTTATCTCGTCAATCGTGTAATTTACGATCACTAAATAACAGCTAATTCAGTTTTCATAATTAAACAGTAAAAACAGTAACCACAAAATTCAGAGAGGTGAACAAGTTAAAAAAGTTGAATTACACTCCTAATGGCTTATATCCTTCTTGCAGTCCACAATAAGTAAAGAATTTCAGTGACTGAACATCATTTCCATAATTGATCTTGACTTGTTGTCCAGACCCAAGAGAAAATGCTGGCACATAACCTTGGAAAAATAATTTTTGGAGGAAACAGTTTGTTAGTTCAGAGTTAATGGCGATTTATTTCAAAGCAAATCTTATTTTTAGTGAAAATATGGTCTAAATATACGGTAAAACTATTATTATTCAATTTGGATATATGTTGTTGGTTAGATATGGTTTACAAAGTACGATTTTAAATTTTTCAAGTATTCCAGAACTATAATAATGGTAAATATGTAACTGCTTTTCCGAGTGTGGGTCGATATGTTCAGATCTGAGTCAAAGGGTTTGCATGACATAACCTGGTTGAAACATGTAGAGAAAGGTTCGTATCTCTGATCCTCTAGTTGTGAGCCGTTTGATTTAACCAGTAGATTATCATATTTCATTACAGATAATAGTTCTTCTTTTTGAACATCTTTTAGTTAATGTTAATTTAGATTGTCAATCAATAGATTTACCGGTCGAATCTCAGAATGACTTTGAACCAAAGTTGATTCGTTTCCCAGACACTACTTACATATTAATCACATTTTAACCAATGCAGTTAAATGTAATAAGAAGGACGTCAGTGAGGACGCTGTAAAGACAACATAGATTTAACATACACTATAGATATAAAAAAAATAATTAGTCAAAACGGTTATTTAGCTGTCAAACGACTGAAACGAAATACTTTATGGATCATCAGTATTAAATTAATATAATAAAGTTGATTTAATTATAAAAGCGAACCATGTGAATTTAGCGGTAAAGGAAGAAATATGTGGATAAATAACGTTAATATCTTTGTTCATTTTATTTTACATAAAGTATAGTAGTTTAAATAAAGTCATCAAGAAAACAGGTAGATAACAATGTAAAATGTTGCTTTACCAATGCATAGAATCCATACGTTACACTTAGATTGAGAAAAAAAACAGACTGACAAAAATGGAATATGTAACAATAATACAAAAATAATCCTATAGTAAGACATTCAAGAATAGTTTCAGCTGATACCAAGGATGTTTGACCAGTGGGTTCCAGTAGTTTAACACTTTTATACATAGCTCATATGGATATACAATTAATTCAACGACATACTATGTCACTTTTTAAATGTTTTTTTGGTTTATTTCAGTCCAGTCCATCAATATTGTGCAACAGAATTTGAGAAATATAGTGACGTGGTTTGTATAACATATACATCCTATTTAATTTTAAGTCTTTTTAAGTAATATGATGATTTCGACCTGATAGTCTGATGAAACATGCATGTCCTAGTTAAGTCAGTTTGTTCAGATTAATTTTACAAACTACAAGCATACAAAAAACATACTAAATTTACCTTCATCCACTTTCATATGTTTAAAGGCTATTTCCAGTCCGAGAGGATCCATCATCAACTCCCCATTCAATGAAAATGCTAAACAAATAAACAAGTGATATACTTTCGTGTACCAAAGAAGGGATACTTATGGAAAAAGTAAACAAGTATCATTTATAGTTAGTAAGTTAACGAGGCTGAGTCAACTATAATAACATGAGAAACTGGTATTTTTTTCCTACTACGATCATTAATTTTCTAATGTTGTCCATAAGTCAGCTTACAAATAACAGAATACATTCACAGCTTCATCTAGGTTTGTTGAATGACGTTTCATATGAATTGCTGATATTTAAGTTCAAAGACTGATAACTATATTGACATACTTATTTCTAAATCCTACATCTTAATTTCAACGTCCCCGGGTCAATATGTTAAGAAATGTATCACGGGCTAAACTATGTACTTAATTTGTCATTGTATTAATTTTGAACTGAATATAGAAAGTAGAAATTCACATAATCTGAGTACGACTCTGTTTTTCTTTCGAAAAGTTATTTTGCCCTTATGAACTGATCTGGCAACAGTAAACATTTGATTATATTTCCAGGAAAATGACCAAATAAAATTGTCACTTAATCGATCAAGAATTTAAAATCTAGACGTTTAAAAAGATTTAAGATTTGAATTTTATCTATAATTACACATATTTTTGATAGAAGAGTGATAATCTAGTGACTACATGGCGTTCCATCAATATTAGATCCAATGGATGCTATCAGGAATTCTAGACAAGTGTTTGTATAGGTCCTAATTGGAGTTTTTAAAATTATTGTTATCCTGCACGTAGTAAATACAATATATTTGAAATGTATGAACTCAGTTTCGTTTCCAAAGTACGATATTATTGAAAAACATTCCATATCTAAATTACTTACATATAGTTTTGTCCACTAAATCCATCATGCAACCAATTACATCGCCTGGTCGACAAATTGTACCATAAACTGAACCATTTCGATTCCACTTACGAGCCTGTTCAAGGGAAATAAACAGTAAATAACCAAACACTGAGTCGTTAGAATTCACTTTTTATTCTAACTAAATTTGGATGAAATAATGTTCTAAATTATCGATTTGTAACTGTGTAAGATTTTAATAACTAACGATCAATTTTATATAACTACTCCATAAAATGATTTTTCACGTCGACTAATTGTTGCCAATAACTAACAAGTCATTCAAGCAACTTTCGCTTAAGAAAAAAGCATGTTTATCGATAACTATACGAATAATGTACTTTCTGTGAAACTATTTTAAAGAAGAAATATTGTTTAATGGTTTAAAGAAGCATCTTCATATCCTTTGAAGTGATGTTAGAGATTTGTTGCCCAGGTCAAAGCTTTTAATGGTGTCAAGTTTTCCGAACTGGATAATTTTATTGTGATGCTTTCATTGTTATTCAGGATTATATCATCAATGTACATTTTACAATTAATGTCTACATGTATATTTTTAAAAATGTAATTTATGTATCAATAAAAGGAAGTGCAATATTTAGTTGTCGACTTTATGTGTTCTTTCTAATGCAACTATCATTAAAGAGAGAAAGTATACTATTTACTGAAGTAGACTTTCACATTACCCTATTTACACCGTAATTATTTTGAATATACTTATGACAATTTCTGCCATTTCCTTTTTTAAGTAGACAAATACGTTACAAATCGCACAACATGTACAGTGAGAAAACATACTCTTAAATTTCCCTTCATTTAACATCTTAGTCGGTGTTTGATTCGATAATCTGAAAAGAAGGTTAGAAAACTATAAAATGTCATGATTTTATGGATCACTAAAATCCGCTTCAGATGTTTGGATTAGGTGATAACATTTGTGAGTAGACATTTACGTATCAACAAAACTTAAGTTAGAAGATAGCTAACAAATACTTTATGATAAATGACTTTACGATAAATTATTTCAGCATTTATTAGGAAAATAAACGTTAGAAGGATTGTTTAACTAAGATCAGCCCATGATGTTAACTGTGCTATTTATGAATCGGCATTCACGACACCACATAGGTTTCAAGTACGAACTTTTAAGTGTCGCCGTGAGTACGATAACTTGAACACATTAGGCCACAATCAGACAGTCTATATTTGCAATTTCAGTCAGATCTTTAATCAATAATAATTAACCACAAAAACGTTTTTAGAAAATTAGGACAGTCTCAATATTTTACTATGGCGATGACTAGAGTTCAAAGGAAGTCCAAATCCAAACTAATAGCTTTCCATATAAGTGGTAAATGATTGTAAAAATGTTGCGTTGGGTGATCTTCCGAGTCTAATACTAATACACACGCCTTCTATCTGTTCCCTCATTCAGCAACATGAGTAATCCAATCGATATATGTGCACAAACTCTTTCGAAGATACATATTTTCTCCATTGCATGCGCTAACATCTCTCATATTTCATTTAGCCTTGATATGTCTAATTTCCCCAGCGTATCATCTTTCCTTCCTAAAACATAAGTGTGGTTTTTTGTATTCAGCTAAAGGAATTGAGGTCGAGGTATATCAACAAATTTTTCTAAAAAACTTAACTGTCAATTAGATCCTAGTTTAACTAAAACCATTGGCTATTCTATTAATTACATGTATAGAATTTTCGATAGCATAATAGTTGTTCTAATCACTTTAAAAACAGGGTTACATAAGATCATTATGAACTATTCCCCATAACTCAAATCAATTCACAAAATAGTTGTCAAAATTAATATTTACCTGATGTGCAGCAAAAGCATAGGAACTGCTGCTTGAACCAATTATTAAGTCGGGAGGTGCACTTTTCTTAGCCCATCCAATTCGAATAAAACCAGATGTCAGTATTTCTGCTTCATAGTACCTATAATTAAAATTTGATATTTCACACTAAACAATTTAAAAATGAATAATTTAGAAGCCATTGAGAAATATGAATTTCTTATTGCCTTCTTAATCTCGTTTTAAGAACTTCCTATAAAAAAAGTAGCATGCATGTGCAGAGATGACGAAATTTCATGCATTTTTATACAGGCAGTAATTTACTCACCATTTACCACGTGTTACTGCTCTAGTAGCTTGACCACGATAAGTCCTGGTTGGTCCTGAATAATCCATATTAGAACTACCACGACCTGAAATCACAGGTTATAAGTATTATGAAGTCGAATTCGCACAGTAATCAATACGCAATTAGTTTGGTTTTTTAAGTGCCTCGATGAGAAGGCGTTGTCATTATTTAACCTTGTCACTAGTGAAACAATAATCCCCGATGGCTTAGGATGGTGGTTAATTCCATATTACAAATCAACTGAAATTTGAAAAGTATAAGCTGTCAGATTCCTATTTGACGTTTCAGCAGTTTCGTGACTGTTATAAGTTTTGGAGGTTTTAGAACTTACTTCGTCAGCATTGGTTGTTCAACACCGATATGGATTCTCAAACTACGATTATATGATTACTTAGTCAATTTACGTTTCCCATGGTTCTCCAGCAGATATTAATTTGAGTTGAAATCTATCTTGACAATAACCATAGCTTGATTTGAAAATCCACCCATCAAGGTGCATATGTTGAATTTTCTCTGCCTCAGTACTTTCTATTTATTTTCATATGCATACATTGTATCCAACATACATTGTTCTCCATGAATTATTAGCTAAAACCTCAAATTTGTCATTTCGTTTAAACTTGTCTTATGAATAATTATTGGAATAACATAGTAATAATCTAAATAGTCATGAGATTTAGCCACATTCATTTGGTTCATTATCTTCTCTGAAAAACTCTCAATAACTATATCATTTACCTTATTCTTGTGTTCGCTTTGACTTTTTATCATTTATCTTGAATTTATTGTTCGGGAAACTTCTCAACCAAAAGTACCAGAGTTGGAAGTTATTTATCAATCATTCTAAGTATATTTTGAAAGAACTATATCCCCGTACTCTCTGTAACAGTCTTGTTATCTTTCATGATTTCACTGAAACAAATATTGTTTCTTTTTGTTTGGGTTATGAAGTTTCCTCACGTTATTTCAGTGAGTTTATACAAAGCTTAACATGTTTAAGTGTGTTTTATTTTTAGAATGCAGTAAATTTGTTTTAAATTCACTTTAATTCACAGAATGGATAATTGGTTACCTAATTTTATAAAGTTGTATATGTATTACATAATTAGTATACAAACGAACAAAGAACATTATGTAGAAACAAGTTATGATTTAAACAAATAAGTTTGTGATACAATTATTTCAAGGGTTATTTGATATGAAATAATGGATTGTCAGTAAAACTATTAAAATAGAACAACTATTGAGAAATAGATCAGAAGGGAGTTTTGTGGATATTTCAGTATTTTCATAGTTGAAATCATGACGAAACGGCCGTCCAGTGCTTCCAGGTTTTCCATGGTGGTCTAGCTTCAATCGACTCATGATTTCAACTATGAAAATATTGGGAAACAGTTCACTTTTAAACAGTTTTATATGAATCGTTTAGAAGATTTACTTAGTTGTCAATTTGTTTTTAAATGATTTTCTGGATTTTGAACTGTTTATATACTTCATGTGAATTTGTGAAGTGAAACAAATTTAATTAATATTCTATAGTACTTACTAATATTGTTATTTTTCTCAATGAAAAATATTGAAGAAGCTAAGAAATATTTTCGATAATTCATATCAGCAAGGCACAAGACTATCTTCAAAATAAATGAAATCTCGTGAATTAAGCTGCTTTGAATGAACTCATTAGTGATTGAGCTTAAAATGAAATTCTTTAAGTTTTGATAGGAAGTCAGTGAAAAATTAATACAGAAAATTTCAGATGATAACATTAAATAAATAATTACGTTGACTGAAAATGATAGTAAACGATTTCGCTTCTCTGGTTTAACAGTATCGTAGTAGATACAAGATCGAAAGGTTGTGATTGTACTCTACTGAGGAGTCTGACTAGAAAGATAAATTTGTCAAGTTCTCATTGATTCATAATGATTTTTCAAGTGATGTCAACGTTCATGATGTACACTACCTTCCGAAATATGAGTAAATTTTTAATTAGAAAATATTAAACAAACCTGGATCTGAAGAGTCTGAACTAATGGGTTCCAATGAATATCCATAAGCTATAAGTGTTTTCACTGTTTCAATCGCGGTATCCCTTTATAAAATGAATTATATCAGTAAATGCAAAACCAAATGATAATATCAGTTGCTTTATTAGTTTCAAAATAAGTGAAATGACTGCGATAATAATAACTCTAATAAATATATTTAGCTTCCTTGAAGTTAAGTGACATTGTCAAACATGTCATCCACATAATTATGATTCAGTTTATTGAATCTGGTGTATATCTCTTATGAGATTTTGAGTATTATGATTATCAATATTTATAGACAGTACAGATAAAAAAATCACTTTATTTACACAATTATTAAAAACTAGGGAGCCATAGACAACTACTCCTTCCTTTTATGGGAACCCATAACCACGTCGGAGACAAAACAAAATGCAGGGAAGTCTGAAAGCAAAACTTGAAATTGATTATACGTTCAATAAAGCCTTTTAATGACTGTTTGTGACTAAGAAAATCTTTTAAGCAGTATTTACTAACCCAAACACATGTTTAATTAAGTGAACATGACAACCTTATTAGACTGAGCCATGCAGGTCGATACAAATTATCCGGTTGGGGTCCCCCCGACAATTGTAATCAGAGGCTAAGAACGTCCAACGAAAGGATTAGAATCAGTCTTAAAACCCAGACTCTTGTATTTTTGTTCTTTCTATAGTTGATTTTTTATACTTCTACTGATACTAATACTACTCTGGGATTTAAGATGATAATTTCATATTTTTGTGCTAACGAGCTATGGTTCCTATATTGCGTGTGACTGTATTCAAAATCTTAGTTCCATACGAGAACTAAATGTCCGTCCAGTGCTTCCAGGTTTTCAATGGTGGTCTAGCTTATATCGACTCGTGAATTCAACTGTGAAAATAAATATTTAACTTATATATATATATATATATATATATATATATATATATATATCAGTTACCAAACCAATATACGGTAATGAGTCGAAAATTGTTGGCTGAATGCATTTAGGATAGTTTAATACATCAAGGCATTAAATGGAAGATAAAAACAAATATAAATTGGAAGATATCACTATAAACTAAAGTTAATAAGATAGTTGTACCATGTACTTATCATACTTTTAAACCTCATATAAGTTATCTTTTTAGTTTCATCGACATATTTACCCTTTAACTGAAATGTTTACCGTCTTTCTATATGATGTAAGAAAAGATTTATAACAGTATATCAAGTTTCCGCTTATGACATATTGTTAAATTTTTAGAAACTAGATACACTGCAGTTGAACTGGTGAACTGTCATTCAACAGAAAACGTGAAATTAAAACAAATTAAAAAGTAAACAATATAAGAATTTATCACCAAAAGCTTACTTGTTTGACTGTTGAATAATAGGATCGACTTCACTATATGGAACTAAATGTGGACTTCGTTTCTGTGACTGATCCTTGAAAAATATTAATCAAAAGTCACATTTTATCTCTGAGAAAAAGATGCTCAGAAAAATAGATTTGAATAAAACTACCTTTTGTGACTAAGACGAGGGAGCATTCACAAACTTTTAAATAATTTACTCATATGTTAATTGTTATAAGCTGAACAATAACTTACAAAAAGTAGCCATATATATGCCTGTACAATTATATCATGTTTCCACTTTCACTCCCTTCACCTATTGCTGAAAGGTTTCAAAAGATGTTCTATCGTTTCCATAATCACAGATCATCCTAGACATTTCAAACTGTTTTCACAGTTCTGATTCGGTGGAAATTGTCTGAAGCGCGAGTTGTAAATTAAGTCTTTTTGGGATAAGCGTGGTCTAAAGTAGGAAATTACCTTTCATCATTACTGCTGTCAACAGCATTTAATGACAGACAGTGAGTCAAAAAAGTGAGCCTCACATCAGTCAACCATAACTTCTGTCAGTACAGGACCAAACAAACTTCATTCGTTATTATCCTTCCATAAATGTTTTTGCTTTAAGTAAAGTTACTTACTTACTTAGTAAATAAGCTGAGTATATTAAACACTAAATAAACACATTGCTCCTTTAACAAAAGCAAGAAAAAATATCACAGCGCAACAATTTTGTTTTATCGCCGTTTTTTGTGGTTAGCTGACTGTTATCGTAGTTGTTTTGTTAAAGAAGTTCATAATATATGTTTTGTAAATATTCATCTGGTAGTCTTTTATTATTAGTCATGTATTCACCAGTGACTCATTTCGAGTGGTGATTACCGGAGTCCTAGTCAACAGCCGTGACTAGAGGAATCCAAGCAAGTCGACTGTGAGGCAGTCACTCGTCAATAAAATTGGAAGTTAGTCGCTCACTAGCGAGTCGACTGAGTTCAATATTCAAACTGTTGAATTGTGACTCATTGGTCTACAAGATAAGCTCTCAATGTCAGACTTGAACGTCATGCGTTTCCATCTGTGGTTGAGCTGAGAACAAACATTATTGAGGAGCCCAATACCAGGATGAAGCATATGTTCAATTTTTCCTGGCATTCAATGATAGTTTGACTAAGGTCAACCAATGATTTTGAATGTGAAAAACTTCAACAGTCTCTACAAACCCGCAACGGTATTACTATTTACCTTCTACACTTTCTAGATTAAGCCACTATTTAGTGGTCTGAAAGTTTAGTTCTCACTGTGCTATCTAAAGATCTCAGATCAACCTAATTTGATTCGTAAGTGTACACTTCACCACAATCTGTGGTTGTGAAAAATATTGTATAAATATCGTGCTAAACCATAAATTAATCTATTTTTGTCACTTGGTAGAGGCTACAATATGTATGTAGAGAGTACTTATACCAGTTGTTTTATTAAAAGAAATGAAACTGAGTAGTAATAAGGTGAAGAGAAATAATAATGTGCTGATCAAAAGTATTGAAATAATAGCACTTTTTAACATAGCCATGTTATTCTTGAGAATATATGCAATTTAATTCACTGAGTTTAAGCATATTTTTGATAGAATCATCCTTAATTAAATGAATAGTCTATTGTTGATGAGGGTGGTTTTTAAGCCAATTTTCTAAATTAAATAAAGATTCATGAACTTGGTGTTTGTTATTTGGCGTTGGAGTATGTGTGGATGACAAAAACGGAATAATTCATGCAATAAATAATTAAAAAATCATCCTAACAGCTACTTACTTCAACAAAACCATAAGTCCATCCTAGTGCAATACGATCACGTGCCCACATATTATGTGTATTTTCAGCTAATTGGTCAACTAATGCTTCTATACGCACAGACAAACGAATTTGTGTTAAATCCAGTGGTTGAGGTTTATAACCATTCACTTGAGTAAAACTATTTTGTTATGATTATTAAGATAAAAACGAAATGAAATAAAAAGTTATCTGTAGCTATTTGTAGTGCTGTTCAGTACTGAGCTTCCTTATCTTTACAAATTAGAGTGGTTCCAATGCGAATGAATGGAGCAGAACTTATTTGAAGTCAATTTGTAATGATATGAATTATTCTTTTTTGATATTGTGACAGGATTTTTATCAGTTTTAGTTCTCAAATGTGTATCCTATGTGTGTTATCAAAATATAACTATTATGTCAATTCATTGTACTTGGGTCTCATTTCATTTCGGGATTCAAACTCAGTATCCTTAGCTTAAAACGCTAAACAGGTTATCTATTTATCTACTGAGCTATCAGCAATGAAATAACCCAAACGACTACAAATTGTATAAGAACTTATTCAGTCGAAAGGATTCCTTTCATCTATAAAAAAACCTTTAGTGCCAACACCTGTAAAGAATATTAACGTATTTTTGTAAATGGTTACAAATGCAGGTAGAAATTCATCAAATAAACTTGCTTCTACTGATTCGCTTACTTGAACCTAACTCCGAATGTTTTAAACGGCAAAACATTTACTAGTAGGTTACTGAAATACCATAGCTATGTTTGTTAAGTGACTTTCATTTATTGTAAATACTTGAGATTTATCCTTGTTGACTTCTGGGACTAAATTACTCAACTTCTGTTAAAATTAAGGTTGGCCGAATGAATGCCTTTATATTGTTGACACTTTTGTTGTTACATATTTTGTCTTGTAACTATTCACATGCTTGATTCTGGTTGATATGGGTTATTTACAATATACAATCATTACTATACAAAATGTGGGAAAAATAATCAGCTGAATATCTATTGCGATGGGCGGTGTCCAAGATCTGATATGGTTACACAAAATGATAGGCGCTAACCCCCTCCCCCCTCAAGAGACTACTTGAGCGAGAAGAAAAAAGTAAAAGATAAAGTCTATTGAGCTACCAAATAACATGGATGTAATACGTACTTGTTTATATACATTTATACCCCTTAGAAAATGAATCCATTTCTTAGCTAACGGAATGTATTTGTCGTTCAGGACATTTCTGACTGTCATCAAGTGACCTTCTCACTTGACTTCTTCTGATTAGCTCACTGTGTCGATATCCAAAAGAGATTGAAGTCCTTTTTAACCTACTCTATTATACCATTAAAGTCATCAAAGATGAAAGACACATGAAGGTAAATCACACCCGTTTTTAAATAGTATTTCATATCTCGGTGGACTGATTGAGAAATAGTGAAGCTGGTTTCAAATAAGTCAATGATATTACAATCTGACATAAAACTAACGAACAAAAAAATGGATCAGTCTTTGAGGTCAATGTCAGTTAGCTTGAGATGTCTAAGAGGTGTGAGCTTCTTCAGTATGATTGTGGATTGCTAAAAACACTGCTTAAAACCGATTGTTATACAGTATGTGCATATGTTTTGTTTTTTAAATCTAAACAAATATTTTTTCAGTATGGGGTTGTGGAGATTGTCAAGTTTTCGACTGAGATCATGAATCGATTGATGTTAGACCACTACTGAAAACCTGAGAGCACTGGATGGCCGTTTTGTCCTAGTATGGACTCCTCAGCAGATCTCAATCAAAAACTTAACAATCTCTACAACCCCACACTGATAATGACCATGTGCTCACTAGTGACCAGCTTCGTGAGGGAATTCTCGGGGTTCTAGTGAGAAGCCGTGACCAGTGGGGCTAATTCATGTCAAGTAGAGACATGTATCTACCTCAGACAATGGAAGATGATTGCGCAATCTCGTTGATTGGTTGAAGTCGGACATAAACACCATTGGATGTCGGTTCAGAGGTCTAGAAGTTAAGCGTTCGTGCTCAGGACCGTAGGTCCTGGGTTGGAGTCCCGCGAGCAGGGTTGTGGATGAGCGCTACTGAGGAGTCCACTGCTGGGGCGAAAGTCGTCCAATACTCCCAGATTTTCAGCGTTGGTTTAACAATGATCGATTCATGATCTCTACCATTATTGTTTAGTTACTCTAATCTTAACCTTTTAACAGAATTTCGTTTCTATCGATTGTCTTCTTCAAAAAGTTGTAACCTATGTGGATATGACATAATTCTTCGCTGTGTGACGCACCACTTATTTGTGTTTGCTAGTCTATCAATCTTTTTATCAATTCTTTTTCATTATTCATATCCATCCTACAGTTACTATACAATTCCGAACATTGGTAAATATACGGTAACATTACGACCATGAACTTTTGTATTACTGTGAACAGTGTTTCATTTAGTCAGTGTCAAATATACTAATCACTAATAGGTTTGAAAAGTGTAGTAGAAAAGAGACTGGATAAGTTAGACATTATTATTATTTAACCATATTCATAGAAATGCTTACCTATTTGATAGCTTCATTGTTCTCATCCTTGTACCCTCAGGTAATGGTTCATAAGTAATATTATAACCTAAGCTAATTATTGTTCTTAATGTTTCGTAGGCAAGTGTTACATTATACTGTTTATCTGACGGTGGCAGCTTGTCAAATGTAGTCAAACAAGGATGAAGATTATTTTCATCATCTCGACGCTATATTTTTCAAAAAAGAAATGTAGGATATTTCAACATTTTAAAAACATTGAAGATATACAATAACGATAATCAGTGAACGAAATGATTTCATTTGTCCATCAAAACTTATTACAACACATTTTAGGCATCTATTCGGTAAATACGAACTACGAATAATGTTACTCAGGATTTGTAGTAATAAACTACAAAAAATGATTATGAGATGATTAGTGAAACTCAGTCTCATGAACGAACACGAACGGCAATTCATGTGGTGAGGGACGAGACCAATTCCCCACTCCATCATAACCTACTAGACTACAAATCATTCAATGAAACATGAAATAAAAATACGGATGAAGTAGAAAGTCTGACCAGGACATTTAGGAAGTCATCCTTATTAAACGTCTTAAGTCGACCATCCCGGTCAGCAAAATAAGTGTGACTAAAAGAAATTAAAATTTCGCTTATGGAAAGTCAGAAGCTCATAATAAGACTGAAAACATAAGATAGTGAATAAACTGGGTGAACGAAAGTATCACGTAACAGTACGAACAGAAACCCATTACCGTTATCAAGATTAGACACCGCTATCAGCTGTCATTCGCACTGTCTTATGGCATAATTATTCTTTATGTTATTATTTCAGGAAGCCATTTTTATTTCAGGCTTACAAATGCTCCAAGTGCCACAGAAACCTTACAAGTTTGTTATTAATTTATGTATATTACTCATTAAAGAACCGCTTTTTAAACAAATCGCTATTTTATGAACTTCCGTTTCAGGTGTATCTCAGTAGTGTAATTAGACGCTTTGATAAGTTCAACATGCACCTAGAATCAAACCAATAAAAAGACATCCCAAAAGGCTTGAATGTGCTACAGCATAGAGTGAAACGGTTGGAAAATAATAAAGCTCCTAGAAACAACGTCACAAACGACAGAACAAAGTATGAAGGAAACAAACTAAAAAATATTCTCTTGCAAATAATGAACCGATACTGATATAGTACAGACGAAATCCTAAAAAACTGGATCCTTCCGGACGTTATCAGGATTCTACAATCGTAAAGATACGAAAACAGTCTCGAACAATTACCAGAGAATATTCTTGCTGGATACCATCGAAAAATCTTTTCGATTGTAATATGAGCACAACTCATCATATCAACAAGTTATCTCATACTACCAACTCATTGTGATTTTAGACGCCATCTATCAACAACTAAGGGAGTCTCATCTCTTTAACAGATCATTAAAACTGCGCTAAGCAATGATACTGAGCTAATACTAACTTTCGCAGACCAAAATAAGGCTATCGATACCATCCCGAAACAACTGCTACTGAACAGGCTAAACAATAAAGTCTCTCAAAACACCAACTGGTGCATCATGCGCCCTTATGATGAATCTAAAGGACATTTTAAAGGACAAAGTGTAAACTTCACTATGTACAGATGAGTAAAAGAAGTGGGCAATGTGGGTCCTTCTCTTTTCAAACCACTCTTCCAAGAAATCCTCAAAAGTACTAATAATGCGGAGAATATATGACAACTAATTGATAGAATGAAGACTATCACATCGAATACGCAGATGATCTGTGCCTTATCATAGCGAATACTAATGATTTCTTTAAAAAGCTAACTAAACTTCAAATCGAACTCAAAGCCTTGGAAATGTTAAACACGACAGACAGAAAAAAGACTGACTGTAAATAAACACTGGAACAACCAGTAAATTCACATTGACCAAATAATCATTGAAGAACTAACTTCCTTCAACTATCTGGGACCCATAAACAAAACAAACGGACTGCCTGATGATGCAGTCAATCAAAGCGTCACTAAAACTCGCCACACAATAATCAAAATCTCACTACTCTTGTAATCAAACATCATCAATCTACCAGATAAAAGAAAGCTGATGGAATCTACCATAATACTGGCCTTAGTCTACGGTCTATAAACTATGGTATTTAGAATGAATGACTGGAAGCTGTTCTCAATACAGTGGAACAAGTGTTCTTTGAATCAAAAACCAAAAACATTTGATAATGGCAGAACTTCAAGATAAGTTTAGTCTTGCAAACATGTCGTTAAAGTCCGGCAGAACCAAATAAATACCTCGTACACGGCTCACAAACGACCATAAAAGTCGATGATACCCGAATGACCATGGACAGGCAATAAAAAAACTTTACTGATAAAAGAAGGGTATAGTAAACCATTGTTACGTGATACATAAATGGTCACCAATAAATAGACAGGAAATAAAGCCAAGGAAGAACGAACCAGCCTTTGCGCCCCTCTAGTTGTGCCTTGTTTTATGAAGCGTATCTTCACAATAGCTAATTGCTTTTATTAACCTTAATGGCCAAAAGGAGTAGTTAAATAGACGTTATATTTCTCTGGCTGGCAGGGAAGTTTAGAACGAGTAGTTCGTTCTGTGTGAGACTTGTCAACTGTATCTGCATTAGTATTTCTGTCCACTCTAAGATTAAAACCTAATAACTGTTGTCTAGAACACCGACCAACCTCATTTATTTTTTGACAGATTGAAAAATGAAGACATTATTCCCTTAGGACTGGTATGGTTTACAAATAAAGAAGAATTAGTAGCAGTTCTCAGTTGTACACAGAAAATCCTGATCAATCGTAGTGACGAACCAAGTATTATCTGTTAATAATGGTTCACTTTATCCTAGTTAAATACAGAAAAATAATAGCGGTGGATGTAATTCGAAAAACTATATAGTAAAAGGTTGGTAAACAGCCAAATTAACATACTTATCAGAAAGAATGTAGACTGTCACATTCCATTAATGACATGGAGTTAACAATTAAGCAAAGAAGTATTGGATAATAACTGAATTAGAAATAGTGGATTTCAGGTTACAGATTTGATGTTTTACATACTAAAGATTTAACTGAAATTCAATCACTGAGTGTTATAACCAACTATTGTGTGAATAATTAACAAATAATTATCCGTATGTCTTTATTTTTGAGGCCTAGTTAGTTGTTACGCTTTAGATGATTTGGATTGTCAAAGATATTTATAAAATGTCGGAAGATAGTAAGAAATATATGCCCATCAACTACTCAGCTTGTTGAGATGGTTATGTAAACTATTACTGAATGTTAGACTGTAGTAATAGTATATCAGGGGAATAAATGAGTTGAATTATTTTACCTTAAGCATTACATCAGACGCCAACAACTGTCATTTGTACTACAACACCAATTCAGTTAATCCATATTATTTATACCCGATGATAAACATCCAGCAGTTTCCACACTATAAACCTAATTGCAACTGAGTGTAAATACTTTTTTCAGACGTCAAACACTGAGAAGATTAGTTTGTTCCAACTAAAATCCATGTTTCATTTCATTATATATATATATATATTATTTTAATCAGTTTAGAAGATTAAAACTTACCTCACCATATCTCCAGCCCTGATCAATTTTACGCATAGACCACATTTCATGTAGATTCTCAGCTAATCTATCACGAACCATTTCTACATAGTTTGGTAATTGGATCTTTTTGGGAAAAAAGATGGGAAATCTGTAGACTAATCAACATTGTAATCATTTTCAATTGTGTAACAGAATTCAAAGACAATAATAAGATTTAATTGCACAGACTTTAGCAGTGATTTTTAAAAGATATGATGTATTCTGAAAAATTTAAACGGATAAATAAAATTATAAGATCATAGTAAAAGAAGGAGGCCTTCTCAAATGTTTTTCTGGTATCTGGTGAGTTATTGTGTACGGTTATTTGTTAAGCTGGTTGGTCTGTAAAGATGAGTACAGTTGAAATCGAATTTAGTCACTAGATAACATCAGAAAATCCAGGAACAGTGAAACGCTATTTTATTCTAATTTAACATCCTCCCATATATGGAAATGGGTGCGTATTGCTAATAATCCCCAATCTTAGACAAAAGAAAAGTTTAGTCCTCAGTGGTAGTCATTCATTCCTTTTTATATGTCGGTGCATGACAGGAGATTTTTTTAATCGAACTACATTATGCAATAGATAAATTCTGACGTTAGTGATGATTATCAAATAAAAACTAAATAAGAAAAAATGAATAAGCCATATATTGTAATACTTACATGAGAAGTACGCACTGTACGTGGTACAAATACATATTGTTGTGGTGTTGGTGAATTCAGTGGACCGGTGAATACGTATTTATCAAGTTGACCGAATGTGAATACAGGTTCAAGACGAAGTTTCTGCCCAGGTTGTCTAGCATAACATATAGGTGAGTAACCAGGTGGAGGACCATGATGTAAACGACCTTGATTTGATCCTAAAAGAAATCTTGCACTTGCTTTTGCATTCATACTCATACATGGATAGAACAAACCGCTTATATTGAAATCCTAAAAACATTGATAATTAGTAACAGAATATTTGTGAAAACATCAATATAAAAGATTGAACTAGTGAGAATATATTCAGTAGTAATAAGTATCGCACTATGGTTTATGTATATTACAGATAAAGTCAGAATAAATGACAGCTGAAATAACATTGTATGAGGAATAATATTCATTACAACTTAGTCTCTGTGTTTACAGCAAGGTGGAATGTCATGTTCATTGAAAATGCAATGATAAGTGTGCGTTTTGCATACGTTAACTACATGAAATTTTGTCTAAACAGAAACATTTATCCAATCAAAGATTTATATTGTGATATATATACACGTACTTAAGTGACCAGCATCCTAAACTTTCAACGTCCTTATTGTTAACCTTAAACGGTACAGATCACATAGTGATTATAAGTTCTTCAGCTGATTCACCCAGGCTCTTTTCGCAAAGTTAAGCCACACCATGTAATAATGTATCAGAATCTATCAGTTCTCTTGTTTTACTTCGGATTTTTAGTTTCTACATTAGTGGGAGACGAAAATTAGTTGAAACAACCTATCTAACAAACGGTAATACATTGTCAACAAAAATGAAGAAATGACCAGGTGGACGTTAAACTTAAATTACAATTTGATCAAAGAAATTGACTAAAAAACGCTCACCTGGAAATATCCTCTTACTAGACGTCCATTCACATTAAATTGAATAACAGGTCCAGTTAAATCCAACAAGCATCCAATAATATCACCACGTTTCAATGGTACATTAGATGTTGCTTCTTCATTTGTTGCTTCATCTGTTCCGATTGTAGCCCGTTTTGGTTTACCACCAGCCCATAAACAACTTCCATCAAATGCATAACTAAATAGGTCATCACCCAACCCTGCAGCACCCCAACCGGGTCCACCACAGGGATGTGCATTATAACCTTCTGTATTAGCCCAACCAACCCGAATTTTCGCTGGTTGATGTGTAACTGTCTCCAGTGAATCAATAATTACTTCAAAATACCACTTTGGATACATAGCTCCACCCTTAAATGAAGAAAATATTAAATTTAAACAGTTTTCTGAACGAAATAAGCACATTTTATAAGTTTATTGTGACCGATATTTATAGTACTGCATCTAGGATGATAATCTTTGGAGTGTCAATGAATTTCGTCCCATTATTAAAACAACATATCAGAAGGGTGAATTTTAAATTTCAGGTTTATAAAGACCATTTCAAAGATTCCGAGTAAACATAAGAAGAAATGTTTATGAGAGAAATGTTATTACTTTAGAAAATACATGTATGACTATCGAAAAGGATTATTCTAGGTTACGACTCAGCTTTCTTGACTTTTACCCCCTAATCAATGAGTCATTACTATTCACAATCTATCGACTTGGGTTCAACTTTATTCGTTTTGTTATTAGTATCTTTTCAAGCGATATTAATTTATGACAAAAAGTGTGTATGAGTGACTCGATTATCGATCAACAGTTTGAAAATCATTTATTTGGTAATTTTGACGGTCTAATTAGTTCAATAAGAGTAAACATAAAGAACTATTGAAGATTCCCAAATCATCTCAATCCGATACAACATGGTACGATAATTTTAATTTAACGATAACCTTTCACTAATAGCGTTATATATGATTCTTATCAAATCTTACTTTTTTTTCATTTACGAAAATTTTTCATTCATGGTTAAAATCACGAACTGATTTTAGCTAGGCTGCCATTAGGAACTCTCAGGCACTGGAAAGCTGTTTCATCCTAGTGAGAAACTCCTCAACAGTGTGGATCCGCACTCCTGTAACCGAGGATCAAACTCAAGGCCTTCAAGTCACTGAACCGGTATCCAATGGTGTTAGTGTCTAACCTCAATTGATTCATACCAACTGCCAGCCCAATGGCTTAGATGTTAAGCTTTCACGCGTGAGACCTAAGGTCCTGGATAGGATTACAGGTTAGAGGAGTGCGGGTCCTCAGTGTTGAGGAGTTCCGCACTAGGATGAAACATCTATCCAATGCTTTCAGGTTCTCAATGGCGGTCTAGCTAAAATCAGTTTATGATTCGAATAGCAAAATTTCATAAGCTTTACAAATCCCTTTATACAAGTGTTTAAGTGCAAGTGTTCGTAGAGCTACCATCAACAACTTACGGAGGCTAAGTATGAGTCGTGGTAACATCTTTCATGGAAAAGACGAGTCAGTGTGAAATTAAGAGTGTGTCAGTTAAAGTGAATATGAAAAAGTCATGTGAACAATTTAAACTTGTTTTAATAACCATCGGAGTTTTGTTACCTATACATATTAAGTAAACACAGATAAAGGGTGACCAGTAATAATTATATATAACCATCAACAAGTATAAGGCTTACATCTTTATAACCGACGAATATATTTGGTCGAACTGATCCACATTGATCAACTAATTTTGTTTGTAATAATAAATCTTTTTGTGGCAGTAAAGTTTCATATATTAACTCCTGATTTAATCGTACAGCTCCTCCTTGACGTCCTAGACATAATGAACATAATGCTTGTAGAACCTAAAACAAGAATAGTAAAAACGTTTATGAACTCTGTTATTTGTAAAATATCTCTACCATATATTAGGAAACTTCTATTCCTAGAAAAGTCATAGATTTGTTATATCATCATATTAAACAGCCAAAAAAGAAGAAAACAATCAAATTTCAATTCAACTTAGTATTGTTTATTTGAATATTCCCATCGATTTGTTAGGACTGCAACTGGTCAGTCTCTGCTGATCAAATTTCAAGGTTAAAATGAACGATAACTGAGACTGTAGATAGTTTTTATCACGAATTAGTAGTAATTAACGAGCCATAGAAAACAAGATAGAGACACACATCTGATGCGTCTCAGTCTAATTGAATTCTGCTCTCTGATAGACCCAAGTATCGAAAGCTCCATTCTGTGTAAAACTGTGGATGAACACCACTTCTTTCAAATCATTAAGTAGAATGAAGCAATATCTCAATTTTCCCTCCTGTTTTCAGTAATTCACCTGACAGAACTACCTTCAAATAAAGCAGTCTTCTAATTGAAAATTAATTGAATTATTACTTTTTTTATAGAGAAGTACAATAAACCATATCGTACAACTACATTTAACACTGCTTTCTAAATAAATATTTGATAAATCTGCAACATAGTGATTAAGAATTTTGTTTTCTCGAGTTTTTTTTCCATAGAAGTATATTTTGTTAGGTATGTGTAAGAATAAACTTTTTTATAAGTGGATAAGGGTATATTTTTTATTAAATTATTATTTATTGAATAACATTGTATTTGACCCATTTACTCATAATAGCTCTTCTAGTCTGAGAACAGTAAAACTTTCTATCCAACCTTTAAACATTAGTTTTCAGCAACAAATCGTCAACCCACTGGTCCATCAATACTGTTATAACTCAGCAAAACACTAATATGGTCATTTTTCATAACTGAGGAAGACTGGTTATTTAGAATAGTAAACACTGGCAATTGCACAACTCATGGGAAAAGGCAAATATTACAGATGAAGGTTTATTAAGTGCCAAAAATAAATCGAAACTTCATCTAAAATCAGTGAGTTTTATATGATCTGTTTTTCTGGTCAGTAACGAGACGTAAATACATTGAACTTAAAAGTACTTGAGATTGATACATCGGTAACTTAATGTAAGTACATGATTTACAATATCAATAAAATGAACTTTTGTAACAAACAAAGATAACTAAATTCTTGAACCATGTTTGCTCTTTCCTAACACCACGTCCTTTTTATTTGGGTCAATATTTACAAATTTTCTATAAGGCATCAAACTAGTTGTTATTCCTCATTTTGTTAATGTCTTAGACCATCTTCTCTTAAACTCCCAGCATTTTAAATGATATATTGACGGGTCCAATAGCGTTTATAGAAATACAATGAACATTATTATCTCCTGAAATGGAAGTAAAATTTGTGCTATCACCCGGAAACTTCTAGTTACCGATTAGTCTTGATAATGAATTGATATGATCAAAGACATTAGTAAATTTATATCGGATTCGAAAATTATAATCAAGTAGGGTAAAAGCCCATCTTCGAAATTAGTTTACTATGGGGAGTAGGACCTTTACCTTAGATCCGAGAATTTCCATGTCTGTAAGTATTTTTAAGTGTCAATCGTGAAGGTTTTTGTGAAATTCTTTTACTTTATTGAATGACCGTTCTCATCAACACTTTCATGGAAAATGAATAACCTTATCTTAGAATATTGCATATAAGTTAACTGTCTTCCTGTAACATACATCTGTATCGTCTTCTTTGTTTTTTTGGAAATAAAATATTTTTTGTTATTCCCAATGTAATAATATTCCAATCAAACCAAGTAAGTCTATATAAAGAAATCAGTCGTGTACAGAGATAAATCCAATCAAAAGTCAATTCAAACGTTAGATTATTCAAAAGAGACTTCAACAAATACAGTACTGACCCTTGGATCACGACCTTGTTTATCTAGTAACCCGATCAGTGTGCGTATGTGACGCTCTGTTATCAAATACAAAGCTTCGTCACTGTCAGTTAGAACACAATGTAAAGCATCCAATACACCTTCAGCGAAGCCTTGTTGTAATTCCAGCCTATTGAAAAGCCAATCCAATCGCGTAGGTGTAGCAAACTGTGCACAATTTTCACGATTGCCACGAATAAGTGCAGCTAGTAGTAAGTATAGATAATTGCCCAATTCATTGAACTGATCAGCTTTATCTTCACCAACAGCTTGTGAAAATTCTCGACGCGTTTGGAATGTTCCAGTGAATCTTTCTATAGTACTCAATACGTGCCCAATCATACCTTCATTCTGGATTAGACAAATGATAAGAAGTGAAAATAAAGCCAAAACTCATGTGAAACTATGAAATTTATTTGTTTTCACAGTTCGGTGTCGAACACAAGACATATCAAATCAACGATCTCTATCTGATAGCAATCAGCTACGGATTGCAAATAACTTAGAATTACTATTCTAGGAGCTTTCCATCCATTTTTTGATATAATTTGAAACAGTGATCAAAAGTCACTAATATTTGATATGTCTGGTAGGTTTACTGTAATTTCACCAAATCAAGTCCATGAACCATCTTAGGAAACTTTGATAATTAGAATAAATACAATATATTATTTACAATTACTAAGTAGTGTAACAAGTATTATATTTGTGTTCACATTATTCACTTTTGACAGGTTAATACAGAAAGTGATATTAATACATTATCACTTATATTTTCTGTGTGATATAAGAAATCAACATTGTATCATTTCAATAATCAGAGATTTCTGTTAGTTTAAGTTAACTGAATTATCATGAAAACTTATTATCGATCATTCATGTTATATATCTCACTTTATACAGTTAAGTGACTTTATGATAATGACAAAAAACGCAATTATTTACCTGAAACAAATTTTGACGATTTCTTAAAGCAGTCAATTTAGATTGTTGAATTTCGTGTTCTTCATGTGGATGCGGTTGAGCGAAAAATTCAATCAAATCCTCTAAACATTGAGTTACTTCACCTAATAAATGTCCATTGCTTAAATTACATTGACTTTGTTGTGATGGTAAAGTTATATTTTGCGGTGATGATATATAATTTAATGCATGTATAAAGTTATTAAATACAGATGTACATCGACGTATTGCTGATGCTGATCTAATTTCTTCATCTTGTGCTCTTACTAAACTAAACAAATCATCCATATGACCTTCAATTAATAGGACAGCTTTTTTCTCTTCCACACGACCAACACCACGTTTCCGAGTTTCGTATGCCTCATATGATAACCATCGACCTGATGCCGCATGCTGAAGGTAAGCTAATGTTTCACCTAATCTAAGATCTGGTTCACCCATGCCTTCAGTTTCATGTTCTTCTGAACGTTTCTTATCATCCTGCAAAAAACAAATTTAGAGTCCCAATAAATAATCATTCACTTTTTATGAAGATGTTAGAAGACAATGGATTTTTAGTCTAAAATATAATCTGGTATAATTTACTAAAATCCTGATTCCATCAAATTGATAGCTGTATGCACAAAAATTTGTTATATTGAGGAAAACAAAGGCGATGATAGCTGTAATTGGTCCACAACTAGCTCACTTCTTAATCTCTAATTCCACATTTTTAAAGCCTACGTGTCATAAATATACATGTTTCAGTTCTTAGTCTGTTTATTATTCTAGTCCTTGTCGGTTAATATGGATATTGATTGTCAATCACCTTCAGACATGTAGTACAAGATAAGTGTCTCGAAAAACTACAATCAGATATTCAAGGGTTTACTAACATAATAAATTATGGTATATTGTATCATATCACTTGTTAATTGTTTGAAGACAATAGCTAGTGAAGCTGCTAACCACCAATAATTACTACGAAGTTGGAAAGTTTTTTTAAATTTTGTTATGGACATTATTCATATAAATATTTTTATGAATTAATAATTTGTATAACTAGTCAGCGCACATACTAATATTACTTCAAATAGATAGTAAATTAACTCAACACATATTTTTATATAAAGGAAGAGACTGAATGTACTACTCAAAACAAAAAAACATACTTTAGTAGGTCTTATCAAAAAGATTGAAGCTGCATTTGTAGCTTCATGTGCTGACAAAGTGACGACATCACAGTGTCCATTTCCATTGGCTTCACTAGGCAATACACCCAAATAACGACCAGTAGTTACATGACGTAGACGAATTTCAGAGCCCCATGAAAAGAAACCAGCACACCATTTAGTTTTTGTATGTTCGATCCGCCATAATGAGCGAGCACTTGTTGAAACAGCGCCGATTTCATACATAACTGCATGACGTGAACTGTCAAGAAACATATTAAAATAGGGGAATAATATTGGTTGGTTAAAAACAATGACTACCAATGAAGTAAGAGTACACTAGAAAGTAATTTTGAACTATACTGTAAAGTGTGGACATGACGTTTTCACCACCAGCAACTATACAAGGTGAAAATTCTCAAAACAGATGAAATTATTCACGATACATAACTAACTTTACTTCTGACCACCAGTAATAATTTGCGAGATTTTTTGTTTTAGGTGTTGAGACACAAATATTTTGGGGAACTTAGCAACAATGTCTCTTGAGTTAATTAACCAAATTAGGCATGGATAAATTTGTATATATAACCTAGTAAATAAAACTCAATGTCCTAGAGACTACTATACTACATCTATTACAAACCACAAATACACAATCTAATGTTTTTAAGTGATATATATTTATGGTCTTTGCCGAGTTGCTAACTTTTTGAATGTATTTAGTAACCATTAGCTATAAAACGTTTAAACAGGAAACACGGTGATTTAAGTTTTTCAATTAATGTCATAATATGCTGAGGTTGTTAAAAATTCTTTACAGAGTTGAGTGTCCGAACCGTTGCCTGAGCAAATTCTGTTATTTTTTACCCAGATATCCAAAAGAATGACTTTTTCGTCCAAGGACTGTACATGCATGGGCACTAAACTACTGTTTTTGGTGTCATTTTTTCTGATAGTCCAGACTAGTTCAACACCTTAAAATACATATTTATATCAAACAGAAATACCGTTCACAAAATGAACATATAATATATAAAAAATAAAATCCAGTCACATGATCGTTATTAAACGTTGGTTTAATTTTTCTGAACATAGATTTTAAGCTATATCAAGCTATATCTCTATCTACGCTTTTGCTTGCTAGCCTGTTTGGTTATCGAAAGGAGACTGGAAATGAATCAATAGGTCAAATTTAAAACACTATCTTAATTGTGGTTGCACTGCCCCATCAGAATGTTCTCCCGAAACCAACGGCAACTGCCAAAAGGAGTACGAACCCAAACGTTCACACTTCGGAGATCTTATTAATCCACTGGTTCTAGGGTGAACTTGATGTGCGAAGGAGCATATTCATTATTTTAATCTACCATGGTCCTAATGTGGTGTGGTCTACTTATATCCATATAAGTAGTACATGGTGTTGGTCAGACATAGAATGTATTTTGGCAGAAGACCGGTGAGGAAAGAACTGAAACGAAGCGCAATCGGTAGGAAAATGCACGAACAATGGAATTAGAGAAGGAACAGTGAAGATCGAGACTATTAGTTGTTAATTTGCAAATTAACTGTCGATTGTATGGTTTTCAGAATTTACTGAGATAGTCTGTAATTTTTGCTTAAATACATTCGATTGTCCCCAGTCGTGTTCTGTTCACTACACTAACACCTCCGCAACTCATCATTCCTCTTGATCAGTTGTTATTATCTCCTTTATATTTCTCAAACTTACAAGTCAGTAGTTACTTTGATATTAAAGCTCCCTTGTGAACTACAGTTTAATGATTCGATAAACGATTTGCAGACTGTGATGTACTTACTCCCCTTTCTTAATTGATAAAACCAAAAATAACGGTTTGAGCGCAATAACACGAATTGATTTTACTTCGTACCATTTTAATCAGACGATTAAAGCCTATGGTATTTCCGAACCGTAATTACAAAACAAGCCGAAAATACCTATCGAAACGAATAGATCTGGAAGTCAGTGTGATCACATTGTTAATCCGACCTGCGCCTCTTACTCTGACACCTAGTTGGATAATTTCTTTCACATTAAGCTATACTACTTGTCAATAATCACAACTAATTTCATTTTCAATAATTTTGAACATAAAGTGTACCGTATGTTCGTTGTATTTACACAAATTGCTAATATTCAACTCATTTCTGACTGCAACTGCGACTCCTTATATTTCTAACATTTACCTCCGATTTTGTACGTTTACTGAACTTTTGTTTAACTATGATGGTTTTTATTTTCAATGTCCTCAGTCCTAGTCTCAATAGTTCACAGCTATTATGCCTTTAGGCACAGACATTTGAACCAACAAATGTTTGTAAAAAAAACTTTCTGCTATTATTTCAGGAATCATTTTTTACATTATATACGTTAAAGCATACAACACCGCATACACCTCATGAATTAAGGTGCGTTGATTAACTGGATACATTTCGTAATAGTAATACCACGTCATGAACAAAAGTTTTTGTTTAGGATTCTGGATTTTGTGCGTAACTCTTTCATTTAGTTAGAATTTACTCGTAAGGTCACCATCACCTCAAGGAAATTACATTGGAAGAATAGAAGGAAGTATCCACCCTAGGTTTTCTGAACATGCTCAGTAAAGAGTCCTCTCAAGACATTGAATACTTTAATTCCTAGACATCACTTGGACGCAAGACATCAACAGGGAACCATGAAATCTTTCACACTGCCGAATGGACAGCAAACTCTAGTCCTTCAGAATTCCCTAAGACCTTCTTTAATAAATCCTGGGAACCAGAGTTATTTTTCTTGAGGAATCCATCGCCAGTACTTTTTTTGCACTGGTAATAAAACTCTTATTTGTTTATTATATGTGAAAATCATATTTGATTACTTTTTTTCGAGACGACTGCGAGCTAAATAGCTACAAATACGTGTGTATATCACCAGTAAGCGGTATTGTATAAAAGAAAACTTACTTTGATAAATGGTTTTTATGTCTTCATCGGTGAAATTCTATAGATTATGGCAAATCCTAAATCCAGTTTAACAATTAATTGTTTCGTAACAAAGCATTATGTAAATAAATCTAAGCAAATTGCTAAAATTACAATTCTGCTAATGGTCGTTTCAGATAATTGAACTTAGACACTCATGATCGTGAAAAAGCAGGTGTTTACAAGTTAGATTAACCATTATTCTTTATATTTACAATAATAATTGATTTTCAATGATCACACTAACCAATGTATGACTATAGAAACCATAACACAACGTTTCCTAGCTAGCTAAATTTGTCCTTATTCGTTTTCCAAAAAAAGAGTACTAAAAGTTATGAAATATTGACAGAGTTTCTATTTTACTTACCCAGACAATAGATCGGAATTTACTATACTTGGACGTTGTATTTTATTAGGGGGACTTCCGGGAGCTGATCCATTCACTGTCATTGCGACCGACGATGAAAATTCCTCTGACTCAGTAGCACACGCTGCTGTCAAAGATTCGTCACCATGAAAGAGGCGAACAACATCACCACCCAATACCATATCTGTTTAATAGGTACACCGTAAACATTACAAAAATTGATCGGTAAGACAAATATTTAATTAATTTTCATTTATTTCAAAAGTTATCAAAATGCCCTTTATTTATTTTGTTAGAAAGACAATCGAGTTTAGGTATTTTTCGTTCCACTTTCTTAAACTACAATATTTGCACAGTAATGCATAATAATTTCAATTTCTTACAAGGCGATATGATATCTAATTTATAGGCAATTCACTGTATTGTAAAAGATCAGAAATATGTAGGCTACTAGTTAAACCGTCTATGCGAATTTCTGATAGAAGTTTAGTAAGTATTGAAATCGTCCAGTATGAATAACAGCTGATAAAATCCCATGTAGATAGGTTTTTTCTTTACTAAAATGTTTTTAAATGGTTTATAGTCTTCTTAAAGCCTGAACCACAGTCAATCATGAACCCTGAAAAAATATCACTAGGCTCCTTGCGTTGAAACGAAACCATGACCAGTTTGATCACAGACAATGATTAGGTCCTTACATAATGAAATAATAGGATACACTTGCTCCTGACGTTTAGATATAACACATAACACAGCTCCATCATAGTAGAATCTATGAATTATTGGTTATAAATAATTTAGTAAATAATGGTCCATTATCACTAGCTTTATCCGATACGTACATAAACTGGAACATTCTGTTACATAAAGTGACTTTTTTAATAATTTTTTCTCTAAAGCAATTTACTTTCCTTTTGTTGACTACATTTTATCAGTCTTTCGAAGTATGTGAATTTTAAACAGATACCTAGGCATTATCTATGGTTATGTTTTGTTTTATGTTTCGAAACCATAACACGCATTCCATTCAATTGGGGACTCGCCACAAGGGCGTGCCTCTGACCCAGTGATGTTCATACTTGAATTCGAACCCAGTACCTACCTTTTTTGAAGCCGATACACTATCCACTACACCACTAAGTCCGAAATGTAGTCGAATTTTTCAGAGGTTATTATGTCATTTGCAAGGGCTTATATTTTCCAACCCATGATTTGCAAGACTATATAATCAATCTCATCATAGAGATCTACACCTTTATGACTGATAAGATATTAGATATATACCGAAAATGGATGGAAAACTTACTCATCGATTTTTGCCTTATTGCACCACTGGAAACGGGAAGTACTGTCCACAGAGTTTGCTGAAAACTCGCAATTACACCATTGCTTGAAATGACTTCTCCATAAACATGCTAAGAAGAACCGAGTATATTTAGTAAACAGTTAATTGTTGATATCTGAGTTAAAGCATTTCAAATGCATTCCAATATGGTTCAAAGGTTGTTATAATCTTAAGAAAAATAGGTTCTTGTGTTGTGCCAGGGCCCCTTTGTTTGGTCAATTATTATTGGAGCAGTCGCATTATCCAGTCTGATAATTAATTAGTTCCCCAATTTCCCCTGTAGAACCGATGACCTACTTACCATATGACACAACAATCAACGCCCATAAACTTATTGGTCATCGTGCTTCTTCCAGCCCAGTGTTGAATCAAAAGACAAAGATACCAAGTTAATCGATTCCCTAATACACTATGTTTAATCATAACTCACTGAACTGCACAGTAACACAAAATAGAAACTTACAATGTATAAACAACTCAGTTACAAGTGACACGAAAATAGAATAATAGGGAACTAGTAAGTGATGATACATCTGAAATGACATGATATGAAAAATTCCTTTATGAGTTCAATGAAGGCTAACAAATAGGAGAACTTAAAAATTTAGTAACTCAAACGTCCAATAATTATACAAGAAATATATAGTTAATAATTACACAGAGGGTTGTTCTGAAAGTTCAACTTTTGGAAAATCCTCTTCCGTGTGACAATGGTGTGAGGAAAAAACTATTATTTTAAGGATTTTTTGTGCCCCTGGATCTGTCTCTAGTTGGATTGTATGCTGATTGTCATCGAAATACTCATATCGGTTATCCTCGTGTATTTCATCGGCTTAAATTGCGTTGGTGAATAACGGAATTAAATAAGTCAAATACGCGAATGGGTTTTTGAATAGATATATTTTATGTACTCACTGATATGGACAGGTAATGAGATGCATGAAGCCAACAAAAGAGAGCGAAGCGAAATGACCCACGGTGGAGAAGGCGTTTGAGCCAACTTCATTTAATCAGGCGTTAATCAATATTTATAGCCAGATAAAAATAAGTTACAGACATGTGATTAATAGGATAAAAAGCGTACACACACATAATCTCAGGCCGGAAGCGAGAGTAGGTTATATGGGCTTAACATTGTAACTGACACTATAGACTATTGATGCTCAGATGAGGAACTAGAACCCCTAGGTCTGATTGTGTTTGACGAGATATATTAGAAACATAAGTGAGTGGATGATATTTACTGTAGAGAAACATAGGGTTACATGTTTCAGGCCTTAGTAAACAGTGTTCAAAATTCTTAAAAAAGAATGATCTAACAGACTTGTAAACTGATAACAGCTTTAATAAGCGCCTTGAACGTGAGCAATTCGCTTTCTGAGTCAACTTCCTTCAATGAACGGATTTTTTTGTGTCTAAATTTTAATAAATTAAAATTCAGATCTTAACTAAGAGATGTAAATCTAGAATCGGAAATGTGGATTACTATTAGCAAAACGAATTCTGCTTAAAACACACTTATGAGAAACTATGTATTTGTATTCATATAATTGATAAAATGGCAGGATTAGGAATAAGAATCATGTTGGTAAATATAGGTTTTATTTTTAAATAATGCGTATCAGTATCTTAACTAAAAACGCTCTGGCACTTTAATCCAGTTTTGTGTTGGTTGTTTGAGTCTTCCCATTGATGTCTAGGACTGCAATGATGAGTCTCATATTGACATATGTGAATCTTTTGTGGATTGCCCCGATACTGTCTGAAGTCACAAGTCATAAGCAGAGATGGATGGTGGCTAGCGGTGGACGCGCGTTTCGTCCCATTTTGGACTCGTCATCCTGATGTACCTGCATCTCAAGCAACCAATACAAAAATGAATTAAAACTTCACTTCATAAAACATGCTAGTGAATACCTGGGCTCAGTAGCTAATTGAATAATGCGATGGCGTTCGAGGTGGACAACACTGGTTTCAATTCTCGGAGTGAATAACAACTCTGGGATCCAGATGTATCTGGCTGACGAGGCTCAGATAAGACGAAACGCGTGTCCTGGATTTCACTGGTAGCCGACATCCTGTTATTTCCCGTGGAGAATTATGAATGGTAACTTTGAGGACTATTTATGGACCAATGTGATATGTATCTTTCCTATTGTATAATTGCTCAGTAACTTAACTATTCATATTCATGTTCCCTTTATTATGAGCTTTATTTTGACCTATAGAATATTACTGTACGATTTACCATTCTTGTGTTATACCCAGTCTATTAATTATGGCTCCCCACCTTCACAGCCACATTTGGCCAAATCTTGTACAGATGTTATTTTCTACTTTATGGTACGATGTGGTCAGTTTGATTGGCATATAAACCCAGTATATTTGAGAATAATGATTCATATTTCAGAGGCTGTTATTGGTGTTCTGGAATTAACTGGCTAGGCTAGGCTAGGCAGATAGTACTCAAGACTGCTCATCCGGCCTTTGTGTATTATTGATCCGATCGATAAAACACTGCTCTCCAATTGGCGGTCTCATAACGTCATATATATCAACTGGGCAAGCACGCACTCAATCGATATGAGTGAGCTGAAATAAGTTAGGTATCTAAAACAATTAGACGAAATTAGTTTCTGGTTGCTTATGTTTAGATAATTCAGTTTAAACTACTAAACTCTAACGTCTAGTATGTTTAACTTTCTGGACTGTAATATAACTACATAAATGATATTTGACTTGTTACTTATAGTTTGAAATTTCATTTAGAGTAAACTTTTCAGTGGATTCATATCATAATCGAATAAACAACAGTATATGATTCTAGTGTTTAAAAGAATAGATATTTTGCTTCGATTCCAATGGATACACTAGAGCTGGTATAAATGCTTCCAATTATCCTATTTTTAAGTAAGCAAAGTGAAATACACATCTATGATTTCGCTTCTATTTTCCATGAGAATACCTAAAGCTTTTCCAAATTAAATAATTATTAACTATGGATGTGATTTTCTTTGAGTTACTTACTTTTATGCAAAATTATTGAAAATCAAATAACATTTAGCTAATTAGAATTGTTATGGATAATAATCATCAGTGAGCTTAAATAGGAAGTAATGAGAAGGTAAATGATTTTTTTTTCAATTATCGAGTGTATGATTAAAAAAACGTTTAATGATATCAATATAATGCTTAAAGTATATCACTTGAAGTTCACTACTAGATTTCTGTTTCGAATGCTACGATCAAGTTATGTCATCAACTCATGATATAAGGAATAAAGGTAATTCAGTGAAAAAAAATATTCTTTTCGATAAAATCGTTTACTTAAGCTGTTTAGTCACACTTGTGGTGATTTAATGATCTAAGTTGTTCTTGTCATAAAAGGACACCAGGAAAAACTATACACACATGAAACCATATTTCTTTTTTACACGTACAAGATCGTTAAGATAAACAGACAAATGAGGATGCATTTAGTATATATATACGTGTATGTGTATCTAGGCTTAAATGCATATACACATATTATTCAGCACACTGATGGTGAAATAATAAATTCCACACACATTTGGGCACAGAGAGGAAAATGTTAGTTATCGATCTATGCACCAATCACTAATTTACAGAACTTATTTAAAATGAAGAAAAAGTAAAACTATAGCTGAATTCGGTCAAATTTAGTAACAGCCCACAGAATTTATTGATTGGTTGTGTTGAACGACTGTTAGTTTGCTGTATTGTTGCTTCCTAAAATTATCTGATTCAAAAAAACGCAATTACTAGCCACTAGGACATATGAATGATGTTTGATCATATATTGTGAAAATAAAAATGCTGTTCTGGCAAAACTAGAAAATGGCCTACTTAAAAGTTTATTCAAAAGTTCACATTTGCTGTGGAAATACAGATAATACATCCATCTTTATAAAGATAGTACAAAAGAACTAGTTGTTATTAAGCTCACAAGTGTGGAGGAACACGAAGGTAGAAATAGTCCTTTTAAATATTCTACTAAAAAAAAGCCGATAGATTAATTAGAAGGAACTCAAACTGAAAAATTAATTGAATAGGGCAGTACATACATTTCCTTTGCTTTGTATCTCTGAAGTACGAAAGAAACTTGATAAAAAAACCATTATAGGGAGTCATATTTTCTATTGACACGGTTAAATAAGAGCTGATAGCCTTGTGTAATACTCTCCAGAAAACGGATGGCCTGAGATGTTTATAATTAAATGTATGGTCACAAAAGTCAAAATGAAGGAAATACGAACCCTCAAAAAGAAATCACTATTCATGCACCTAAAATTTAGATGCGATGCAACTAGTGAAATGTTCATTCGGAGATTACTCAGAACAGTCCGGAGAACGTTCAACACTTGAAACCTACAGCTAGCGTTTTTCGTGAGTCTTTTGGTAACACAGAGATCAAAAGATAAAATACATAGGCTAGCCATCTCGTTTTGAACTTATTAATTCCACTGTTCTTGCGGGACAAGTTAAATAGGTTAAAGTTCCGGGAATATACATTTATGTGCTCATGAACGTCTTCTGGCACAGCCAAGCAGAGGTGTAGTTAAAACAGTAAAGAACTTAGTATCAGTCCAATTATTTCAAAATAATTGCTGTGCTAGGAAATATCAGTCGTTTCCAATTGTTTATAGAATTAGTAATTTTCTACTAAGGTCTAGAACTCTGAATGGTAGCATGAATACCTATTCCAACTGGAAACCTCGATCTTACCAGTAATCAAACCAAAAATTTGGATTTGTTATGTGAACGACACATTCGTCATTGTCGAAAAGAACGAGCTGGAAAATACCTACAATCTGATCAACAACTTCTTCGATGACATCAAGTTCACAATGGAACAAGAGTCGAACAATAAACTACCATTCTTGGATGCACTAATCACCAGAACCGATACAGGAAAACTGGAGACTCAAATATATCGGAAGCCGACCTACACAAATCACATTCTCAATTGCAGTAGCAACAACCCAAAAGCTCACAAAATCAATTGCATACAAACTTTGTTAAAGAGGGCAACACATTTGCAGCACGAAAAAATAAAGAGAAATACCTGAAAACCATCTTTCAAAAGAACGGATACCCAATCACCTTCATCAGAAAATACCAGCCAAACGCATTACCGGAAACAAAGTCAAGTACGGAAATCAACAGACGGATCATCCCACCATATATAAAAGACATAACAGAAACTGCAACGACTTTGTTGAAGCCTTTCGGAATAGATGTAGCGCACGAACCAACAAAATCACTACAATCAATCTTAAGAAAACCAAAGGACGAAGTGATAAAGGAAGAAAAACCGAACATCATCTACAAAATAAATTGTACCAACTGCGAAGAACACTATATCGGACAAAGCAGACGCTCTCTTCATTTTCGCCTGCATAAACATCGATTAGCGGTCAAAAGCTATGACATATCCTCACTTATATCAGTGCATGTGGACAACTGTGGACGCACATTCAACTGGAAAATGTGGAGATCATGGATATATGTAATTCTAAAAACACCAGAGAGTTTTTATGGGCTTGGCACTCAGGTCAACTACCATATTGAAATCGATCCAATTTGTCAACCAATCAGAAAAAATATGAACAAACGTAGGACCAAAACTAAAACCAATTGGAGATATAACCACAATGAAGTAAACAATGACAAGTTTAAGGTCAACAAGGACCAATAAACATCGAGGTCTACAGGACAAGCTGTGAGCCATATGTGGAGAAATTCGAACACTTCACTTCTACCTGGAGTTTATGTTGATGATGTCGTTAAGATGAACGATGAAAACTCCATGACCAAACCATCCAGTTCAGAAAACAAAACCTCGTCAAAATCTATTCTGATTAAAATACTGGCGATATGAGTACAAAAGAAATATATTCGACACCTTCTCGTACCTTGAGCGACCTCAGACTCAATATGTCAATGGTCATCTTAGCTGTAGGATAACCTAGTTTTACTGATTTACGTACAACCTTTCCCTTTTGTATTTGCATCAATCAACATTATTATTCAAATATGCCTGATTTTCATTCTTATAGTCATCATTATTACTGTCAATATTACTATTATTATTAATCTTTCAAACACGTGAATGATTTGGTTAATATTCACCAAGCCTTTTTGTTCCCTCTTACTGAGTTCCCATGACTTCATATACCTAATCATCTTTCACAAAACATTTGACTTGATCTGTAACTACATTATTACTTCGTTCATCCTTACTGTCAATATTTGTATTCAATCACTGTTTTCACAGTTTCATTCAAACTGATATTGTACACTAATCATTTCAACAATAACATTTATAAATAAGGCAAGAAGAACAAGATCTGTAGAATAACATGGATTCATTTTATTTCAAAGCTTCTCATCAACTGCATGCGGCTGATATTTACATTAGTAGTATCATCATAAAAAGCTTTACGTAGCATAGTTAATGAAGTTTAGTTTGAAACTGTACAAGAAATAAGAAGAGGAAACGACATGTTTAACATAATAGTTGAAATTGGCTAGTATTTGTAAGTTGAAGATAAAGTCATATGAAGAAGCGTCGGTTGACGCTACAACCGACAATAAAGAGATAATGAATGTTATTTTAATACATGTCAATTACATTATGTCTTGATTTTGCCTTATAATCTAGGACTTTAAAACAATCTTTTGATATTCACTCATGACGTTAACTTTAATTTTGTGTACACTAGATACTGTCATTATCACCCATTTGTTAACACATTTTTTATTCATCGTCTCTTTGTAATCGGTTGTAACGTCAACCTATGCTTCTTCATATGACTTTATCTTCAACTTACAAATACTAGCCAATTTCAACTATTATGTTAAACATGTCGTTTCCTCTTCTTATTTCTTGTACAGTTTCAAACTAAACTTCATTAACTATGCTACGTAAAGCTTTTTATGATGATACTACTAATGTAAATATCAGCCGCATGCAGTTGATGAGAAGCTTTGAAATAAAATAAATCCATGTTATTCTACAGATCTTGTTCTTCTCATCTGATTTAAGTTTACCAAGGGATCAGAATTTGCGAAATGGCAATTTTATTTTATAAACAGTTACATATTCATATGCGACAGTTTTAGACTATGTATTTGTTTTAAACTTGGTTGTTCTTGCAGTTTCCTAACTTTGATTTATAACTGTAGGACTTGATTATAATTTATTGTAGAGAATATTTCTCGTTCATATATCTATGTTTTGATATAATGACATTCAGTCTGTTCAATTTTCCAGTAGTCAGCTTTGTTCTATATGACGTTTTATTACCGTTATTTGGTTTACAAATACCGATTAAGTGTTACAGATAAAGCTAAAACAGTTATTCCTTTTTATATATTCACTACGACTTGATTTAAACAATGTTCGTCTATAGCCTAAATCTATAAACTGTTTGTGACATCTTCCATCAAACCATATTTTACGATGTCAAATAACTCGAGTAATCAAATGAACAGTGGAGTTTAAAATATAGCATAATCTGTTTAGAAACCCATATCAACAGTACGGGGAAGCAATACAGGAACAAAATCTCAACAAAATGTATACTTTCATAGGCTGAATAAATACAAAAACAGTATTTTAGTGATGGTATTCAAGTGTAAAGAGAATTATTACAGATATTTGTAATCTCAAATGCAACTGTAGAATCAATATTTATAATAATTTAACGTTTAATCTTGAGAATTAACCTGAGCCATGATACTGGTTACCATCTATGAATAGAATATTTTGCTAGGAATTATTTGCTTAACAGTATTTATATCACATTCACAGTTACAATTACAAAACACTTACCAAATAACGTTCTGATGAAACACTGACCAAAATAAGATCATCGCCTATTCGGACCTTTTCTCCAACTGAACGTTGTTTTGACGCTGGATGTATTGTCCACCAGCAAGCTTCAGCTTAAAAGCGGAAGTAAAACGAATTTGAGTGTTTGATAGTTAAACAAACGAAAAGTTTTTTGTAGTTTGAATGTGTATCAACAAATCATTCAGTTTCAAGGAGTCAGACACCGTACGAAAACATACTACATTTTCTAAAGTCTTCAGTAAGAATACATAGGTTTTATATCTGTGGTCGATACTTGTTAAAAGCTAAGCATGTTCCTAATCTTAGGGCGACCTATTTTGCTCTAAAGATATAAACCTTTGCGTCTTGGCTTAGCGCCAAGAGATGTCTATTAAACATCATCGTCATAATATATATATATATATATATATATATATATATATATATATATATATATATATGTCGTGTAACTGAATTGGCATCGAAATGCTAATTAAAACGATTATTTTTATATTTACATTCTCCACATGCCACTAGTGAGTGATTAAATTGAGTTTTAATTTCAATATACACGTTTTGTAACAGTCAACATGATATTCTGAACCAAGTTGTTGTTGTTTTTTTCTTTCTGGGCATCATTCAGAATGTTGTGGGTATTCTTTATTGACAATAAATAGAAACACCAAGCTAAGTTTTAGGGCCAATTTTGAAATCATCATGGAGCATTTATTATTGAATGCGGTTTATTACATTATTAAATTCACTTGCCAGGCCTCATTTCTTGAACCATGAAATCCAGTCAGTACTGTGCGTAAAAGTATCAATTTAGAGAACTTCTAACGACTAATTGATCGCGTTAAATTGTTGTTCGTTTTATGGCGGTTAAATTTGAAATCAAATTCTTTCAAACGTTTCCCATAACTATTTGATATAAAGTTAGGGCGTTTCATCGCCGTACGGAATTTTACTTCCGAATAGTTTTATCACTTGCCTAACTCATTTTATCATCCTTAAAAGTGCTTTGACTTGAATCTGTAAACTATTATGTCAACTAGCGGAATGTTATAGTTAGGTGTATTCGGATGTTCCTGTTTACCTATGAATAAATTATGAGTATGAATATAATTACATAGTTAAAGGAATCAAAGTCCAAGCCCTATTACCCATAATCTTTGAATAACAGTCATAATAATCTTCCTAACCTCCATCAGATAGTGTAGCTGATCATGAATATGGACAGAGATCATCAGGGTTTTGAGATTTTAGAAAATACTGGTGAGTCGTGTAAATGTTTTACTGGTATTGAACTCGCTGAACTAAGTAGTTCGGTCGGAGAGCTTTCGTTTTTATTCTAAACAATATCTTTAGCGCCTGTTTTACGTAGAAGTGGACTTTTTGGCTATTTTGTAAGTGATATAAAGGCTAGTCCCAGAGGTCTTGTTCATGATCGATTTTCTTGGTAAGCTTTTTCTCTTTTATTTGTCCTTCGGTACACATTTTTTGTCTTTTCAGATGATCTTTAGACTGGTGGTAGTGAGTTACCTGTTCCACATGCATTCATAGATCAGTTGTGTGTAAATGTGTCTGTTCAACGGTGATTTATCTGAATCCCATGTTTATAAAGACTCCATAGTATTCATGGAGTATTCTCCATCCAGTTTTAACAGTTTTTTTCACAGGCGAACATGTTAAAAATTTTATGGAGACAACGAATCGCCGTAGTAGGGTTTGTTGTCAAAATCAAGGCATCCCTGCCTTTTAGGTTTCATTAACTTCATGATAACATACCCCAATATAAAAATGATCGTATGTTTGCCCGAGAAACAACATCTCAGTTATATAACTAAAAATACATAGTTCTCGTTGTATGATTTTTTATAACGAATATGCTAGATTAACTTATTAAGAAATGAAAACACTTATATACTTAAATTAATGACTTACTCTCAGCATTCTGTTGAAGACCAACATCAAAAGCTAGTTTGTCCTGTGATGTACTTGTCGAAAGACACGATAGGTACTAGGAAAATTGTTAGGATAAGACTAAATTGATGTAATATCCAAAATAACATGAGGTTACGAAAATTTATTTTTAAGACAATGAAGGTCATAGCATGTCAAAATATTACTTATCGGATTTAAAACTAAGCTCTAATCGCGGCAAGAGATATTATCTTTTAGTTTACCAAAACAGAGATAATAAAAACTGAGGTTTTCATTATAGTTTTAAGAAATACAACTGTAAACGTAATGGAATTCAGTAGCCTTCTATCCAGAATATATATAAAGCCTTGGAATTGTATTTTAACTTAAGAAACAGGTAACTATCAACAATATGATTAGTTAAAGTACGTGGGTTTAATTGAGGTTGTTTGATGTTGATAAAGGAAAACAGACGATTCTTCATGGTCAGATACTAAAACACGATGCATGTCCCGACACTGGTGTGTCTGAAGACAAAATAATTTGTGACAACCCAGTAAATTAAACAGATCTTTAATGGTTAGTTGTAGCGCATGTGTCTACGAAAATAGTCAATACATTATATGTACCGGAAGATATACTTTTAGCCTAGTTTGAAATCATCTGTGAGTATGGTTGATTTGCCAAACATATTTTAAATTTAGAAGTCAAGTTTAGAAACACAGATAACGTGGCTCAAAAGCCACAACTATTAGTATTACAAAAATTATCATACACCTATACAGTTTAGAAGGAAGAATCTTAAAGGATAATGCACTCAAGAAACGGTAACTTTCAAGACAACCCCAACTATCGTTTCTTAAAACCTGTATATTAGGCAGGACTAACCACATAGCTCATTAAATTAATCCCATCTCTAGATTTAATACAATAACACTGGAAGTTGTGTTTACAACTTGTCACTACTTAATTATTGCCTGCTATGATTCAGCTCAAATCATTGAAATTTGACCATTGATTTGTGAGCTTTCAACAAATGTGACTGAGTGTGCTTTTTTGTTTCTCCCTTATAACGAACCACTTCACTCTTTTTCAGTTATGATATTATGTTGAAAAAAAGGATTGAACACAGTTAGAAAATTATAGATACATAAGAGGAAATACCACTGAGTTTGATGTAGCTTGTACAAATAAATAGCTTATACAAATAATCTCCCCAGTTATATTAAATTATGGAAGGTATTTCACTTTCAAAGTATACCATTTATTTTAGTATAAAAATGGACATAAACAATGAAAATTACTTACCATGTTACTTTCTCTATGTTTTAGTCGGATAGCATGTCCATAGAGCAAAGTTCTATGACCAGACTGACCGCTTCCCTATTAAAATTAAATAAACTAACGTTTAATTGTTTTTTCTTTCATGTTCACATGTTTGATGCAAAAAATATGTCAGTAAAAAAATACTTACTTGTTTTATTTTGTCTACGCCCTTGCTCGCTCAAACTCAAAAAACTTTTGAATTCATCAGTAAAACAGTGTATTTTACTTTAGAGATGACCTTCCCTAAGACTTCCGAATTCCACGTATATTTCTAAATTCAAAATCTCGAAAATTGTAGCACGTTTATGGCTTATTAGCTCGTATATATTTTGTAGAGCTTGATTACTTAATAGATTTTACTAGACATTCTCACATTTTCTTAGGAATGTTTGACTAACATTCCAAATGTAAAGTAGCTTAAATCATACAACATATAGCACTTTGCGCATACGATTACAAACTGCTAAACTGGCTATATTGAGGCAATACGCACAGTATGCACATGTGCCAATTAGAGACTGACCAGTTGCAGTCCTAACAAATCGATGAGAAGATTCAAACAAACAATACTGAATGAATTTAAACTTCACCCCATCGCGCAAGCAAGTGGCCATCAGGACTCAGTGGCCGAGTGGATAACGCGATGGGGTTTGAAGCGAGGGTACTTGGTTCGAGTCCCAGAGTGAACATCAACTCTGAGATGCAGGTACATCCAGCTGACGAGTCCCAAATAGGACGAAACGCCCGTCCTGGATTCCACTGCTGGCCACTATTCATCTCTGCTTACCATGCTTTTTAATTAAGGCTATATTGAGGCAATACGCACAGTATGCACATATGGTCAATAAGAGACTGACCAGTTGCAGTCCTAACAAATCGATGGGAAGATTCAAACAAACAATTCTGAATGAACTTACATCTGAGCTTTGGTGTTGAATAGAAAGCATTTCTTGAAGGGCTCGTACAGAAAGAGCTTGGTCCAGAACAAAAACACACGGGGGCATATTTGGAGGAGGTGACTGTAACATAAAGGTTGACAGAAAAGGAATAATCATAGGATTTTATTTTTGCAACGCAATCATGTTCAGCTATCTGATTCGTTTTAAACAACAATACTCAAAATACGTATCAATGGGGACTCGGAAAATAGTAATAAAGCTGAATGGTAGTTGGAATAAATCTTGTAAACCACCACGTGAGGCACAAATTGCATACTTTACACATTTGTTTCACTTTATTAACTTGAATGAGGCGAAAGCAACAAGATTCGAAATAAAAATTAGGTCCGTTGTATAATATGATGCGAATTTAACTGTTTTTACTTTGTTCAGACTGAATCATTTTTCGGAACTTTAAAAAATTAATATTAATAACTGCTGTAGATCTTATAAACAAAGAAACATTTAATTTATCTGTAATGAAATGTTATATGGAATAAACCTCATAAACACTCCATTGTCTAATTTGAACATCCTTCTTCGCCCTAAAATGATATTATATGTCAATAGTGTGAATAGTTGGCATCGCTTTCTTGATCTATGCTTCACTCTGCAAACTTTTGAATAAAACTACTATTATCGCCAGTAATAGTCACATTTATACCTGAAAAGATGGTGCTTAGAAGATAGATACAATGAGCTTCATATCAGCAATCCATCGTAAACAATAAAAGGCCATGATATTAAAGTATGATTCAGCAGATATAGTGATAACCTTACCACCCTTGTTTCATATTTTCATTAAGTTCTAATACTAGTCTGTCAAAAATAATTTTATGAACTACGATGACATTAATCCTACGACGGAGAACGGGCATAGATCGTTTTTCTACCTTCTGCACAAATACAGTTCAATCGTGCCAACTATCAAACAGGTTTTCAATTTAAAGAAACTTTTAAAATATCCCAGCTGAACGCTAGAGAAAAATGATTGAATTTTGAAGGTATTCGGTTTAAAATTTCGGACTACTACAATGCACGACTTGATTCTGCTTTCATTGCGGTTGCGAGAAGTATCTGGATAAATCAAGTGCACTTTCTATAGAATGACACATCTCCGAACCCCTAGATGAAGTGTGTGAAGTTATTTACATGGATGTCGTACTAGTTAAAAGGAAAGTTTGTAATCACACATGTGAATATTTAAATTGCCTTTCCTGTACGTAAATGACCTCCCTCGTCTACTATCGTCATCGGCCTTGCTCTATGCTGACGATGTCAAGACATGGAGAGCGATACAAAGTAAGGGTGATAGCTTAGAACTCCAAAATGACCTGGAGAAATTATCTGAATGGTCCCAAACCTGGCAATTACCGATAAATACTTCCAAGTGTATTATGATGCATATTGGTCACGAGGGTACAGATACATACACGATTAATAACACTGAACTATCTATTTTCCAGACACACAATGACTTAGGAGTAATCGTTAGTCAAGACTTAAAGACTACTGCACACTGCCGTGCAATAGCCTCCCAAGTCTTAGAACTTTATGGTCCATACGTAAGGCTTTTAGTCATCTTGACGCTAAAAGGTTTCTGACTTTGTATACAATATTCGTGCATCCTAAACATGAGTACTGCATACAAGAAGCTAGCCCATGCCTAAAAAAGACAGTGAACTCTTGGAAAGGATTCAGAGAACAGCAACTAAGCTGGTTCCCGGAATAGCGGAGCCCCCGTATGATACTAGACTGACCAAGCTAAACCAATTCCCGCTGTCATATAGAAGAATCAGAGGCGGCTTGATTACAGTTTTCGAATTGCTTAGTGATAAATTTGCACCTAATATGCCCTAATATGCCCCCAGAACGAATTACTTGTCAGCTGACTGCCGACTTTCCCATCGAATCATCAACGAGTGGAATTCATTACCTCAGCACGTGGTTGAGGCTCCATCAGTTGACTCTTTCAAAATAAAGCTGAATCAGCTGAGAGACCATCATTACCTGGATTAACGCAATCAATCAAGCCTCCTGTCCTTTCCAAACTGGAAGTGAGCTGAATATGGCCAAAACTTAGCATAAAATAATTTAAAAACCTCGTATAAAACGACACAATCTTTCTATCACAGGGAAACTACTATAGAAATTTCCGAAGAACTTCTGAAGAAAAACTCCAAACTTTACCATGGTAAGGAGAAAATCCCCAAAGTTTTAGGGGAAAGCATCAGTTTTAGGGAAACTTTTGCGCCTTCCCCAATATTTTCACAGAATCTTATAACACTTTGGGGTCTCTCACTTAAAGTTTCTTAAACTTTATGGAAATCCACCAAATTTACTGCGACTTTGGTGCAAACTTTAAGGTGCGACATTAAATATAGCATACACAAAATCTCACCTCTTTCGAAATTATTTCCAAAGAGCACATTCTATTTCCAAATCCCTCTGCAGCCAAGCAAAGCCGCTCCGAGCTTCCATGAGAAAAGCAGCTGAGGCAAATGAAGTCCTCCTTAACAAAAAAAATGAAGAGAACAATATAAGAAATCATACAGTCCTGAGAAAAGAGGTCTCCTCTTCAGCCGGTAATGAAGACATATTCGAAAGTAGTTTTTGCGTTTTGTAATTGTCTCCCAATTTGTGAAGCCACTACTTCATTTTAAAGCCAATGTGGTGTACAGTTTTCGGTGTGAGCGATAACACCTAGTAAGCATTTCAGAATTCGTGAACGTATTAAGTATGACATTGGTGTACTCAAACAAGCATAAACTAATTTTTGACATGTTTTTAGATACACTTTCATGACTAATTAACAGAACAATAGATAAATTTTCAATGGGCAGGTATAATGATAAATTATATTCCATAAAACCGACTTAACTACACCTGTAGCCTGTAGGGTCACTGAATATCGAACAGATCACTGATCCCTGTCAAGGTCAAGGATAGTCAACGCGTACAAATCAATGGTACGCCATGGACTGGCCCACGCGGCAGTGGTTATTCTTTCACTTCTGTACTTCCGTAGTTGTACCTTGACTAATATATTCTTGTAATAACGTCCTTTGTGTTGTACAGTCTCCATAGCGTCCATGATCTTTTGATGCGTCGATGGTTTAAACCACGTAAGGGCCGGTCGCGAGGTGTGACTTCAGCGTTAGTTGGTTCGTCACCATTCTCGTCTAACTATAGTAGGCCCCCAATCATTTCGACATAGACCATCAACGAAGATGATTGTACAAGCCCTTCTACGTTGCCTACCGGTCCCAAGCTCGGATAAAGATGATTTGGGTATATGGTTAAAAGCACAATCTCATATAAAACAACCTTCCTAAAAACACTGACCAGAATAAACAAATTAGACAATTTAAATTCTTCTTCATTAAAAGGGAATTATGATGCCTCATGGTGCGTAGATCGAAAGATATCCCTTTTATTATCGATGTGTTTACTCAGAAGAGATGTTAAGCCGTTCGATTTAGAGCTATTTCTTAGACCATCGAGCACTTCCTTATCGTCATTTCGATCAAGTAATATCCTGAGTAACTAATAAGCTTTAGATATCGCGTGCAAGGCAGAAAATTCTTTCAAAAAGTAGAGTTAAGGAGGACGCCTTCTGATTTTTGAAGAAAAGAAGACATGTTGTTGTGAATCATTTGCGTTTTTTTAGGAAATATGGTATTAAAACATCATAACATAGTGATATAGAGGATTAACATTGAATCTAATATTATTATGTTACTCCAATAACAGTCGAAGGAATCAGGATGGTCACCAGAAAAATCAGGTTGATTTTAGAGGAAGAATAAATGCTGACAGAGTGGAAAGAACTATATCTCATCAGCATATCAACGAAAGGAGATCTTAGCAAATGTGAGTACTACTGTGAGCACACTACTGACGCTACTACGAGACGTTTTCAATAGCGTTGTTAAACTGGATGAACAATTATTCAATAGACGTCCGTCTTCGGGATCAACAGACTAACTTCTTCAGGGATCAAGCGTGCATGTTTCAAATGGCGGCACTACGGGTCATTGTTAAGCAATCGACCGAATGGAACTCGTCATTATGTATCAACATTCCTGACTATTAAATAGCGTTTACCAGTGTTTATAGGAGAACTTTATGGAACCTTCTTCAACACCATGACTTACCTGAGATTATCATCAACGTCATACGTATTTTGTACGACGGACTACACTTCGAAGTCGTGCATGGAGGACAATTGGCAGATGCATTCCAAGTGGAAGCTGGTGTCAGAAAAGGCCTCTCACTCTCTCCCTTTCTCTTCCTTCTGGTGGTTGGTTGAATTGTAAAGACCAAGATATAACAGGGGAAGCACTGAGTACAATGGACAGCTTGGATTAAACCAGACGATCTGAACTTTTCAGATAACATAGCCCTCCTATCCCATACATATCAACAAGTGCAAGTGAAAACAACCAGTGTAGCGGAAGCATCTACATCAGTAGACTACAATATGCACAAGAGAAAAATCAAGATCCTCAAATACAAGAGGAAGAACATCAACCCAATAACACTTGATGTAGAAACTGTAAAAGGAGTAGAAACCCTTACGTACCTAAGGAACATCATCGACGAAGAAGGAGGATCTGATATTGTTATAACTTGTGTACCCGAGTGCCCTGTTAATGTATGACGTGATGACGCCGTCAATTAGAGAGCAGTGTTTTATCGATCAAACCAATGACATATGAAACCCGTACGAGCAGTCTAGAGCACTTGTCGGTCCTGCTATCTCCTTAGCTCAGCCAGTTAAGTTCAGAACACCAATAACAACCCCTGCAATATGAATCACTATTCTCAAACATACTGGGTTTATGTACCAAACAAAGTGACCACATCGTACCATAAAAAAGAAAATAGCATTCGTACAAGATTCAGCTCAAAGTGGCTGTGAATTAAATCTGAAGAACCATCATTACCATGAAAATGTACAAGTATTTATAAACAATTGTCTGAGGAAGATATTTCGGATCTGTCGTCCGGATATCATCAGCAACAGCCTACTTTGATATAGAATAGACCCGGAGGTGTGAAGGGTATAAACTGTGAGGATCATGAAACTGAATCACGAAGAATGTCCTATTTTGGTATCCTGAAGGGAAGAGGAAAAGAGAAACACCAAATGTCTTGGCTGCATAAATATTCCGAATTAAGAAAAAGAACTAATTCAGGAACCTAAACGTTCATTTCAAGAAATTAAATCACCATCTATTAACCACTAGGCAGTGAATGAGCTTCATTTCCAATAAGTGGAAATCAGTCTTCGTGATGAACTACAACTGCAATGTCGCTCAAGTTCGCGTTTGTTTAGTAAGGGTTTACATTCTTGTAGAAATATGAAAAGTGATTCGGCAAAGAATAGCTTAGCAAGTTACTGAGGTGAGCACAGGTTTCATACATGTTCATTCTTTGGTAAATTTCACTTTCATAATCCATGTGTCTTTCGTCATGCTAAATGCTTTAAGTGTGTTTAAATAGAACGCATTAAGTTGATAAGCAAAGCTACAGTTCATTTTGACATCACCGATGATAAACCCTGTAGGGCGGATTTTATTAAATTCTGTGTTTCTGATGATCGTTTATCTTTATTCACAATTTCGAGAGGTAATTTCCATATTCAAAGATGATTGTGTACTTCTCTTGGTCTATTACATGACTTTAGTGTTTACACAGGAAGTATGAAGCTCAATATTTCATTCAAGAACTTAAAATCTTTAGATTTTAACGTTGGAGTATTGTAGAATTATGGTCTTATTCTGTATTATTATTATATATATATATGTGCTGTCGTAGATTGTAGATTTGTCATAATGTGACTATTTAATCTATAAGGTCTCACGTGGAAGTTACATCATTGTCCATACCGACCCGTCCTAACGCGATAGTCAGCAATGTGATGTTCATAACTTCTGAGTGACATATTTCGGCTGAAGATAAAATAATGTATTTCATGTGCGAAGGTATGAGTTACACAAAATGACCATGTCTGCGGGGCTGAGCCATGCCATACTGATAAATTTTTTCCGCTTTCATCATTCCCTAAATTCCAGGTATCACATCTGGGATGTAAGTCTTATCGTTATTTATATGCTCGGCTTCAAATATCGTGTGATTGGGAACCAATGTAACTACACTATGACACGCTTAATTCTCGGTATTAAGGATTACTGGAAAAAGACTGCCCATACGAGAATGTTGTGAACTGTTAATAATAGATTACAATTATCTATTCATGCCTTGTGGGTTTTTAGTTAGTGAATCTGGACCGTCAATACTGAATTTTAAAATTTTGTGAAAGCTTAAGTTTGAATCGTCTTTATTAGTTTCTAAAAAGGGTCCTCATGATTTACTTAAATATTTGATAGCTGCGTATGCTACGTGTAGTTAGAGGATTAGAATGATTTGTGTGTGGAATATACAACTGACGTGAGGCACTCGTACTGTTACGTCCTCGATGTCTGATGGCAAGACACTAGAATATGTGATGATTATAAATTGGCACTGAACTCCCGTTTGTTAATAATCCTGTACTTATTACTGATGGATCACTTATGGGTTTTGGTACAGTTTTGGGGCAGGAAGGTAGACCATTGATATGTGTTTCACGTAACTAATTGTTGCTGAACAATCTTATTCAAAAACCCAAGCAAGCATTAGCTATGTTCCGGGCTGTTAAAAGACTTCATAAATATTTATTCGAAAAGAAAATCATTATTCTTACTGATCATGGAGTTTTAAAATTCATTGATCATTCTGAAAAATCCTTAGCAGGTAGCTCAGCCACTAAGGTTCAACAATGGAGTACTGAGTTCAGTACCTAGTACCACATAATTAGGCACAGAAGAGCCAAACAAATTCAACTTGTTATCTACATGTATCGACAATCATTACAAGACAAACTTCATATTACTGTAGACTGTTTGTTAGTGCGATATTTCAGATGAGACGTTCACATCTCATAAGGGTAACTAGTTGATAATTTGAAAATATACTCAGTGCTTTATGGAAAGGTTGGAATGCTAATCTAAAACGTAGATTTCCTGTCTGCTTTTCAAAGCCAGATGAGTTGTCCAATATTCATTATGGTATTTTATGCCAAAGTGATCATGTTTTTATTCCTTCTTCATTGCATCAATCTGTCCTTGAAGATCTTCATAGTGGACATTTAGGTGTTCAAAAAATCAAATCCATATCCTGGCTCACATGTTGGTAACCGGAGCTACATACAGATATATGACGTACATCAAACAATTATGAAAGATGTTACAAGTCAGAAAACTATCCTTGGAATTGGACTTCATAGCCAGTATCATTTGAGGCTTGGTGAAGAATTCATGCAGACTATTGTGGTCCATTTCTCCGCAAATACTGTGTACTCGTTGTCACTGGTAATTTTTCTGAGTGACCTGGAGTGTTTTTACAACTTCAGCAAATTTTGACTTTATAATCCAAGCATTGAGGAGTTCATGTGGTATTAGAGACTGATGGTGACTGATTTTACTGAAAACGTGGTTACTGCTTGGTTGGTGTTATAGAGTGAAAATGTCTTTCAGCTGCTCGTAGACACACCTGTTCTGATGTTTATGCAGAAAAATTTTATCACGACGTTGAAAAGTGCGACTAATTCCACAAATACTACAACATTTGACGGACTGAGTAGGGGAGTTAACACATTTCTATTGCAATATAGAAATGTTAAACACCGCGACGA